ATGTAAAACATGTACATATATATATATATATATTTATTTATTTATATTTACGTTTATATAACCGGCTCTGCACACACACATGAACATCATTTCTCATCGCCCACCATTACGCATCATACCGCACACATGCAACCGTTCAGGGGAACTTTCCCCTACTGATATACCTTCATGTGAGCAAAAGAAAATCACACTATAAAAATCTCTCAGAAATTGAGAAAAAATAAATTCGTACAAGTATCCGTGTCGATGCTTGTTAATATCTATATGTATCATATAATCATTAAGGAAAAAAAAAAAAAAAAAAAAAAAAAAACATTAGCATTTTACGTATTCTCATTTTGATATTTTCTGTTCATTCCTCAATTGGGCACACGCACAAACATGCATACAATAACGTACACACAGGAATGTACGTATACATGTCCACACACATGTTAACTGCTATGCGCTTGAATGTTCAGGAGCATGTTTTTATGTTTTTTTTTTTTTTTTTTTTTTGCACCATGTTTACCTTCTCTTCCACATGTTATCTCCATATTATTTGGATAATGATTGCATATAATACAATTTTCTACTAAATCGTGTAACTACATTATAGTCTTTTTAACATTTTTTTAAAAAAGAAAAAAGTATAATTTTTTCTCCCCCTCATGTATATGCCTACTTGTGTAACATATAGATACGTGGGATGCATACGTTTATGTAAACCTAGAACAACAAAAAAAATGTACATTTTTCTTTTTTTTTTTTTTTTTTATAATCTACGAAAAGTGTGTTACCTTAGAATATTTTATCATTTTTCAAAAATTGAACGCCTGTCTTTATCCAAATTTTTTTTTTTTGTTTCGTAACAAATAGAACATTGCCCTTTTGATAGAAAACAGTGAGGTTAGTGGTGCTTGCTGTAGGGTTATAACAACTCTACTTAAAATTTTATATCTAGGGATAATTTTATGAACATATATGATCTACCCACATATATGTATGTATTTATTTATGTACTATTTTATTGTGTAAGCAAAAAAATTAAATATTTTGCTAGTGCTCTGTAATCCCATCTGGAACGTGCGAGATGGACCGCTAAAATTGTGAGCTCTTTTTGTTCATGCAAAAATTATTGGAAGGAACAAATTGGCATAATTTTCTATAGCATTTACATTATCATTAGACACATAGGAATGTATCAAACGTGCCCAATGGAAGGGAAATTGTCACTTGTATTATATATTAAGAAAAATATGTTAAGCATATATACTTCATTTTGAAAGCATATGTTTGATCTGCACTTTATTACAGTTCAATAAATTTTTAAGGCATACTTATATATTAAGGATTATTTCACTAATTCACATTTCTATGTGTTCTCATTCGTGTAATTCATGTAAATGCAGATAAAACTGCAATGGTTGATGATTTTTTCTTCTTCTTCTTCTTCTTTTTTTCCTCGTAAAAGTATGGAACTGTATAACCATGTCGGTTTGGGGAATAATCATGTGTGTGTCATTTTTTTTTTTTTTTTCTTACATACAAAAACAACTAATGTGACAAATTTTATACTTTTCAAATATTGTAAAAACACAGAGTGTATAAATAAAATGCTATACAAGGAACTTTTTAAAAAATTGTTCCAATATCATTAGTTCATAGCAATTGACATGCGTTGATTTTCAGCAAAATGGAGAGAATTTACTCATGTAAGGGGTTCGTAGAAGGGGGAGAGGGGGGTTATTCTTAACCTTCCCATGTTCTGCATATAAATATATATATATATTATGTTTGTGTATCTTTTTGAACACTATAAAGTTATTCGTATTAATATCTTATATGACTACCTCCCTAGTGCTGATGTCATTAATGAATTTATTAATTCTGAATGGAGACTCGTTAACACTTTTTTTTTTTTTTTTTTTTCAGCAAAAATCTTTCTTAACCAGCTAGCCATATTGCGAATTTTTTTTTTTTTTTTTTTATTAAAACATTTTGGATATAAGAATGGTAAAAAAAAAAAAAAAAAAAAAAAAAAAAAAAAAAAAAAAAAAACGAACAGCGAAAAATGAAAAACGAAAACGTTAATTTACCTCATTTCTGAAAAAACTTTTGCATACCCATTGCTGACCCCCTTCGATCACATAAAAGTGAAAGAAAAATTAAACGGGACATTTTAAGGATGTGGAAAATAAATAATGTCAGTTGTTATGGATAATTTCTGTTAACTGGAAGTTACAAAAAATGATATAGCAGGGCTTAATTTTTGTATTGCCATATTATCTATGTCCTGTGTAATATGAAAAAATAACTGTCACTACAACCATACGCAAAGCCAGACAATGTTTACAAAATTGTCTGTGATTGTCGTCAATACAGAAAGACGGGACTCTCTTTTTAGACAGTGCAATAAGGGGATATATATATATATATATATATATATATATATTTGTGTGTGTGTGCATATTTATGGGTATTCGTGCATATGGACTGTATATATATACATATATAGTGCCCTTACAACAACGTTTACAATGTGTTTTCCTTTCTTCACTTTTGGAAAAAGTTGGAATTGAATGCAGTGGGTGTTGAAGGGATTGCTATTCAAAAGATGTACATTCTCTTTTTCTTCATCAATTCCTTCACCCTTTGTTAATTCCTTATTTTATTTTTATTATTCCATTACATGTTCGTAGAAATCAATCCCGAGCTAAAAAAAAATAGTAATAACCACTTGTAAATAATGCAAAGCATGGGAAGTGATACATATTTCAGATAAACCATGAACTAAAAAAAAATAATTCACATATTCGATTTTACTTTCATGTGTGTTAAGATAATGTAATGCGTACATATAAGATGGGGGATTTTTTTTGAGACAATGGAGGGTATGTGCTTGTGAGGCCAGTGGACATATAAACCTGATGTAAATATATACATACATATACATATATATATATAATATACACATTATATGCACTAGTGATAGACTATTGTAAACTTTTCAAGAACAGTTAAATGTTAGAAGAGGTAAAAGTTACATGCATTAATTAAAATAAAAAAAAGGAAAAAAATGTTTCAGATGCTTTGATTACTGAATTGGTACGATGAATTGTGCCGACTCATGTACATACATATGCATGTGTACACAATGGGTAAATGTATATATATGTACATATATATGCACATATATGTACAGCATTATATGTAGCACAATTATATGCATTTTTAGGAATATCGAGAAATAACCGAACGGACTGCATGGAACACGCATCAAAGAATTCACTTTACATGTACATGTGCATACAGCATTTATTTTTCATATACATAATGTAAATCGTACATGTATGTACGAATATTTTTACATGCATAGCAAACTCGCTTACACTTGCTTTTTTATAACATTCTAAAAAAGCGATTTATATATATATGTATATAAGCACATGTGATGTATACATTTATGTATCATTTATGCACAGTATGGTTGTAGCATGAACATGTATGGGGTTGGAGGAGGAACGAACAGTGCATCACAGTTCCATGTACATGTAAAAGGTTATTTTATTTTATTTTTTTTAATTTAAAATGATATAATGACAAAATTGCATTATACATATATATATTTACATGCATACATGTTACATGCGTACATGTACATATATATACAAATATATATTTATATAAGTACACAAAAATGAACCAATTTTCAAAATAAAAAAAAAAAAAAAAATAATAATTAAAATAAAAAAGTAATATTACATGCATGATTAAAATCAATAAATTAACTATTTTTTTTTTTTTTTTTTTTTTTTTTTTTTTTTTTTATTCCTTTCAATAAAACATTTTACAATTTTTCACTTTTTTTTTTTTTTTTTTTTTTTTTTTTTTTTTTACCTTTTTTTTTTTTTTTTTTTTTTTTTTTTAATTTTAACATTTTTCACCCTTCTTTTTCATTTTTTTTTTTTTTTATATAACCTTTGGTTAAAAGATTTTTTTTTTTTTACTCTTTTCGTTTTACAATTATATTCCCTCCATTTTTTTTTTTTTATTATTTTTTAAAAAAAAATTAAATAAAAAGAACTTCAAAATGGCAAGAACAAAACAAACTGCAAGGAAATCCACTGGAGGAAAAGCTCCCAGGAAACAATTGGCATCCAAAGCAGCAAGAAAATCAGCGCCAGTTTCTACGGGTATTAAAAAACCACACAGATATCGACCAGGTACTGTTGCATTAAGAGAAATTAGAAAATTTCAAAAATCAACTGATTTGTTAATAAGAAAATTACCATTTCAGAGATTGGTTAGAGAAATTGCTCAAGAATACAAAACAGATTTAAGATTTCAATCCCAAGCAGTTTTAGCATTACAAGAAGCAGCTGAAGCATACTTAGTGGGATTATTCGAAGATACCAACTTGTGTGCCATTCATGCTAAGAGAGTTACAATCATGCCAAAGGACATACAGTTGGCTAGACGTATTCGTGGAGAAAGATCATAAATGAAAATGTTGTGTTTTTAGTTAGTGCAGGGGGATAAGGGGGACACAGGAATTAAGAAAAAGGGGGAAAAAACGACCATAATAATGCAATGTTGGGAAAACAAAGATAATCCAAGCTTTTCCCCCCCACCCCACCAAGATATTTTATAGAAAATGAGAAGAAAGAGAAAAATATGAGTATCTAATGCATGATTTGAAATAGGGACGTAAGAAAAATCAAAACCCCCCATTCTTTTCCCCTCACTTCTGGATTAATAACAACTAGAGAAAATGTTATTGAAGTAGGAACGAAATAATCCTAAAGATTGATCCACATGAAAATTAGAAAAACACAAAAAAAAAAAAAAAGAAAAATTTTAAAAAACGAAAAAAAAATTTTAAAAAATTGCAAAAAAATAAAAAAAAATAAATAAAACATATATATATATATATATATATATATACACCAACGAATAGGATAAGTAAAAAGTGAAAGAATGGAAAAAACGAAACGAAGAATGCTAAAGTAATTTAATTTCTTGGAAAAGAGGATACAAAAATAATGACAAAAAAAATTATGTCATCCCTTAGTAGCGCGTGAAATTAGCGCAGTTTTGCAAATATATAATTGCGTTTTAAATGTATGCGCATAATTTTTATTTGCATGTATTATATTACTCCACATATATGCCTACATATATATATATATGCGACAAAAAGGAGAAATGGCTGTTTTTTTTTTTTTTTTTTTTTTTTTTTTTTGGCTTTGAACAAAAAATGCGCGTGTGCAATATATATGACTCGGCAACATATATGTATGTACATGTATGTATATCTATATCTATATCCGTATATGTTATTGTTTGTGTATTTGTGTACATTTACTTAAATGTATATTTATATGCACATACGCACATGTTCATTTGGAAAGTTTTGCACAAACGACAAGAAGAAAAAGAAAGTCATTTGGAATGGAGAATTAACTTTTATATTATATGCACAAGCAACTTCGAAAAAGAATAGGAAGAAGAAAAAATAAAGGCAAATCAATGAAGCGTACAGAAAGGAGAAAAAAAATGAAAAAGAGAAAAAAAAAAAAAAAAAAAAAAAAAAAGTAATAGGAAAATCTTGTCAGCACTTTTTCAGAGACCCTCTACCAGTTGCTATTTTTACAATTGTTAAACCTACGAGTGTTTGAGATTATGATAACGTATCATGTGCAACTTATTTTGCAAAAAATGTAGCATCATCGGCGTGTTCATTTTAAAAGAAACGTGCGAAGAGAAGTTGTGCAAATGAGACGCTTGATGAGCATATTTTTTATGAACGTGTTCAGGCACACAACGCGAAGAAAAAAAAAAAAAAAAAAAAAAAAAAATTCCGCCAATTCTTCCGGTCCATATTATCCACAGTGTTAGTAATATATATATATATATATATATATACATATATTTGTGTGCCGTACGGATAGGTAAAATACCAAGACCATTTTACTTTGAGCCAAAAAAAGGAAGCAGAATTACATGAAAAACTTATTCAGTATGTGCATCTCCTAACACAGCGAAGAACGAAAAGCGTGGAGTTTTTTTTATCGTTCAATTTATTTTATACAATATCTCCTAAGTTCCTTATTCTTCTCTTTATTTATATGTACATATATGTATGTATATATATATATATATATATATATATGTATATACACATATGAGCGTTTTCGCGTTTGTGCTTTGTGTATGTGAGCGTTGCACACATATGATGATGATTACAAAATGCAAATGAAACATTTTTTTTCCTTTTTTTTTGGGAGTATTCCATGACCACATTTTTATTCTAAACATATGTAAGTCATGTAAATGTATAAACAAAAGAATAAATATAATACATTGTTCATTTTTACATTTCGACGTAGCCATGTGTTGTGTGAATACATGAGTATATGTAATATATTATATTCTATTATATCATTTTTTTTTATCATTTTATTATTAGGCTTCACTAGAAGCTATTCATTTTTTTTTTTTTTTTTTTTTCATCTTTTAAACCTATATATTGTACGTTATGTGATATAGCATATTAAGAGTTGAAATTAATTTAGACATTATACTGTCAATGGGAGAAATCGATAGAAAAAAGAAAAAAGCCTGAAAAAAAAAGTGGAGTTAAGTTTGGGGGAATAAAAAAGCACTGAAAATGGGTAATATAAACGGTAATGGTGTGGTATTAATGTCAATTTGTTCTTTCTTAGTCGTTTTTTTTTTTTTTTTTTTTCTTTACAATTTGTAAGAAAATATCATTATGTTTGCTCCTCCTGCTCTTAGAGGAGTGAGAAACAATCATGAGTTTGAACATTATTCCTGCCTACACACACTAGCACACAAAGTATATATGAACACATGCACATATAATATGCCTTTCATAATCGTGTTTACAGGATTGTGTAAAACTAGGATAAATTGAACATACTCCCTCAAGCATGCAATGTAATAACGTTATACATTGTCAGTTCAACAAATCATTTTATCAACCTGAAATGGGTTGAATTTCGTCCTGTCCCTTTTGCACATAATAATGTATGTCCATATTTTCAGAGAACATTTGTCTAAACAGATAATTTTTATTCCCTCCACTGGTGCAAAAAAAAAAAAAAAAAAGTGTCACCTTAATTGTGTGCAGGTGTGGATTTTTCTTATATGTGCATGCAATTCAGCATAATACTATCAATTGATAGAGTAATGCTTGCATTTTTTTTTTTTTTTTTTTTGCAAAATTGCTAAATGATCATGTAGAAATCGAAGCAAGAAATAGCTACTCCCATTTTATGAGATGTTAAATTGTCAAAGTTAGAATCTTATTTCTTATTCTGCAAATATGTGTTCACATAATTCTGCTTGCAATGTTAGCCCCCATTGCACATGCGTTCTCTGATGGTAGGGAATATGTCAACCTATGTGCATGCAACTAGCGTACGTGTACAGGCATAACTCACCTGCACATGTTTAGTTAAACCTTTTGGGACAGTTTAAAAGAAAAAAAAAATACTGAAGTTCTTGCGAATGATGAAAGTATATCCACATAGTTTATAATATGAACATTTGCTACACTACGGATTTTTATTTTTAAAAATGTATTTTTTTTTTTTTTCCCTTCCTTTTGTTCTCCTTATTGTGAATAGAGAGAAATGGGGAAAAAGAGACAAAAAATAGGAAAGCCTTAAAATTCTTGTCGTATCGAATTACCTGAACGGAAAATGGGTGGAACTCCATTCTCTCGAATATTACACAAATAAAAACTGGACATAAAAAATGCTTCTACATTAAATGGATTACAACAGAATGCACTTCATCCGAATTTCATATGTGCTGCATTTCATTATGCGTCCAAAGAATAACGCCTTTTGTAAAAAATGTTAAATACTCTTCGTTCTTCTGCACGTTGCTTAGTTATTGCGAAATGTTGCACACACATATATATACAAATATATTCTTACACACAAAATGGGAAATGTGTTGTTTAGAACAAAAAAAAAAAAAAAAAAAAGTAGCAAAACTGGAGAAGCAGGAAAGAAGTTACACGTGCTGAAATAATGACATAATCTTTTTCTATTCTAAGAAAAAAAAAAAAAAAAAAAAAGTCGCAAAACTGGAGAAACAGGAAATCAGTTACACACATGCTAAAATAATGACATATTCTTTTTGTATTCTAAAAAAAAGACAAAAAAAAAAAAATTATGCACACATTGGTGCAAATGCTGTGCATAACAACATGTAAATAACACTTGCATCATTTTGCCGAATCGACGATAACAGCGAAGGTAGTGATGACATCACTAACAATGATAACAACAATATTAAAAATTTGGTTGCAGAAAGGAGAAACAAAATATATACAAATTTGTTCTTTGTTTTAAATTGGATAAATATATATATATATATATATGCATGTATGTTTATATGCACATACGCATGTACACGCATAATTATTTTTCATTTCAGTTTATTTTTCTTTTTCTACTTCTGCAGTTAGACCGCTGTGTACATAACCACACAAAGTGACGCAGACTGAACGTGAGAAATTCTTCCATGTTAGTTTTTTTAAAAAGGATATAAACCTTTTACCATGTTTTTGCAAATTTTTTCTAACCTTTGGCAATTTTGCAAATTTGCTAACTTTTCTAACGTTTCTATTTCTTTTTGACCATATGCTCATCGCCCACCATTCGACCTTTACCTTTGCGCTTAAATTGACAATTACGAATAAATAAATCTCGGCACAGATCCTAGGAACGGGTTCTCCCACTGTCTCCTTTGGGGAGCCATTATGTTGTTAAATAAAAAGACGAACGAAAGTGCATACCTTTCCTGTACGCATGAATCTCGCATTAGCCCTAATCATACACCCAACGCAGACCAGACACTTACTCGAAGCACACATGTGTGTTTAGAAAATTGGGAAATTCTCTCAAGTAGTTCAGTGTGAACTCATACACAGCGAGAACATAAGACACGACATTTTCACACAGGTAAAAAAAAAAAAAAAAAAAAAGTAGCACACACAAAGGATTGAAGAATCGAGACCTCTTTTTTTTTCTCCTCCTTTTTTTTTTTTTTTGATAAAAAAAAAGTGGACAACACACTATGACAAGGGAGGGAGAAAATAAAATGGAAGTGGATGAAATAAATTCCTCATCAGAAGATTTGAAGGAACAGAAATCGGTAGCAGAATGTGCATCCATAGATAATTCAGAAAATGCAAGAATAAATCTAGATGAAAATAATTACAATTATTTTAATTATAAAGAGGATGATAAATTTGTGCATACCAAGTTGGAGCCAATCGAAGATGGGTATCAAAATGAAAATCCAATGAGCATTTTTAATGAACATTTAGCTAATAACTTAAAAAATATTGAAAGTTACAAAATAAATCTGCCTGACCAGGAGAAGGAAGAAGCAGGGCACTATTACAGTGATGTGGAGATGCAACTGAGGAACGAGAAAGACATTTTAAAAATACTCGAGGAAGAAGACGTTGGTGTTGATGCTATTAGTCACTGCAGCATTGAGAACCATGTTCATGATAACACGCACGGTAATACTCATGATGCTTTGCATGATGTTTCTAATGATGCTTTGCATGATGAGGTGCATGTCAAGTCAGAACCCAAGGCGCACACAGGTGCAGATGATCAGGAACATCCAGCAGAAAACCTGTCGAACGTCCATGCACACACACAAAATGGAACAAGTTCACCAACAAATGAAACAAATAACATTGCGAGAGAAGATGCTGAAAGCACAATGAATCACACATATCCTGATATAAGTAAGGAAAAAGAAAAAGGAGACACAAGCAGTGTGTACAAAGAAGCCGACAGAGATGAAGAGACATGTGTTGACAAGAGTAGAGACTTGCAGGTTACTAATAATTATGATAAAAACAATGGACAAGTGGGAAAAGAACTTTCATTAAGAAATATCAATATGAAGGGTCATAAAGACGAGCACAAATATTACTATCGTTGTTTCTTGAAACAGAATAATGAACACCATAAAATTAAAAATAAAGAATTAACAAAAGCGAAGAAAAATAAAGTCAAGTGTACAGAAAATAGTAGAAATAAACACAAAAATAAATTTCTTCTATTTTTTCAAAAGAAAACTTGTCTCACTTCAATCAACAAGCATAAGAATCACTACAGCAATGACATTGACTATGCTGAAGAAAATTTCAAAAGCAAATCACTTCCCAGTAGTTATGATGGAGACAATAAGGAAAATCCTTACACTCGAGATAACTTCGATGCAATGTTCAACCGTTACAAGATAGATAAGTTGAAAGAGTCCTGTGCGATGGAAAAATCTGAGAGAAACAATCTGACAAAAGGATCAAAAAAATACCCAAATGGTGATCTTACGAATGATCCTACGAATGATCCTACGAATGATCCGACGAATGATCCTACAAATGATCCTACGAATGATCCGACGAATGATCCGACGAATGATCCTACAAATGATCCTACGAATGATCCGACGAATGATCCTACAAATGATCCTACGAATGATCCGACGAATGATCCGACGAATGATCCGACGAATGATCCTACAAATGATCCTACAAATGGATCTTATATTTCACGTCGAACGGGAGGGGTAGTAGCTCCTCTCTATAAAAAGGACAAAATTGGTAAGAAAAATAACGATTTAACTTTTCATGCAAGTTGGACTTGTCCTATGAAGACAGATAATGATATCATTTTAGATTTTCAAACTGAAAGCGCCTCTTGTGTAGATCTGGAGGCACACAAAAGATCCACACGCATGGGAAAAGGAAACAGGAATAGACGCAACCATGACAGTGGTGGAAGTGGAAGTGGACGAGACGATGAAAATGGACTCGGTAGTGGATGTGGGAACGAAAAGAAATTGTCGTCCGAAACTATCATGAGAAAAATCTACAGTCTAGAAAAAATAAAATCTTTCATGTCGAACAACACGTTCTTAAAAGATAAGAAAAGTTTACTTATAAAAAAGAAATCTCAATTATCAAAACGAGTGAATTTTTTCTGTCATCATTACAACATTTTGTTGTGTTTCTTTTTCTACATTCTCTGTTTCGGATTTGTGATTACATCTATTTGTTACGATTCATGGAAAGTGCATGAAATTCAGCTAAAGTCTCAGAATACAGAAAAGTCTGTTCATATAGATATCGGTGCAACCACTATTAGACGTGTGCAAAAAGTGTCCGCAAAAAATGGAGATGTAACGTTATCCATTGATAAGGAACAATCTATGACATCTTTAATAAATAATGAAATATGTAAACAAATAAAAAAAGAAGAATTAGAAAATTTCCTAATAAACTTGGGAGCTAATAATAAGTTAAAATTTGAAGGGGATCTTATTGATCCCAAGAAAAATATAGTAAGTGAGAAATTTTTATTAGATGCTCTAAAAAACCCAGCAGATGTAGGTTTGTTAAAAGATGAAAAATTAATACTCGCACGTAAATATATTTTTGGGCCAACTATATACAATTTAGAATGTAAATTTTTACACAAATTAAAAAAAGCAGGAACCTTTCATAAAATACTTTTATATGCAATTTTAATTTTTTTATTTATTCCAATTTGTCTACTCTTTCATATCCTTCTCAAATATAAGAAAAAAAAAAATATGCAGATTATCAAATATGCCTCTTTTCTCCTCGTAAATTTGGCACTAATCACATTGATCTCATCCATATTTTCAGTCAATCGAGCTTACAATATTCCACTCTGTGTCATGAATGATGGTAGTTCCGATATTTGTGAAGATGGACTTTCCATTTACTTAATCCGCTCATCTATCATTTTTCTCATTTTTTCCAATTTGTTTTTCTGCAAATTTGTCAACATGGTTCATGATAAGGGCAGCACCTCCGGGGCTTCAATCGTTTGACTCTACAACTGCTCAACTAAGCCATGCATGTGCACACTTCGAACCAGTGCAGATCTCTCTCTTGTTTAATATATATATATATATATATATTTTTTTTTTTTCCTACCCTCTACTGTGATATACATTCCCCATTTGTCTTAAATTTTTTTTTTCTTTTCTGCCTCCGCTTGTGAGTAGTATTATACTCCCCTACTTTTTCCAACATTTTCCAACTTTTTTTTCGTCTGTCCTTTTTTGTGCCCTTTTATCGAATCATAAACACGCACAGAACTGAAATTTTGTGGTTTTTTAATTTTTTTTTTTTTTTCAAAACGTGGAATCCCTATCTGTATGAGACAATTCTAAAATAATATTCTAATTATTTTACCTTTTCTGCAAATGGGTTTATAAATATATTCTTTGTACCCGTTTTTCTGCTGAACGCGAGCGGATGACAGAATGGATTGCCATTTTTTAAAACAATGCAAAAATGTCGCAGTAAAGAAATATATAATGCAAAATAGTACATATGCTTTTTCAAAAAAAGAAAGTAATAGCATACCATGCTTTGTGTAATGAACTTTAGGATATGTACAATTGCGTCCCTGATGAAAAATTACTTCTTTAGCATGGCGAGATTTGTGCCATTGTTTGGTATTCCACTTGAGCAAGATAGGAAAAGTTACTACCCCTAACGCAGTTTTAGCACCATATTTCTACAAATGAGAAAAGTGAATAGCAATGTTCCAAATGTGCTATCCTATGTGATATATCATCCCATCCCCTGTTGTGTTGTGTTGTGTTTTTTTTTTTTTTTTTTTTTTTTTTTTTTTTTTTTTTTTTTTTTTTTTTTTTTTTTTTTTTTTTTTTTTTTTTTTTTTTTCTATTTTCGATTAAGTTATGGGCCAAGTGAGGGAGAGAGGAGGTGTAACAAGAGTGTGCAGTTTTTGTAAAAAATTCAACAGTTCGCTTGAAGAACTTCTTCTCAAAAATGGGTGGGAAAGCTAACCTTCTCTTCAACATCATTGTTTATAGTGCATCTTTACAAAAATATACCCTGTTTTTACAACTTTTTTATTATCACAACTACCCAATAAGTGCTACATGAAGGAAAAGAACAAATGTAGTAACGTTCAAAGAAAAAAAAATATATCACTCTAGATGAGAAGAAGTAAGCTAGATTTTCTTCTAACCCATACTTCCCTACAAAACATTAATTCCGATTATGTTTGTGTGTCAGGTATTATGTAACTTATTATTATTTGGAAAAATCTCATGTGTTGACATACCATATATATATATATATATATATATATATATATTTTTTTTTTTTTTTTTTTTTTTTTTCTTCCTCTCTAGCGGTACAACATATGGTGTATCTTTTTGAATATGTAGACTATACACGCATTGTATGTAAATAAAATAAAAAGTGTCTCAACAATGACTTGTACTCAGTGATGAAACCACGAATTCTCAACAGTAGAGTCTCGCCCCAAAATACTTGTGAAAGCAGTTACAAATGGAATAAGCATAGCAAAAATGAATGTTATCACACGGATTCTACAAGAAGAATTTCTGCATTTGAGAGTTCAACCGATTTGCAAAACATGGCACAGACACCTTTTTCTTCTTTCCCACGAATATGCTAAAAGAATAAATGCTGTGATTGAATTAAAGAGATATAATTTTCACACCTACAACAAGATCACAAAATTTGAGAGAAAAAATAGTACTATTTACAATTCTGGAGATGAGCTAGAAGAAACATTAAAAGTTGTTGATAAAATTTTGAAAGAAAGTAATTTCTACATATATGTCAAAAGAATAACAAACGATGAGGTAATTCCAAAAGAATGTGGAAAAGATGTAGACACTTTTAAAATGATTCGTATATTAAATAAAATACTGCTCCTAAGTAAAGGAAATGCTGACCCCAACTGTAATATGAAAATAAATATATGGCAGAACCCTATCTTTCTTGATTTTCTCAGCTACATGAAACTGAAAATTCCATCTTTTAATTACCATGAAATGTTTCTTTTCGTTTTATGTTTTTCCAAAATACAGTTTATGCCACAAATGTTAATCAAAGAAGTGTTATTAATTGCACAGGAAAAAACCTACGTAAATAATTTTTTTAAAGAGGATACCAATAAATTTTTTCAGTTTTTTTTCGCTCTCTCTTGCATTCAAAATGTGAGAGGGAAAGGGGAAGCACGTTCACTATTCATCAACTTTGCGAATTCCTTCGTCCAAGTCATTTTGGATTTTCTCTCATCTGCCCAAGTAGAGGAAGAAACTACACAAGAGGAAGATGAAGCACCAAACGAGCGTAGTTCTGGGAGGAGTATAAATCTGGAATGCTACATGCTACTGTGTTCATCAATGCACAATGCAAACATAAGGAACGTGAACTTGTTGAACCATGTAAGCAAAGAACTTTTAGAAGTAGTTAATGAAAAACGTTGGAGAAAAAAAGAAGAAGAGATTGAGACAGGGAAGAGACTAATTAATATTTACTTTACATTTGCCTCGTTAGGGTGTGAAAATTATCATTTCTATGATAAATTAAATGGGTATTTATATAACCTCGTAGATGAATTACCATTTTCAAGCTGTTTAACATTACTATTATCAATATCAACATTAAAAGAACAAAAATATTTTAATTTTCCTCTTTGTATACTCTCATTACTAGAGAAGAAATTTAGTCATAATTTTTATGCTCTAGATGCAAAAGATTTGCTTCTACTAATATATTTATTTACATATTTGAAATTGTACTTATCCAATTTTAATTCGTATGCATATATGCTAGATTATCTCCTAAACTTTCATCATTTTGAAGCATCAAATGAAGATGAAAGAGTTAAGCTATTCCAAATTTATGTTACCTTAGTGAATTCAGATCGTCCAAATGAATCATGTGAAGTTTACCACACAAAACGGAAGTGGGAAGAATCTAATATATTATCCGATCAAGATATATGTCATTCAGAAATGAATGATAAAAAAGTTATTCACAAGGATATAAAAGGAGAAGATATAGAAGAAAAACATATTCATCGAAAAAATTTGGAAAAAATTTTAAGAAAAAATAAGAAAAAAATGGAGATCAACATGCCGTTAGACAAGGAAAAGGATCCATTACAATATGAAGATGAAATACAAAATGAAATTGAAAATTTGCTAGCATTGCTTCATCATTTTAGTGGAAAAAATTTTCATATCCAAAATTTAAACAAAAATGGAATTATACTTAATTACTACCTAAGTCATATTCATTTCGATATTGAAAAAGTGGAAGGAAACAAGAAAATGAAACCACAAAAAGTTGTTATTAATTTTGATACTGATATAACTCACATTTCTGATGACAGCTCGTTGTTCTTCTCCTCCTCCCCCTCCTTTGATATATACACAAACATGAAACGACAACACTTGACTAATTTAAACATTAAATGGCTTTCAATTAAACTTCACCAGTGGAAGGATTTTACCCATGAGGAGAAAAAGAAGTTTATAGAATTTAAACTGTCTCACATCTGTTTTCAAGAACCGTCTTCTGTGCAGTAAACGATATTGTAGTAGTAGTGGAAGTGGTAGTAGTAGTAGTAGTAGTAGTAGAAGTGGTAGTAGTAGTAGTAGAAGTAGCAGAAGTAGCAGAAGTGGTAGTAGTAGTAGTAGAGGTAGCAGAAGTGGTAGTAGTAGTAGTAGAGGTAGCAGAAGTGGTAGTAGTAGTAGAGGTAGCAGAAGTGGTAGTAGTAGTAGAGGTAGCAGAAGTGGTAGTAGTTGGTGATGGTTTCTCCATTTTGGCTAGCTGTTCCCATGGAATATTTTTTTTTTTTTTTTTTTTTTTTTTTTTTTTTTTTTTGCTGAATTCGTTTGTCTTTACAATGTTAAGTTGTGTTTACTAGTGAATCAAATATTTTTTTAATATATCAGCTTTTAATTTATTTTTGTAGATTTTTTTTTTTTTTTTCTCAAAAATTTTAGAGTGGTACACATGGGAGATCACAGTGTACACATATGTAAAAAGTAATCATGTATTTACACAATTGTCCATTTATGCATTTGTCAGCGTATGTATGTTCATGCCAGCGTGCGTGTCGTCATATGGAATGGGAAACGTTAGTGCAAAATTGGAGAAGAAAATGTGAAGGACAGGTACAAAGGGTGGAGAGTGGTGATGCATACACTGAAAAGAAATAAAAAGTTGGATTTAAAAGGAGAAGCATGGAAGAAGTATTGTCAAATAAGGGGGTTGGGAGGAGAAGGAGGCGGATGAGGCAGCAGAATGGAGAGCTGCGTGTATATATATATATATATATATATATATATATATATATATATATTTATATATATATATAATACCCTTGAAATGATATAAGTGGCAATGTCCAAGTTATCACAAGTAGGTTTTCAAACAAGGAGAAAAACATAGCGCTTCTGATTCTGTCTCTGACTCTGATTTGTAGAAGGATAGTTCTACCTTTGGTAGGATTGGAAACACATTAGAAATCTTCAGCATATTCTTCCGCCTCCTCATTTTCATAATCCTCCTCGTCATAAGACAAATCACCATATATCATGTCCACTTCATCTTTATAATTCTTAAGTGCATTTTTGACCTCATTGGGTTTCTTTTTATTTATAAGTGCGTATCTTTTTTTTTTTTCTCTTTTTTCAATAATTTCTTGAATTTTTCTGTTAATGCTTTGCAATTCTTTATCCTCTAATTTTGCTTCACATGCAGGAAGAATAATGGATAATAGTCTTTCGATAGCTACACTCTTTGCTTTACTATCTTGTATTCTTAATGCCAATATTTCTCCAAGTGTTTCACAGTCTTTTATAGAATTTAAGGGTGTATTTTCTAAGGTTATAACTTTTTCCTGCGTTTTGTTTTTAATTGGAATATCACCTTGTTCATTTTTTTTTTTTTTTTTTTTTTTCTTCTTATTATCATCATCATCATCCACATCTTCATCATCATCGTCATCATCATCTATTCCTAAAAAATCTGCTATGTCATCTACGTTATTTTGTAAAATTTTTTTTTTAATTGCTTCATCTTTCGTTGTCGAATCAAGATTAAAATCTTCTCTTTTTTCTTCATCATCATTTAGCCACTCTGTCCAATCATCCACTTCATTATTTGCTTTATCTGTAAATTTGGAATATTTGTAAGCATGCTTATATCTACACATGTTCCACAAGCACACATACATCATCCATATGTGTTTTGTACAAGCAAGAGTTATTTACATATGCATAAAACACCCATATAACTTCTGAATGCATATGCAATGACGAAAGCATGGAGAAAGTACTTAGACTTATTCATTGCAGGAATGTATCACTTAACTATGTTTGTCATGAAAAAAAAAATAAATAAAAAAAAGCACACTAGTTCTGTGCAAATCTGACATATGGAGAATTGTATATTCATCACGCAAAAAAAAATGCTAATGAGAATGTGAGTGGTCGTCAGGAGGGGTGATTAACTTTTCTAAAGTCATGGAACCGAAACGAACGTGCATATATGTATATATATATATATATATATATATATATATATATATATATATATATATATATATATATATATATATACATATGTGTGTGTGTAAATGCTTGTGCAATATATGCACATGGGTATCTGTGTACATATAGAATGAGGGGGAAGGAGGGTTCCCCGTTCAGCTGAATGAGTATAACTTACCCATTGTAAGTGGAAAACGAGAGGAATAATGTTTTGAAGGAAAAGCGTAACTATACTCTCTTATGTCAAAAAGTGGTTAATATTTGTGGTTTGTGCAGGCGAGAGAGGAATAATCCGATCAAGGCAAACGCTAGAGATTGTAAAATCTGTGAAACAAACATTCGATGCAGCTTCCTTATTAATATAAAAAAAGGAAAAGGGGAAGAAAAGGAAAAAAAATATGTACTGTTGCGATTGTTGCTATTTGTGCTGTGCTAACTATTGTCACTATCGTCACTATTGCTTGCTGTTACTATAACTTACTTTTCCTATTGCTGTCATCACACCTGTCGTAACTAGCCCTACTAATTTCATTGTTATTGGTGTTACTACTATTTTTGATTTAAGTACTCAAGGTGTGAAACTTGCTTCGATGGGACTGAGCTCTTCAAAAAGGGAGTGCAGGGAGAAAAAAAAAAAAAAAAAAAAAAAAAAAATTAAAAAGTATACGCATATATGCATCCTCTTCCGCAACTGTATGGTTAACGGTCGAAATTTGGCGATCTTTTTTTTTTCCTTTTTTCTTAAAATGGTTAAGCGATTAATCTGAATAAAATGGTTAACCTGATTAACCTGATTAAACTGATTAAACGATTACACTAATTGAAATTTTATGTTCAGAGAACACCTTTTTACTTTCCATTTTTTATATTTTTTCTTATATGCAAAGCTCGCAGCACAAAAAGAACACTATTATGTAGGTAAATCAATTTCCACCTTTAGCCGACCTACTACAGTACATACGGTTTTTTGGTACATAATTCGAGAGAGTAGGAATATGCTGAAATATCCTCAGACACAATAAGTTGTGGCTGTTCAGAGAACTAACATTTCCATATGTTCAGAGAAAAGAACTTTCAAATTTTTCATAAATTCCACATTTTTCTACATTTTCATTTGGTTCTAGGGGCAGGATGGGGAGATGAGGGAAATAAGTACTCGTCTCCCTTCATGCTCGTGTGTTTTTCTTACCCATGCTACTTTTTCCATTTTTAACAACCCAGGGAACCGAGATAAAAAAACAACACAAATAAAAGTTTTGTGTAGGCAGATAACATATTCCAAAGCAAATAGAATGAAATGAAACAAAATATAACAATGTATCCAACTTTGTTTTGGTAAATTTTACACAGAAAAGGTGACAGAAAATGGCTTGTAAAAAAAAAAAAAAAAAAAAAAAAAAAAAAAAAAGAGGTGATGACTTTCTGGCTCACATTTAGATATATTATTGTTTTATATTTTTCTTTTTATTCCTAACATAAAAAGAATATTCATTTATGTCCAGAACTTTTTTTTTTTTTTTTTTTTTTTTTCCCATGTTTATGGGTTGATATATCCCCCATCTCCTTATCTCTCTCTGTGCATGTAAAATGGGCATAGGCACTTATACACATTCATCCATCCTTCCATTCATCCTTCTATCAATTCATGTGTGTATGCGTGTAAGCATAATATGCACAGAAATATTTTAACAAACATGTAACATCTTTGCTTATGGGAAAAATGAAAAAAAAAAAATAAAATGAATTAAAATAACAAAATACAATACAACACATAAGCCACGGCGTAGAAAAAAGTGTTATCCCATTTATAAATCTCAAGTGGGGTAGTTCTTTACGTATCTTAAATTAAAAATTGTCCAATTTCTCATTTGCATTTTTGATACGCCCACTATATGCTACATTATCACCGAACAGAATATACCAATTTTTATGTGATTTATATATGGAGAGGTGGTTTTCTTTTCTAGTCCTAATTATTAGTAGAAAAAAAGAAAAAAATGTTCAAACTGGAATATCGAACTACTACAGAACGGCTTTATCTTTGGGTAATGCGACATTTATACCGTTTTTCCTTTTCAATCGACAGCACTGCAAATGTGTAGAAAAAAGGGGAATCATACAACGCCATATACTTCGAAAAATGCAATTATGCAAATGTATAAATATGATATACATATGTATCCCATATGTGCCTAATTTATGGTGTAAAAGTAAAACACTAAATGGAATTTTTTTTTTTTTTTTTTTTTTTTTTTTTTTTTGGTGATCTGTGTTCAGGTAAAATTTTAAAATAATTGCAATATTTGTGCAGGTTTGCAAATGTTTCTATTTTTTTTTTTTTTTTGTTGTATTTTGTCACAATAATACCAAGGTACTAAATTTTTTTTTCTTTTTTTCCAAAATGATGGAGGTATACCTACAAATATGAGTAATCACAGTATTATGGAGAAAAATCTTTTTAAATTTTACATCCTTTTAGAGGTGCTAGGAAAAAATGTAAACGTAAAGTTTGTGTTGGCGAGAGAGAAGTATGTGAAATAAATAACCCTTCAAAGTATTGTTTATTTTTTTTCTATTATTTACTTTTTTTTTTTTTTTTTTTTTTTTTGTCTTGTTTTGCTTTCCTTTGTTTTGTTTCGTTTTATTTTTTATTCTTTTTAAATTAGTACTCTTTTTAACCTCTTCAAGATCGGAAAAAAAGAACCTTTGTGAAGAATGAACTTCACCGTTTTAACCTTTCCATTTTATTACCATTTGGAAATGCTTTATTCTTTTTTTCCTTTTTTTTTTCCTCAATCTGCCATTTTGAAGTAGCGGTACAAGTTAGGCGATTTGTTTAACTTACCCCCCTTATGGCACCCATTTTTTTGATCTGCATATATATATATATATATATATATATATGTATACATAGGTATGTACATATATTTAGGGTAGGAGGGTAAAGCTGGCCTAGCAAAAAAAATAAAATAAACAACGAGGCCCTTCAATTGTGTTCCGACATACATTAATAATGCAAAAATAAATTAATAATATATGCGTATGTGTGAAATATGGGATGAATACATGACGCGTTCGTACTCTTGTATAACAAGTATCATCTGTATCGTTTAAATGCAACAACTTCGAAAAAGAAACAAAAAAAAAAAAAAAATAAATAAAAAAAAAAAATAAAAAATTAAAAAAAAAAAAAAGAAAAACAAAAAAAAAAAAAAAAAAAAAAAAAAAAAAAAAAAAAAAAAAAAAAAAAAAAAAAAAAAAAAAAAAAAAAAAAAAAAAAAAAAAAAAAAAAAAAAAAAAAAAAAAAAAAAAAAAAAAAAAAAAAAAAAAAAAAAAAAAAAAAAAAAAAAAAAAAAAAAAAAAAAAAAAAAAAAAAAAAAAAAAAAAAAAAAAAAAAAAAAAAAAAAAAAAAAAAAAGTATTAGTTAACAACCTTAATAGTTAAACGGGAAAAAAAGCTTTCACAATTTACGAGAATCCCCCAGAAATTTTTTAGCAGCAGCTAAAAGAGGGAAGAAAAAACAAAAAAAAAAATAAGAACTACTTTTATATATTACGAAAAAAGTATTTAAATACCACCTTGCTTGCGACAAATCGTAATCGAAAAAACAAGGGAAAAATTAACCCCCAAACCTTAGAAAAAGAAAAAGAAAAAAAATAAAATTCAAAAAGGTAAGTTCACACCATTTCAGGGAAATAAATAAAAAATGTGACATTTTGACATTCACTTGAGAGAGGAAAAAAATAAAAAGAGAGTGAAGCGTAAGGGAGAGAGACGAGAACCATATGGAAAACATATTTGAATCAGAAGAAAGGGACAAATCGTCATATAAAAAAAAAAAAAAAAAAAGTGGAAACTCCGAGAATCGTGTCAAAGGAATATGTAAAAACAGAGAATGCAATGCAGCAGTGGGAGTTATTGGAGTGGGGCTGCACGGCATGCATATACACACACATACACACATACGTATATACATATATACACACATACACGCATAGATATATATATATATCCGCATGTACATGATGCATGTTGCCTCGCCCCCACCCAACAACTCCCATAGATAAGCAGGGATGAAAAACCCCACATTGCATTCTGCACATTGCCCTTGTGGTACCACGTTATGAGGAAATAAAAAACACATACAAGCGTTTTTTTTTTTTTTTTTTTCCAACAGAAATTTAGCTAAAATGGCTACAAGATTTAAGAAGAATAGGAAAAAGAGAGGACACGTATCAGCAGGTCATGGTCGTATTGGTAAACACAGAAAACATCCAGGTGGAAGAGGAAAAGCTGGTGGTATGCACCACATGAGAATAAATTTTGATAAATATCACCCAGGATACTTTGGAAAGGTAAGTTGAAGAACTGGAAAAAAAAAAAAAAAAAAAAAAAAAAAAATCATTTACTACGTTATATAAATACCAAATTGCCTGACCAGGTCAGGTAGAATATGACCATTTGTCCAAAAAAAAAAAAAAAAAAAAAAAAAAAAAAACAGTGCCACACTCTGTGTTTCTGTTTGTTCTTGTGTTAATCGTGTATGTATTATAGACACGCTTGAATTATTTATCTTTATGTATATACAATACTGGTGCAAACATTTTATCACACCATTTTGTCCTGCCCGATTCCTTAAGAATATAACCTTACTCCCCACACACACACACACAAACGTCTTCCCCATTTCTTTTATTCAATTTTATTTTTGTTCATTTTCTTCCGTAGGTTGGTATGAGACATTTTAATCTGCTAAAAAACCGCAAATTCTGTCCAACTATAAACGTTGATAAATTATGGGGTCTTTTACCAGAAGAAAAAAAGAAAGAATTTTCCGAGAACAAAAATATAGCTCCTGTGATAGACGTGACAAGAAAGGGGTTCTTCAAGGTTTTAGGAAACGGTAAACTAAAGCATGGTCAACCAATTGTTGTTAAGGCAAGATATTTTTCCTCAGTAGCTGAGAAAAAAATAAAGGCAGTTGGGGGACAATGTATATTGGTTGCTTAAGGAGTAGTTAAGAGGCAGTTTAAGGAGGTTCCTAAACGGATGTATAAATGGGTGGATAAGTGGGTGGATAAGTGGATGAATAAGTTGGTGAATAAATGGGTGAATAAGTGGGTGCATAAGTGGATGAATAAGTTGGTGAATAAATGGATGCTTTAACGATCGACAAAACGTGTCCTAACTGATCTAGTTAACCCATTTACAATGAAAGTTTTGGGTGACTGAGAATTTCCGCTGTTACTGCGAAGTTAGGACAGAAGCAAAAAATAGTATACTACAATAATAAAATATTATAAAAAAATAATATAATAGAGTAATAAAATGAAGTAATAAAATGAAGTAATAAAATGAAGTAATAAAATGAAGTAATAAAATAAATAAATTCCTACCGAGCTAATGTTGCTTATATTTATTTTTACCTATATTTTTTATTATATTTTTTTTCCATTTAATTTTATCTTTTAAATATGCTGAATGAAAATTCCCCCATTGCCTACTTTTTTTTATCAAAAAAAAATTATATGATTTCATAGGGGGAAAATATTGTAGGTCACACAACGCACACCCATCACCCCCTTGTACGTAGGCAAAAATTCCCAAGCGTTAAGAAACAACTAAAAAAACAACTTGGAAAAAACAATTGTATGCGTAGGAAATAAAATATTTTTAAAAAGACCAAATAAGAAAAAAAAAAAAAAAAAAAAATTTTTTTTAATCGGATAAATAATTACACGTGGAAATTTTAAAACAAAAAAATGAAATGTTGTTGATAGGATTTTTTTGTGAAAGGTAAAAGGTTATCATAAAATGAGGAAGCTTTATGCAAACTGATTCATAAAAAAGACAAAAATCGATTGGTATAAGAAAAACACGGGATGTATAAAGAAAATATAAATCTATAATTTTTGAGATGTCACTCAGATTTAAAACAAATAAAAAAAACTCATCCTGTACTGTACATGTTTTGCATATTCCTTTTATGCTTTTTTTTTTTTTTTTTTTTTTTTTCACATGTGAAATATAACATAATTGTTGCAATGGAATTATATAAGCGAAACAATTATCTTATAAATCCGCTTAGGGAAGAAGGGGAGAAGTGAGAAGAAAATTATGCTATATATAAGTAGAATTTGTTCACATCAAAACATATGATATAAAATATGTTTGCAAAAGGGATGACACGCCCTTTTTTTTTTTTTTTTTTTTTTTTTTTCCATCCACATTAGGTACACCATATTCCACATGAGCAAATATGTGCTATTTCTTTCATATTTTCTTATTCATAAAAAAAGGGAATAATAAGAAATATCAGTAAAAAGAAAATATGAGTTAGTGAAATTTTGTTATATGATACTATATATGTACATATAGAACGTAAGTTGTCCACTAGTGGGTTGCAGTTCCAAATTGTGGATTCTTCATATAGGAGAAAACCCTTGGAAACAATACGGATGTGTATTGTATATGGCCCCGTAATATTTCTCTAGCGTATGCTACACGATGAGTACAATATATATATATATATATATATCTAATGAGATGTAGATGATTTTATTTAAATAATTTTGTGTTCCTTCTCGGTTCCTTGTCAGTGTTTCTCGATGAGACACAGTTTTCTAAGTCTGAATCTAAATCGGAGTCTAGCTCATCGATAAACTCTGCATCCTGGTTTGTACTACCCTCTTCTTCTTTCATAAATTCCTGAAATGTGAATGGCATAAATGCAGAAAAAATCTTGCACTTCTCGGATAGACAAAACATAAGAATGGTTATGACACTAACAACCAACATTAAGTATAGGAATGCGTTCATTTCGTACATTTTCCTGAAAAACAGAATGGGGCGGAAAAGGTGGCAGCAAAATGGGGCAGCAAAACGGGGCAGCAAAACGGGGCAGCAAAAGGGAAAACGGGGCAGCAAAACGGGGCAGCAAAACGGGGCAGCAAAATGGGGCAGCAAAATATGCCCATATGCATGTATATCATTGTACTGATACAGGAATGTATTGTTCAGTTTTTCCATAGCTTATATCAAGAGCTGCAGTTCCTAGAAGATATGTTGGTAAAAAAGTAGAACAGGCTATTTCTTTCCTCACCCAATAAATCTGAGATTTTTAAAGACTAAGTCGAAAAAAGTAAAGATGCCTGTTCCTTTTGTGTAGACCGGGAAGAAATTCTGTAAATATTGAGGAATTTCATGCATTCAAGTAAGATACATTTATTGTATGCATTCTCTTTGATGTATACACTTTTGTTGAGTGTAATATTTTCAAGTTATACGCCTTTTCGTGTGCATAATGGAACTGAAGAAAGATATATCAAGTCGATAAAATAAAATGAACACGGTCTCCAATGCATTACAAAAGTAGTACAACTACATATGGAACCTCTACAATGTTACATGTACGAATCAGACAAGTCCTGTAGCTCTACTTTTCTCCATTCAGATTTGTCACTCAGATTTGCTACTCAACTTCGTCACACAGTTTCTCCATTTTGTTGCTCTTGCCACTGCAGCTGTTACCAGGGAAAGGGTTGACCATCCGGATGACATAAACATTAAGAGACATGTATTCATCAGAATAGTGTAGATGTAGGTATTCTTCTTCTCTAGTAATAAATGAAGTCCAATCTTTAGCTTTTTAAAAAAAAAAGGAAAAAGGGGTAGAAAGTGTAATTAAAAAAAAAAGAAAAAAAAGACCTATAGTATGATGAGAGTTTACATACCTATGTGCGAATCACAGTATGCAGATTTTTTTGAATTATGTAGATATGTCTGCAAAGATGAAATAGTTCCTGTTCATATCAAAAGAACTTTTTTTTTTTTTTTTTTTTTCTCTCTTTTTTTTTATCACCTTGGAACTGATGTAAGAATATCCAGAAAAGGAGCAAGCAAAGAGGTATGTGCTTACAAAACTGTAGATTATCAGAGAAACAGAAGTTAAATCCTTGCTTGAGAGAACCTGTAAGGGGATTGGAAGTAGAATTTTATGAAAAAAAATATTCGAACAGTGTGCTTAAATGAGTTAGGAGAAGCTGGAAAAATCTTCAAGCTCATTCATGTAATGCCGTTATGTGCACTATCACCATTTGAGTGCACTCTGGTCTCTGGCTCCCCCTCCTCCAACCCTCATATTATATACTTTATGCTGAGAATCCCATAGTTGGTGTAAGCGAAGGAACGTTTTCCCTCGTACATTGAAATGTACTATAATGCACAAAATAATTTGGACAATGATAATAACAGAGGTGAATAAAAAAATGATCCCAAGGAGGAGAAGAACAAGGGAATATAATGTGCTAATCGGGTTGTTGTAGTGATCCACCAAATTTTCGTATTTCATTTCTAATTTGTACACCATATGATTAAGTATTTGCTTTTCTCTTTTATATTTTATATTTTGTAAAATAGATTTAAAATAATTAGACCGATTTGCTCTCTCTCTATTCATTTCCACAGAATCTGTGATTTTAAGAAGATCTTTTGCTTTTCTATTGATGTCGTAAAGTTCTGCTTTAAATTGTGCTTCCTCCACGGAGTTGACATTGCCTATATGGCTTGGTTGTCCCATTTGGCTAGTTTTTCCCATTTGGCTAGCTTGTCCCATTTGGCTAGTTTTTCCCATTTGGCTAGCTTGTCCCATTTGACTAGCTTGTCCCATTTGCTTGAATTGACCCATTGGGTCCGCGCTACTGAGCAGTTTCGATCTCCTTTCCCTGCATTGGCAGATGTAGGGGAGAATTAAATTAAACGGTAGCGACACCAAACCAACAGCACCATAAAACGAAAAACAAATAGATCCAAGGAAAGACATAAAAATAATTACATAGTCGTTAAAATTCAAGTTAAAATATATTCGAATATTTTCCTTTCCAATATTTTTGCAATTTTCTTTTTTTCTTAAATTAAGTAATAGGAGATCCTTTTTATTTGTCTTCTCCAAATAGGGATACCATAATTCACACTCTTCTGCATTTAAAGATAAACTTAGTTTTTTAAAATATAAGTACGTTAAAAAGAAAATAAATAATGATAAAAATGTAAAAAGAATCAAAACGAATAACACCTTTTTGCAAATTAAACTTCCTTTATTTATACACGTCTTTGTAGAATAAATCTTGCATTGATGAGTCTTCTTTTTATTTACACGCTTCCTATAATTGTCTGCTGTTGCCACTTCTTTTGTTACATCTAAATATATTACTATTAAACATGGTGTTAAGGCAAAAATATGGATCCATGAAATCCAATATACGATTCTACATAATTGGAATGAGTCCAAATACCTTTTCATATAACTTAGCATATCTAAGTGGTAATCTATTGGTACTAGAAGTACTCCCATTACCATACATTGTACATACCCGAAAATTATGATCAGCTTTGCAAATGAGTATATAAAATGATTTTTCTCATCTTTATGGCTGTATTTTTTTAATAATTTCCAACCAACTACTCCCACAATAATTAAATATCCAATGGTTACAACCAATAGGATGTATACATGCATATTGGAGAAGTAGAGCAAAATAAAATAGTTGAGGAATATTCGTCAGAAATATTCGTCCGAAATATTCGTCAGAAATATTCGTCCGAAAATATATACAGCATAGAATATGTATATCAATTGGGACTACTACTGACGGAGCAAAAGTACGAAATGGAAAAACAGCAGAATGGAAAAAGGCAGGAATCGAAATGCTAACTTTCCCTACCCGTTCGTTGCCTTAATCTGGACGAGTGGTCTTTCCTTTTCTTTGGTTATTTGTTACTTTGTTTTACTCCTTCTAATTTTCACTTCTTCTGATGTTCACTTCTTTTATTTTCTCTTCTTTTATTTTCCCATTCATTTATTTTATTTTTTCCTTTTTTCCAAATGAACCGGGAGCCATAATCCACCTTTCCTTTACAACATACATGAACCACCCAAGCTGTGCATGACCTTTTCGAAATAGCAAAAAAAAAAAAAAAAAAAAAAAAAAAAATATTTCCTTCAAATTGCTTATCGTAACAACTGTGGTAAAAATACAACAATGACAGGACTTGAAATAAGAACAAAACTAAGAACAGAATTTCCTGATGAATCTTATTTTACCTTTGTTCTGTTATGTTAGCGAATCGTCCATGGGGTAGAATTATTCGATCATATTTTTTTTTTTTTTTTTCCAAATTGGCTACTTGAAAAAAAAAAAAAAAAAAAAAGGCTTATCATGCCCAGTCATCATATTTACCACAAGAAGTAGGTAGAGACAAGAGCGAAATAGGACCCTTTTTCCCCGCTACAAGTTTCGTCTCGAAGTTACAATTCTTAATTTTTTTTAAAGATGTTCTTTTCCTTCAATGGTTAGTTAAAATGAGGTGAATTTTCAAAAAAAAAAAAAAAAAAAAAAAAACAGATACGTACAAGATGAACGAATGATAACGCTTCATCATGTTGTACATCAAATGAGCCTTTTTTTTTAATTTTTTTTTTCAATTTTCGAATTTGACCCCTTAAACCTACTTCGAAGTTCAACAAGTTAAAGTGTCATCTATGCTTATTGTATATTACAAAGATCGGAAGCGTTCTTTTCACAAATCCTATTATGGAGTGTTAAAATAAATTATTTTCGCTTTGGTACGACCTATGGGTTACATGCGTCAGAGCATATATATGTACATGTACATCTATATCCACGCCATAGGGTATGGGACAGCTTGGAAAACGGATATTGGTACTATCACCGAGACTGCCCTTTACAATATGATACTTTTTCTACATTTAGTTCTGAAAAAAATAAAAAGAAAAAAAAATCGATATTCGCAAAAAATTTGCAAAAAGAAGGGGTTTCATTGTGCTAAAAATTCCTAAGATAACCTTTTTGTAAAGTTTTTTTTTCATAATTATTTTTTTTCAGCATTGTCTAGGCGTAAGTAGGATAACACATCTGGTGGTGATACCCAACCTTCCATTGATCATTCTTAAGGTGTGCACCATATCGTAAGGGTTTCGCCAATTCTAAATTAGCACATGCGCGTGAAAACGACGCTTTTTTTTTTTTTTTTTTTTTTTTTTTTTTTTTTCATGTGTAGGTGTTAAATTAAATGAAAATGCATTGGAGAGAAGGGGAAGTGAGCATTCATCCTCTCACTCTTTTTTTTTCATCCATCTTGGATATTTCTCTTCCCTATACATGCATGCCCTCCCACATTTTATTTCACTTTATTTAATTCTCCATTCCATCACTATGTTATACACGCAATCATTCATTCGATAGTGTTTGCAGCTCTGGTGATTTATTTTATTTTTCCTTCGTTTGATAAAAAAATCAAAATTTCTCGATGAGCAAAACGAAACGTTGTTGTCATACGATTCCCTTTTGTATCAAAATTTTTCAGGGGTGTAGAGATGTCACAGAAAAAAAAACAGTCATCTTGTAAAAATTATTATTCTTAAAAGAAAAAAAAAAAAAAAAAAAAGCTGTCAACGCGTGGTTACATATATTCATCTATACACATACACGTTAATATGTGTGCATACATATAACACAGGCTTGAGTTATTTTATTTTTTTCCTTTTCTAAGGTGCACTAAATATGTACACTTATTAATCGTTCCTACTAACAATTACATAGCACGAATAGCTTTTACTTCATTTTTTTTTTTTTTTTTTGTCAAGTACTGAATGCTTGAAAAAATGCAAGTGTAATAAAATGGATGTGCTGCCTGAATGAGCTACATGAATGTGGTTGTCATCTCTGTTTTTAAGGGTTCGGGGATGGGGACTCATTTGCTTGGGTTTTTTTGATATATGTTAAACAGAATAAAATGTAACAGCAAAAAAAAAAAAAAAAAAAAAAAAAAAAAAAAAAAGTATCCTTTCCATGAAAAATAGCCGCATTAAAGAAAAAAGAAGCACTTCCGAATTAAAAAATAACATTTCGAACGAAGCTACATTTTGAACAATTTTACACTTCAAACGAAGTTGCATTTCGAACAAAACCACACTCTGAACAGAATTGCATTTCAAATTCCGCACCACACATCCCTGACGTTTATTCTTGGAAATTGAAAGAAAGGCATAAAATTTCAAGCCACACAATAACACGTAGGTAAAAAAAGAAAAAAAAAAAAAAAAAAAAAAATTACCTTGCTTGTTCAGGCGATTTGAGAAATTGTTAAGGTGCGGGTAGGTGGGGGGGGAGAGTATGTAGTTCTCCAGCTTGTATAAGAAAAGAACAAATACATGAACACACCAGAAAAAAAAAAAAAAAAAAAAAAAAAAAAACAAGAAAAATCCCACACGCATTACGCAACAGTGTGTATTGTTTTTTACTATATAGGGCCATACATTGATGTCATTCCATACATCAAAAAGGGATAAGAAAAATGAGGAGAAATTGACTTAATTTTTTTTTTTTTTTTTTTTCTCATCCGTGTATAACATTTTCTCCCCCAACTATGCATGTGTTTCCATGCACACATCGCGCTACTTATGCAACTATTGACTCTTCATCATGGCAGTTTTACATTATCTCCACGCACAGGAATTAACTTCGTGACACACACACATATATATATATATATATATGTATACATACGTATATATTGGCATACCCGTTAAAACCTTTTTTTAACACATTGCAGGAAGGCGGAAAAATTCAACTCCCAACTGAGAAAATGACAAAAATATCAATGATTGGAAGTGGGCAAATTGGTGCCATAGTGGGGCAACTTGTCCTTATGGAAAATATTGGAGATATTGTTCTGTACGATGTAATGGAAGGAGTACCACAAGGGAAAAGTCTTGATTTAAAACACTTTAGCACAATTATGGGTATAAACAGGAAAATAATAGGAACAAATAATGTGGAGGATATAAAAGATTCAGACGTGATCGTTATAACTGCAGGTATACAAAGAAAAGAAGGAATGACTAGAGAAGATCTAATAGGGATTAATGGAAAAATAATGAAAAGTGTAGCTGAATCAGTTAAATTGTATAGTCCAAATGCTTTTGTTATTTGTGTTAGCAACCCCCTAGATATAATGGTGAATGTTTTTCATAAATATAGTGGACTTCCATATCAGAAAATATGTGGAATGGCTGGTATTTTAGACACTTCTCGCTTTAGAACCTTATTAGCTGAAAAATTAAATGTGTCACCAGATAACGTTAGTCAAGTACTCTTAGGAGGCCATGGAGATTTGATGGTACCTCTTGAAAGGTACTGTTCAGTTTCTGGAATTCCATTATCAGAATTTGTGAAACAAGGTCTCATAACAAAAGATGAAATTAATGAAATTACACAAAAAACCAGAGGTATGGGTGCAGAAATTATTAAACTTGCCAAATCGTCAGCTACTTTTTCTCCTGCTGCAGCGATTGTAAAAATGATAAAATCTTATTTGTACAATGAAAGTCAGTTGTATACTTGTGCTGTTTATTTAAATGGGGTATATAACTGCTCCGATCTGTATGTCGGTTCTACAGCTGTAATTAATAACAGTGGTGTCAAACCAGTTGAATTCACGCTTACCCAGGAGGAGAAGGAACTTTACGACAAATCGATTGCCTTTGTTCGGGACCACACGCAAAAGGCCTTTGCAATGATCAACTGAAGATGCAAAGGGGTGTAGGGTGGGATTCGACACGGCCCAATCGGTGCACTAGGTCGTCATTGCCCAATTGGTACACTATTTCGTGATTGCCCAATTGGTGCACTATTTCGTGATTGCCCAATTGGTACACTATTTCGTGATTGCCCAATCGATGCCCCACTTCAAAGTCTACGTGTGTAGAAAGTTGATTCGTCAAGGTATCTCTTATACAGATACATTGATACTGTAAACCTTTTAACATTTTCCCTAAGGATACATTTCATGGAGATGAACGAATCAAAATGCTACGACACTAAGGGGGGGGGGGGAGAGAGGGGGAAAAAATATGTAACGAAATGGTGAATCCTTTTTTTTTTTTATTTATATTCATACTTTTCAACCATTATTATTTTTTTATGTCTACTTTATGTTTCATGCCTCGTTAATGAAAAAAAAAGAAAAAAAAAAAAAAAACACACACATGTAATACGTACATATGTACATACATATACATACACATATACAAACTCCCACCTGCACAAACAAAAAAATGATATAATAACAATGATGAGGCAAAAAAAAATGTCACATAAATGTCGGTGTGTACAAAATAAAGGGTTAAAGTCATAATGGCACATATGGTATGCATGTCTTCGTTCTTTAACATTTTGCCACTATTAAGGTAACGATTGTAGAGATTAGTAATAGAATCAACAAAATAGAAAAGATAATTCTTAGCTTTTTCCCCTCCCTATAAATGTGTGAATAAAAATTAGAAAAAAAAAAAAAAAAAAATATTCCAAATGTTGTACTTGATGCTTTTTGTTTGGTGTTGTAATAATGAGAAATATTAATTTTTTTTTTTTTTTTTTTTTTTTTTTTTTTTTAAATTCCTTTCTTTCCCCTTTTTCCCTCTCCACCTTTAACCACCCATGCTTCTTTACAATGAATAAATATGCATATGCTAAATTTTCATATTTGATATAAACGTCATGTCATGACGAAGCATTTGTGTGTGTACCCATGGAATGTGTCCCTTTTAAGTAAGTATGGATAACAAAACCCTCCAAATAACCCACCAAAATTTCCAATAAAATTTCCTGCATAATGTGAAGGTGAAGGAAAAAAAAAAAAAAAAAAAAAAGAGTTAAAATTATATAAAATAATACAATATAGCGTAGCGAATACAAGTGAAGAAAACTTATTGAACATTCAAATTTCTTGGAAAGGACATGCACAAACATGCCATAAATTTATTTGTGCATGTACATCTCTCTTTTTGATAATACCATTAAACGGAAACATATTTACTGTCAGGTATAGAGACAACAGTGCAAATCTGCCACGTTTAAAAAAAAAAAAGAAATTGGTGCGAAATTTAGCTTGATACATATTAGGGCTACGAAAATTTTGGGAGATTTATTTCTTCCTATGAAAGAATTGGTTCTGCATGACTTTATACTAAGCTAGGTGCATATATTAAAAAAAAACCTCACATGCTTACATGTAATTTCCAAATATATTCCACATGTCTGTCAGCTCTTTACGTCTGTCCACAATTTCTTGTAGAAATAAACCCATGAATCCATATAATATGGTACTGATTCCCATTTGCATCTAAAACGGGGAAGTATGGATGGGTAAAAAAAAAAAAAAAAAAAAAAAAAAATGTGTGCTCTCTACGGTGAAACAATATCGTGCGTTTTTTATCATGTGTGGATATATATATATATATATATATATTCTTCATTTGGGTTCACGTTAGTTGATATGTGTATAAATATTAATTCTTACGTCGCTGCAATTTGAAGTGGCACACATGAGTAGGTTTCCACACAGGGCACTGAGGAGCATCATCGTTGCATAATGTCTCTTCCCATAGCTGTCAAAGAAGGAAGAAGGCGAAGAAAAAAAGTTACGGATGAAAATGAAGAAGATGCGTTTGTATTCATGCGAAGCAGTTGCACATAAAAAGAGGATCTACACATAACAGATTTTCGTGAAAAGGGAGTTAGGTAAAATGGAACTGTGTGAAGATACTTCTAATGCACAGCATGTGCTTTTCTAACAATTCTTTTCTTTTTACTTTTTTTCGACTATGATTCCTATATTCATCAAGTAGTATGCGTTAATCTGTTTTGTAGTGAAGGGGAGAAAAAAAAAAATAAAAAAAAATAAAATAAATAAACTATCTCAAATTTCACTTTCGAGATCATGAATCCATATTTGCATACTCAAGTATCGCTATCAATTGAGCTAGTTAAAAAGGTGAGTTAAGCGGTGGGGAGTGAAAACACAACATTGCCCTTTCTCCTGCTATATTGCTTTCGAACTAGTCTGGACACTTTTTCGTCTCATATATTCCTCCCTTTTTTTTTTTTATCTTTCTTTTTTTTTGTTTTACTATTAAATTCCAAACATTAGAGTGGAAAAATGTGGCAGTTAATATCCTGTAGTACTGGTGGTTATTCGTTACGGAAATTCTGCTCATTCCAAATTTTTTCATCACATCCCTACGAATGGAGAAGAAACAAAATAGGATAGGAAATATTTTCACAAAAACAAATAAAAAAAAAAAAAAAAAAATTTTCATTATTTTTTTGTTGTCTTGTCATGTGATGTCTATGTAGCAGTGTATATAAAAAAAAAAAAAAAAAAAAAAAAAAAAAGGAACCCATTCATTAGCATTTTTCCAATAAAAAAAAAAAAATTTATAATTTTTTTTTTCCCACAGATGTTTTTCTTACTCGTTCAGAAAGAGAGGGTTGTGTCTATCGAAATAGTACACATCTAAAATAATGAACATTAAAAATAAAAAAAGAAAAATCAAAGTTGTGATACTCTTAATTATAAGAGATGGAAACAAGATCTGAATGAATTTTATATCCTTCTTAAACGTTTTGCTAAAACTTCTTGTATATTTGCAAATTAAGAGTTTCGACTTTTGGGATTCATTTTGCCTTGAGTTGTTGTATGAGTTCGAAAAGAAGTTCATTTTCAATTACACATATTTTTTTTAAAATAAATTAAATAAAAGGAGTGTTTCTCACTAGTCCTGTGATATACATATGTACATATAAATGTATATCTATGCTACGTCTGCTCCTTACAGTTAGAGATCAAATCCACAAATGTTCAATTTTTCTATGACAAGGTTTTTTTTTTTTTTTTTTTTTTTTTCTTTATGTGAAAAAAAAAAAAAAAAAAAAAAAAAAAAAAAAAAAAAAAAAGGGGGCGAGAGTAAGAGAAAGTATAACATATAGGTATATATATATATATATGTTCACGCATGTAGCTACTTCTACCATTTACATTTTCTTTCCTTTAACGAAACAACTTCCTAGATATATTATTATATTTTGAAAATCTAGGCTTGGATATACATTCCCTCCAAAAAAAAGGAAAAAAAAAAGAGGAAAAAAAAAAGAGAAAAAAAAAAAAGAAAAAAAAAAAAAAAAAAAAAAAAAAAAAAAAAAAAAAAAGAAAAAAAAAAAAGAAAAAAAAGTGGATCCTGTTATAGGTTCCGTTTTTTTCAGCAATATGATATGTTAATTGTGTGTGTGTTCAGGTTCAACCAAAATTTTGAAACCTACAGAGGAGATAGAGTAGTTGAAATATATCCCTAACATGTCAGCTTCCCTAACATGTCGCTTCTTCCCCATCATGTCCGCTTCCTGTTCTGCTGCTCCTGTGCTATACACTACTCTCCTTCTTCATCTCCCTCCTTACTGCACCCCTTTTTTTTAGGTAAATAATTCAGTTACATGTTGAAAATCGGTAAATCACCTGAATGAGCATGAAATACAAGTCGATTAGTATCAAAATAATAGTCGACTAGTATCAAAATAACAGCCGACTAGTATCAAAATAACAGCCGACTAGTATCAAAATAACAGCCGACTAGTATCAAAATAACAGCCGACTAGTATCAAAATAACAGCCGACTAGTATCAAAATAACAGCCGACTCGTAAAGAAATGTTCTCTTGATGATCAATTTCCAAGGCAAATATAACACGAATGTGCATTTCTTTTTTTTTTTTTTTTTTTTTTTTTTTTTTTAGAAATGATAAACACACTGCACTGAAGTAGCAAGCTTAAAATTCCTTGATTTGTATATATTATACATGCCCAAAAGCACAACACGAAAAATCTCACAAAGTCTGCAAAAAATATGTTTGGAAATTTTTTCATATGAGAGTTTTACGTTTATCAGATAAAGCAGCCTAGAAATTGATGAATGTGAGGAATGATGAACCATGAATGATGAATGAGGAAAGAGGAATGACAAATGAGGAAAGAGTAAAGAGGAATGATGAATAACGAATGAAGAAAGAGTAAAGAGGAATGACGAATGAAGAAAGAGTAAAGAGGAATGAGAAATTTTTTTTTTTTTTTTTTTCTTTTTTTACACAGCTACATATAGACATCACAGGACGATATAACAAAAAATAATGAAGACTTTTTTCTTTTTTTTTTTTTTCTTTTTTTTTTAAATTCATTTTAAAATACTATGAGTGAAGGGAAGGTATCGAAAACGAGTGTGCTACTGCTGATTTATGAAATTATAAAAACGAATATTGAAATTTTGCAAAATAGTGACATCGAGTTAAGCAGCATTAATACTGAGGATGATTACCATTTTCAAAATGAGTTGAATGAAAAAAGAATGCCTTATGGTGAGGAAGAAGAAAAAGGAAAAATGCCACAAAAAAAAAAAAGTACAGATGTCACTTCTAATGAGGAAATTCTCACTCATGCAAGTCGCAACATGAATGACAGTAAGAATTGTTACACAGATGGGTATGCTAATAGGAACGTGCATAATAACTTTAATAACATCTGTAGTGCTAGTGAACAAAATGGAAAAATTAGCCAGAAGTTGATACATTTAAATAACAAGAACGAAGAAAAAACAATAGCAAATGTATTGTCAACCAAATTAAAAGATATGGGAAAAAATATAGGTATGAAACTAATAGAACGTGTGCTAATTTATAAAAATGATCTGAGTGATGTCAAAGATATAATAAAATTAATTGGAAGAGATGTGTGGAATATCTTATTTAATAAAAATGCTGATAACATCCAGACATTTAAAAAGGGAGTATATATTATTACAGAAAATGATATAGGTATTTATGTAAAACATGTACTTCTCGACAATGAGACGAATCAGAAATCTAACTTTATTCATTATGTCTTAATGTTAATTATTGGTATTATTACAGGTATACTGAAGAGGTTCTCCATAAATAGCTATGTTACGCACACCCTGGACTATCCCACGTGTATGCAACTCAGAAAAGGAAAAAAAAAAAAAAAAAAAAAAAAAAAAAAAAAAAAAAGGAAACCGAATTGAATAATACATCAAGTGATATTAATTCAGTTCAAATATAGTTACAACTAGTTTTTACCCCCCATTTCCCACCACTGATAATTGTTCTTGTACTCATATGTCGCTTCTTCGTTTCTTCGCTTCTTCGTTTCTTCGCTTCTTCACTTCTTCACTTCTTCACATCTTCTCCTCGTCACATTCTCCTCCCCTATAGGTTCTTTCCAAATACACATAATTAATGACTAGCACACGGGACTTATGTCATTAACACGCAACGAGACAAGAAACTTGTGCATGCCCCAGCTGTATGGGAAGTTAAATGGACAACGTGGAAAATAGCCAAAAAATTATCCCAAAATGATTCCAAAATGATCCCAAAATGATCCCAAAATGATCCCAAAATGATCCCAAAATGATCCCAAAATGATTCCAAAACGACTTCAAAATGGCTTGAAAAAAATTGCTCTTCCTCATCACTGAAGCAACCAAAGCGAGTGAAAATGCTGAGAGTTGCTAATTATTCCTCGGGGTGTATTCTGAAAATGGATTGATTATAAGAAAGACATGGTGTTGTTTAGCTAACCGTTTGAACGAGCGCATAGGCCTGCCACTTATTCATTCTTGCACGCTTGAGTTTGTGCTCTCATTTTGCAAAAATAAAATAAATATATAATGTAATACCATATAATGCAATACCATATAATGCAATACCATATAATGTAATGCCATATAATGTAACGCCATATAATGTAACGCCATATAATGTAATGCCATATACTGTATACCATATAATGTAAGACCATGTTTCTCGTCCAGTTTGGAAAAGCATTTTCCACACCTTTGCATAGACCTTATGATTTTCCATCTTGTGTAATTTTTTTTTCTAATCAAAATGGCCTCTCTGTGCAGACTAATATGTCAACCCTCCACGAGCCCTTATAATAACAATTTTTCCAGTTTTTTCATCAAAATATTCGCTTTTGCTTAACCCATGACACTTCTTTTCAAATAAGAAATTTTTTTTTTTTTTTAAAAGTGCATTGTAATTAACAGAATTGTAATTAGCAGAATTGTAATTGTTATTACTATCCCAGTCTTGTGCAGTTACGTTATCTGTTAAATTCTTTAATGGGTCCATGTTATTATTATTACGATTGAGTAATGTTTCATTATCAATATCAACAAATATTTGTTGTCTTTTTATTAGAGGCTGCTCATAATCCACTCGACCAGGTTGGTTTTTATAAAAATTTTTTTTTACATTTTCGATTTTTGAGCAGGATGGGAAGATGTAATAGTCCCTATTTTTTATGGCACGACTGCACATCTCAGCAGAGGCGCGAGTGCTTATTTCCATTTCTTCCTTCTCATTTTTGTTGGGTCCGAGTGGGTAACTGGCCAAACTCGTGATATCTCCCTCCTGCACAGAACCATTCAAAGATTTGCTAAAGAAAAGAAAATTCACTATTTTGTCCTTTTTCCATTTGATTGTCTCATCCATCTTGTTAAATTTATGAGAACATACCCGTTTTAGAAAATTTTCTATGAACTTCTCCTTTTGTGTAACTGAACCCAGACTCATGTACAAATCTTTATCAAAATAAAAATATTTCACTTTCAACAAATCCATGTGTCTTTTCTTTATTTCCTGAAACCCATTCAGATTTTGAGAATTACGCAAGAATTTTTTACGAGAGAGAAAGTCAACATAAATGTTTTCATCCATCTGCTTACTGGTGGTGGTGTTACTAAGGCCAACACTGATACATAGGTCAAATATGTATGGCTTTTTTTTCTTCAAAATTTCAAATCGACATACATGTAAATTGTTAAGGATAGATACCATTTCTTCGTGTATTTTGCTATATTTTTTATCTTGCACATAATCAATATTTTTTGATAAGAACACATTAACAGAAAGAGGGAATTTTTTCAAAAAGTCTGGTTTCTCCAAAGTTATGCTATAACATATGGTACTCAATATTTGTTTCTTTTTCTTATTACATTTGTCATTTATTTTTATGAATTGATTAAAAAATAATTCCATGTATTCATAATTAAATATTTTCTTTAAAATTAATCCATATGTAAATATAACTAGCTGTTTTGATGTAAAGGCAGGTAATAATTCTTTTCCTTTCTCTAAACATAATGCATAAAATTCTTCATTATCATAATTAACCTTTGCCAAGTTATATACTATTAAACTTAAATTTATAGCTGAAATGTTCTCTATCCTTTGGCTTACAACATTGCACAGTTTATCAAGAACTATGTCGTCTCTTATTTTCAGTTTCCCCATAGTGTATATCACATTTGTTATGTTTACATCGTTTAACTGGTGAGCATTCCTGTGGTGGTGAAGCGGTGATGATGGGGAAACAGTGATGATGGATAAGGACACGTGGGTATCAGTGTATTCCGTGCGCTTCCACATGCAGGGATGCACTTGTGTGTGCATCTGCTTCGTCCACATGGGAGAATGTAGAACATTTATTTGATCCTCCGAGAGAATCTCATAGCACATAAGTAGAATTTTAAAAAAAAAAAAAAAAAATTACCATTTGAAAATGTCAAAACAAAGGGACACGAAGGGTTCATAATAGTACTCATTCTTCGAGAGAGAATAAAAAGACATGCATACAGACAAAAGTTGAAACTCTCGTTCTTTATGCTGAAAAACATTTGTCAAAAATTTGTATATGAATTTGTAGTAACCAATATGAAACTGGATTTTGCTGAGGATATATAAGTATAAACACACATACTTAATCTCGAAATTTTTTATATTTTTTTTTATGTTATTGTGTAATTTGTAAAATATTTCTATAGGTATTAAATTCATTTTATAAAAATAGTACAAAATCATAATTAAAATATTAGGTTTTTCGAAAAAATATACTTTTCTTTTTTTTATCAAATGAATTATACATCTCAATAGTTTCAGATACGTTATCCTGTATTCATTAAACGGATCATCACTGTTTTTACTTCTTAACCGATCTGAATGGTTGTGTACGACAAAATTGGTGGTGTCCCCATCACTAACACATGGATCGTCATATGTAAAAGAATGGGTATTCCTCATAGGAGAAGAAGACTTATTATTACAATTCTTTTTTTCTCTCTCCTTTTTTTTTATCTGTGCATCTAGTTTCTGTCCCATTTGATCCCATTTTGGCAACTCACCATCGACTACTGCTGATTCTTTTTTATGACACGTTATAATGTCACTTTTCCTAATTTTTACATTCATCTTTTTCAAAAAGTGCAATATGCATAACATGTCCAAATGATTCATACTAGTTGCATTGAAAAGAATATATTTGCATATATACAAAGTGTATATATTTGGATTCGAAAATAAGGTTGAGTATGCATATAGAACATAAGTCAATACACTATTGTTCAGAAGATTTGTGTAAACATTGAGGACATTTACACGATTAGCACTCTTACTATGTTTTGTTGCACTTTTTATAATTTCAATCGTGTGTTTGTAATTGTTATCCTCCCATTGTTCTTTTTTTCTTTCTTCACCTGAGAAGAGTAGTTTACTTAACTTATTCTTTTTATATACTTTTATATTGTTACATATAGTGCGTAAAACATTTTTAAAATATGTGTACTTGTTCATACGTATATTTTTGTAGCTCATGGCCACTGAAAGAAGCATTGATGGAGATGCTGAAGCACTTTCGATATTTTCATTAATATGATTAAATAAATTATTAATTAACTTTATCTGTTTTAATATATTATACGATAGTTTAGATTTTCTTAAATTTTGTAATTCATATATGTAGTATGACAATTTTACATTTTCTTTATTCTTTTCAAATTCGTTTAACTTTCTTAAGCATAGGATTAATGTCTGTTCACTTTCTTTATCTATGTAACTTTTTGTGTAAGCTGAAAACACTTTCTTGCTGTTTATTCGATTGTCTAAGCTTATGTGGTTTTTGAACAGTTTTAGTATCACCCCTCCAGAGGTTGTTTCTCCAGAGGCTGCTTCTCCAGATGATGAATCCTTTTCAACAATGCTTGATTTTTGTTTTCGAATCCAAGTGTTGGTACTGAGTTCATACGTCTTCGGGTTCTTTACAGACGCAATGTTATTGGCACTACAATCAAGGGTGATAGCTCTTTCTCCTGTTGTAAATTTTCTCAAATGGTTCAGATATTTAAGTTGCGATTGGGACACAATTTTCCCATGGTTCTTTCTTTTCATAACAAAATAAATGGCAAATGTGTTCCTGTTCACCAATCGACTTTTCACCATTTTGTATCCCTCTTCATTTTCTCACAATTGTTTTTCCTGCCATTTTTCCAAAAAATTTCCTCTCTCAATTTAACTCCCTTCTCCTCTTCTCTCCTCCCCTTCTGTGTTTTATATTTATATATCTCTCGTTAGAAAACAAGACCCATTGAAGGGTGTGAAAAAAAAAAAAAAGTTCAAATGTTGATAGATGAAACAATGCAGAAGGAAAACCGAGAAATAAAAACATTGAATGTGAAAATGGACGCAGATATGAGGATCACCAAGAGAGAAATTACAAGTTCTACATAAAAAAAAAAAAAATAAATAAATAAATAAATAAAAATAAAATAAGCCTTGAAAAGAAGTATGTAAAAAGTACCATTCCATGGAAGCATTCAATTTTTTTTTTTTTTTTTTTTTTTTTTCCCCCACACTCATCTATATGTTTACATTTACAGATATTACATGAAAGAACTTGCCGTGTATCAGCTCGTTCCGAAATGGGTATATCAAATATTTGAACCTTTATATTTGGATTGACTACCCATAAAAAAAAAAAAAAAAAAAAAAAAATTATTCTATCCAATTAGCACCTTTTTAATTGGTGTATTTTTATCAAGTATAAATAAAAACAACACATTTCGCACAAATTAGATATACATTATTTTTTTTCCAATGGAGGGTGAATAAAAAATAATTCTTTTTTTTTTTTTTTTTTTTTTTTTTTACCAATTTGCACATCAAGTGAAATGTGATACACCCTTGGTGAGAAGACTAATTAGTTATGTATTCAAATTGATAAAGAAAAATATATATATCAGCACAAGGACAAGAATAAGAACAAGAGCAAGGACCGGTCGTAAGTTATTCACCACAAGGGTTATAAACATAGAATGACAGTTCAGTCGTTCGTGCATAAATGTTAATCCACTTGTTCATGTGTGTGTAATCGAACATGCAACAAATTATTTAACGCTGATTTAGTGCCTTACAAATCAGGCAGGCGAAGTGATTGAAGTGGGTAAAGTGATTGAAGTGGACGAAGTGACCAAAGTGCCCGAAGCAAGAGACGAACATTAGGCGAAACAAAAAGCACTGTAAAAAATGAAGGACCCAAAACAGAGAGATGAGGGAAGAAACTGTCTAAACATATTTTTCCCTCAATGTGTAGAATCAACAGACACAAAATTAAAACTGTACTTGTATGGAATCTGCATGGAAAACACGTGCATCGTGATCCATGTTACAAAAAAAAAAAAACATGTAATGAGAGGAGATACTTAAACAGAGTTTAGCACCGAGAAAAAGGACAAATAGAAAAAAAAAAAAATAAAAAAAAAATAATGAAATTACTCATATTCGTGCACATATATAGTAAAAATATGTTGAGATGAAAATTCTTATTTGCTGTGTTTTTGTTCTTTATGGGGGAACCGCACAAAGTTAATACGAACTTCCTACTTTAGGAGTTTCCATTTTTGCGTCTGTCTCTTTGTTTGTCTGTCTCTGTCAAGTGAAGATAGACTGAGGGAACCCTTTTTTCACCGTTCTAAACCATGGAGAGACGCCTTCATTTTAAAAAATCAACTGTAGTTGTGCATGGACGTGACAAGAATTTTTGTTTATCTAAATGTTTTTTTGAAAGTTCTGATCTTTAGAGTGTGCTTCGACATTTCGTTTCAGCGACCATGCTTTTTGCACCGGAACACATTATTCATCGACACATATTTTCATGTTAAACACACAAATTTCTAAATTCAAATTCTGTTTTAACTCCTCATTTTGTAGAATATCAATTTTATGAATACTCAAGAGGATCATATTAAGGGAAAGGGGAAAAAAGTCCAATTAATTGGAGAACTAATTTTCGCTTATAACTCAGATGATATAGAGAAAATAAATTTGGAATTACGAGATGGCAATGACCGATGTGATTATTTATATATGGCTTATTATAGAGAAAAACCCATCCTCATATATGGAAATATGAAAGAAAAAAAATATATGAACGTTCTGTTCATACTGTATAATTTGAATAAATATATATATAACATTTCTGATGATCATGTAAACAGTCTCGTTTTGGATGCATTTAGAACAGATAGGTTATTCACAAAAACAGGGGTTAAAAAAGATGCAGAAAAGTATGACCACGTGCAGGAAGAAAAAGTTGCAGAAGAAAAAATGTACACCACAGGTAAAGATAAAATGAATGAGAGGGATCAAATTTACTTCGATCATGACGACCGTGTGAGCAGCCTAGTAATCGACAAACCAAGCGACACTCAGGACATGTTCTCGTGGGAAAAGAAAGAGAACAATCAAAACTTCAAGCAGAATGAACAGAATGAGAAAAGGGATCGATTTGTCCATTCAGATAAGGAACATTCAAGCACTACGAATGTAGAAAGTGCATTAAAAGAGGAAAAAGGAAATAACGGAGCTTGTCCACAATTTATTGAAAATAAAAATGAACATCCTCTGACTATGCGTGACATAATTGCAATAATGAATAATAAAAGCGTTTATGTAAGAATAATAGAAGAGGAAGTAGAAGCAGGAGAAGAAGCAGGAGCAGGAGAAGAAGCAGGAGCAGCAGGAGCAGAAGATAAGGAAAAAAGTCTTCCCTGTGGTGATTACCGAGGAGAAGCATTTATACCCAAGAAGAAAAACATGAATTCTGCCCTTTTATTCATTTCATTTTTAACGTACATAATTTCAGCAGTGAACAAAACATCTTATTACATACTATGCACACTTCTGAAAATAAGTGCAAAGTTTGTCTCAGAGCAGAAGAAAAACACACTTATTTATATCAAAGAGAGATTACTGATGCATTCAGAGTGGCATCAATTATTAACTAATTTAATAGCATATAACCAAAATCCATCTGATTACTACATGTACAAACAGATACTGTTAATTCGGTTGTGTAATTTTGTAATAGATACAGTTTTGGGAGTCTTCATTTTTTTCTTAGTCTCCCACAGAATTATTAACCTCCATTTTGTTTTCCAAAAAATGAGCCTTTTTTATGACACCGGAACATTGACGTAAGTGCACATGGAGTATATGTCCAGGGCAATGTCCCCACCCATGTGCAAGTGCAAGTATATGTATGAGTACATGTATAAACTACACCTAAATGTTTTTCTTTTTTTTTTCTTTGCGCATGAATCCATGCTACTTTCTGAATGCCGATTGCTTAATTTACCCACGTCTTATTGCATCAGAGGGGATTGAATGTTTGCACGAATTATTGAAACATGTAACCTCTAGCAACAGAACACAAGTGATCAATTCTTTTTTTCTTCTCCTTTTTCTTCTCCCTTTATCTTCTCCCTTTTTTTTCTCCCTCTTTTTTGTGCAGGTCCATACTAGGAACATTGCTACAAAACCCACTGGGATTGAAGCTGAACAATAACTTCACCTCTTTTATTGGAAGTATAATCATCTCTATTTTGGACAAATGGTTCATATATCACATCAATGCATGCACATAATATGCATGAAAGTATATGTTTCTCCCATGTACAACCATTCATAGCAGAAAAAAAAAAAAAAAAAAAAAAAAAAAAAAAAAAACATATGGACAAGAATTTTTTTTTTTTCTATTCCCATCGTCATAGGGACTATTTCAAGAATGTATTTCATTTGAAGAACATTTCAGTTGTTGACCTTATTTTATTTTCCTCTACTTGTGGATTTTCTTTTTTTCTTTCACTCGTGATGGATTACCTCAAGATTATCACTGCCCATGTAGGGGAACCAACTGGGAAAGACGGCGAGGATAACAAAAAAAAAAAAAAAAAAAATAATAAAACAGTGAAAAGGGGGGAAAAGTGAAAAGGGGGGAAAAGCGAAAAAGGGGGGAAAAGCGAAAAAGGAAAAAAAAGGGGGGAAAAGCGAAAAAGTGAAATATTAAAACAACGAAATAACGAAAGAATGAAATAATAGAGAGGTTCGTTCGTGCCTCCATTCCAGATCAGCATGGAGTTTGTCACGCACATTCAGATATATGTACATATATTTTTTTTATTTTTATCTTCGCCTGACGTCCCATCCTCCCTTTTATTGCAGGTGACATTGATTTTCTTCTTCTTAAAAAAAATACATTCAATCTTTCACAATAACATGTATTCTCTCTATTTGTTGTTCAAGTAAGTCTGAACATGCCACAAAACACTGAAATGAAAGTAGAGGCAAAAGCTGCCTAGAGACAGTAGTGGTTCTATTTCTCCAACGTCACAAAGGCAGACATATTACTTTATACATGTATGCATATCTGCACAAGTGGATCCACACCTCGAGTGTTAAACAAATTGGAGTATATATCCCCCTTCCCATGCTCCAACAAATCTGCATTCGTTCATTTGTATCCTCTTATGTAGTGGGAAAAAATGGAATATTCTTAAATTACGAGTAGACACGAATTATTACACTAATGAAGAAGTCATTCTAGGTTTATTACAAAAAAAAAAAAAAAAAAAAAAAAAAAAAAATGAACGAAATAAAACAGACAAATAAAAGCATTGCAATAAAAATAAGTCTTATGATTTTGCACCCTACTGAAAAAAGGACACAAAATTTCAATGCAAAATTATAACTTAACATATGTCTCTTCTTCCAATTTGTAGGAACCATCCTTTTTACCATACTAATTTTTTTATACCCAACAGTTTTTGTCCTATTTTCGGCTTTTGGACTTATTCACTTTATTATCTATAGTAAGTTCAAAAAAAAAAAAAAAAAAAAAAGTGACTAAAGCGAGGGATATAACATGTGTCAAATGAAGGAAAAACATCTCTATTTTATATGTGCAATTGTACACAAGAAAAGGGCAAGCACAAGAAAGGATATACAAGGATCCTTTTTTTTTTTTACTCTATTTTTTACTTTATTTTTTACCCTATTTTTTACCCTATTTTTTACCCTATTTTTTACCCTATTTTTTACCCTATTTTTTACCCAATTTTTTACCCTATTTTTTACCCAATTTTTTACCCTATTTTTTACCCAATTTTTTACCCTATTTTTTACCCTATTTTTTACCCAATTTTTTACCCAATTTTTACCCCCTTACACTTTCAGGAATTATATACGTCATTTCCATTTTGAAGGAAATTATTTTGCATGTGCCGTTTTACATCTTCCTTCTGAGATCTAGCAAAAATAAATATATCAGCAGAGGGATAAGGTTCTCCATCTGTAAGTTCAGCATAAGAAAGACGCTTCCTTGTGCGTTCACGTTTGCGTTTGTGTGTGTGTGTGTTTATGTATGGTGGGATGAATTATAATAGATTTTTATTTAACATTCAAACACATCTGTTCTTTTTGCGTGCGGAAGAATTAGGTTTCCACCGTCACTACCCCTGAGATATATCTACTTTTGCAGTGATCATCAATTTGTGTCTTTTTTTTTTTTTTTACACATTCCATACTTTTCAGACAAATCAGCGGTACCAGAACAAAAACTATATTATTATCACATTTACAATTTTTTGCAAATTTTTCCATTCTATTGTGATGTATTTTCCGTGCAATGGAAAAACAAACGAGCCTCAAAATATTTACACCCATAGAGACATAATATTTTAAATATATTTTCTTGGAATTTTCGCCTCTCCTCTTTCCCTTTTGTTCACTGTTTTCAGAAAGATACTGAATTGAAAGACCTACCAAAATGTCATTATCTCTTATTAGAAAATTCGAAATTTTCATTTTTCGACAAAATAAAATTATTAATGAATGTTTTCCAGAATTATGATAATGCAAAATGAATTCAAAAATTAAAAGCTTAAGCAAAGGAAGAAGAAATAACTGCATGAAAATATTTCTTAACCTATATAATCCATTGGGTTCACTTCTTTTTTTATATTTCAACTTACACATTTGGTGTCTGTATAAATGTGAAAGAGTATACCTTTTCTCCAGCGTCTTCTCTTCCTATAACTTTCACATATTCTTATTTCAAAAGAATTAATTCTTGTGTCTGTTCCATATGTGTATGCATATATATATATATATATATGTGTGACAGTGTATGTGTTTATATGAAATGTGATACATACACAGACCAAGCACATACTACTAGTTTTTTTTTTTTTTTGGCACATTCTCGAATTATGTTAATTTTACTGATAGCGACGTTACCACAAAATAATGTTCAGCAATTTAAAAAAAAAAAAGTTGTAAAAAAAATAAAAAAAACAAGGCGTGACGAAAAATAAAAACAAAGTATGATGATAAGGAAAAATACACAAATCAATTTCCATTCTTTGTCAAACTCAAAACAATTTTTAAAACAATGGTAAAATAAAAAAAAAAAAAAAAAAAAAAAAAAAAAAATTAGAAATGGTAAAATATATATTGGAGGGCTTAGTGAAAAATGGACAAAATGTTATACATGTTTCATACACAAAAAATAAATGAAAATACACAATGAACATGGGTTTTTAAAAATGTCATTTAATCATATACGGACTAAAAGGTGCTAAGATACTCTTCCAACTTCTTTTTATATTTGTCGTTTATGTGTTCTATTCCAGATTTAACTTCTTTCTACAAAAAGTAAAAGATAAGTGATCATATGAAAAATGCGCATTTTCTTACACCTTCCTTTTCACTCATGTGCATGGTTACTCCAAATGGTGTATATGGAATTATTCAATCATATAAGGACACACTTATTATGTACACAAACAAACATAAACTCGAATGAAAAACGTACATAAACAATAAGAGATCTCGTGGTGTCATAGAAGTTCAGCTTCAAGATGTTTTTCATAAAGTTCAATTCCTTGTTACACCATTCCTTTTTTACATTCGTTATTCTGAGAAAAAAAAAAAAAATGGGAGGAAAAATGAATGGTGCAAAAATGAATATGGCTATCGGATGTGTACATACATGTATGCACTAAGAGAACTCAGAATTTTATTCTGCCATATGTGAATTAGGTGGCAGTATTCTTTTGAAGCGGTGAATATATGATGAATCGACACAAAATGCCTGTTTTTTTTTTTTTTTTTTTTTTTCTCTTTCTATCTCTGTCATTTTCTCTCTCTATCTCTGTCATTTTCTCTCCCTATATCTGTCATTTTCTCTCTCTATCTCTGTCATTTTCTCTCCCTATCTCTGTCACTTTCTCTCTCTGTTTATTTCTCCCATTCCTTATTACGTCTTGTTCTTCTTATAGGTGGAGCTGTACTTATTAAGGATATAATCATTCTTGTGGATCTTTGGATTTTCTTCCAAAATGTTGTCGTCATTATTTGAACTGTAGCTCCTAACAGTGTTTAAGTAATTGCTATCAAAGCTATTATTATGGAAATTTTTTTCTGAGTTGTTAAAATTAGTTACAGTAGAAACTTCCGCATTGTTATTTTCCTCGTTGTTGTAGCTGTATATATGAATTACCAATTTCTTATTATCATTTTTGTCTATGTACAAATCTATTAGCATTAGTGGGTAACTAAAAATAATGAGTGCTTGATTTACGTGGCTATTAGACGGAATACACAAAAGAAAGTTAGCACTGTCTTCGATGTAATAACAGTTAAACTGAACGGATATGCAAGAATGGGCATAGGGGAAAGGGTGATGGGTGGAGCAGCATGAGTAGTAGCGATAGGGATAGTGATAGTGGTAGCAATAATAATAGTGACATCAATAGTGATAGTAGCATCAATAGTGATAGTAGCATCAATAGTGATAGTAGCATCAATAGTGATAGTAGCATCAATAGTGATAGTAGCATCAATAGTGATCGTGATGAGGTTCTTATCAAATCAAAGGCACATATTTTAATAGACATAAAAAGAATAAATGAACACTATACACATTATGCAAATCTTTGTATATTACAATTTTATTATTATTCTTCAGGTAGCACTTAATCGTGTTTTTGTTCTTTATATCGATCAGGGCCGACATGTCATTGTAATTAAAGTCAAAGGGAATGGTATGCACATTCTCGCTGCAAAAATTGGATCAAATGGAGAATAAAAAATATATCAAGGTGTTGGTTACATATCTGTGTTTCGTTCAATCTACTTTTACATTATTGAAATTTTCAATTTTTACCTTTCTGTACTGGAAATGAGTTTCTGTAACTTCTTCGATATTCCATCTAAAACGAATAATACCTATCATGTCGTAAAAAAAAAAAAAAAAAAAAAAAAAAAATGAAGTGGTTTTGGCAATGAAGGAGATATTTAACAATCACATTCTCACACATGCACACGTTGGACGTATTGCACATTTCTGAGCCTAAAAATAAATGAGGAAATGACAGTTGCCATTTTCACTAATCGTCCAAGATTCCTACATGAACACCGCGTCGATATATTTCAATCTGTGAAACGGGATAACACAAAAAGTTGTTGTCGCCTGGACCTGCGAAAAAGAAAAAATGAAGTATGAAAATGATGAAACATGCAAAGTAGGCAAGCAAAATAAACATGCAAAGTAGATATGAAAAGTAAAAATGCATTGTAAACATGCAAAATAAATATGCATAAAACTGGTATATAGAAAAATACACTCGCCCAAATATCCACACAAAATAGTGCGCAAGTTATAACTACTTATTCCTTTTAATTTTGTACCATCGTCGTCATTCACAACATTTACCAAAACGGAATCCATACATAAGTTTATTTTTTCTTGAGAGCAGTTCTCGTATATTTTTCTTTCCTCCTGTTAACCGAAAAAGAGTGTGCGCATATTATGGACGACAGGGTATGGACAAAAAAAAAAAAAAAAAAAAAAAAAAGAAAAGAATTATGAACAGCAATGTAAATCTGTCAAGCGTACGAAAAAATTATGAACAGCAATGTAAATCTGTCACGTGTGAGAAAAACTTATAAAGTGCAATAAAACATTGTAGATGGTGAAGAGCGTTAAGGATAAAAACAGAACAACGGAAAAATTACCCAAAAAATTTGACACACTTTGTATTCCATCTTTCCAATAATTCTCTTGATTTTTTTTGCCAGTTTTTTCTTGGTCTGCACGTATAAAAAAGCAGGAAATTGCGTGTATATATATATATATATATGCGCATGCGTGTGATCTCTATTGGGTAGACTGAATTAAAAAAAGAAATTTCTCAAATGCTGCTTCCTAGTTGGACACGGAGGAATTGCCATGAATCTACCTAGAGGTCAAAAGAATGGCACACCCACAAGCAAGCAGACCTTTATTACCATACTTGATGGAACTAACCTGTTGTATTAAACTCAACAAAGGCGTAACAAAACTGATACACACATTCTTGTCTTGTATTTTTTCAATATATAACAAGGTCAAATTAATTAACAACTTGATGGTTATAATTCTGAGGTACAAATTATTTATATGAACATTTATAATGTTCCAAAAAACATAAACAAAATTATGATTTGAAATTTTAAAAAATGGGATAATCACATTATTAAAATTTCCATCAAAATTTTTGATAAAATTGTAAACAAATTGGATACTCAACAAGAAATATTTGTCTGAAATTTTATTTTTTATATTGTCCTTTTCACACTTTTTTATATTTTTTTCTTTCTGTACATTTGTTAATAGCAAGAAATTCAGCAATATCGGATTGCTCAGTTCATTGTACTTCATCAACATGCTGTTATTAATTCCTTCTGTTTGTGGACATCCCTTATAATTTCCCTCCTCTTGTTTATTAAAAATCTGAACACCATTATTCCCTCCTATTATATCTTCCTTCATATTCGTACAGATCACCTCTTTGTTTATATTCTCAAAAGACATTTGATTATTCTTATTCACATCAGCATTCATGTCATCTTCCTTTTGGAAAATTTTTTCAACACATGTTTCGGCCGCTTGCATATAGTAATTGTTAACCAAACTAAGAAAAAACATTTCTTCCTCTTTGTTGTGTTCAGGTAACAAATATTCAATGGAAGAACAATACTCATTTTCAAACTCTGTATCGTCAGTTGGATTTTTTCCCCTGATATTCACCTTCTTATGAGAATCAAAAAAATAATTGTAAAAATAAGGGTCTTTCAATTCATTCGATAGGATTTTATGTAGGAAGTTTTCATTAATACGTTCTCCAAAAATAAGTGAATATACAATTTTATTAATTTTATCATTTTTCAAAATATTTAAAGATCTTATTAAAATAAATAATGACAAGGTTGTATTTATTAAATAATTATAAAGTATAGAAAAATTATTAAAACAATTAACATAGCATAAGGGATGAAAAGTGAGACTTAATTTAAAAATATTGTAAAATACATTTGTTATGCTCATTTCATTGCTATAATAATTTAGTACTCTTAAAGTAAAATAGTTAAAATCGAATAAGTACCTGTATATATCATTGTTCACATTTTCATCGAACGTAATTTTCTTTTGTAGAGTGGGGATTTCGATATGACACAACTGGCTTAGATTGTGCTTTTGAACTTTTTCCAAAAAAATGCTGTTTCTTATTAGTTTCTTAATGTCACAAAATTCATCTTCTCCATATATACAATCATTTCCATTTCGATTTCCATTTCCACTACTGTTAATATTGCTACCACCACTACACCCATTTGAGTACTTACTTTTTTTTTTTTTCTTATGCAAAATCCCATAGGTTGAGCTCATGTGAATGTAAATTTTTTTTTTTTTCCGTTTCCTGAAGTAACTGTCTTTTACTTCATTTTCCTTTATGAAATTTGAATCTTTCTTGTTTCCTTCCGTTTCTTTTTCTGTCTGCACATGTGTTTCATCTCTGTCCTCGCTGTCCCGACCGTCTTCACTTTGTTTTACATCTTGCGTGGACTTATCAGTTGCTGCTGCTTCTTTCTTGGAGTTCCTTTTTCCACTAAAATAGAGGAACTCGTACGAATTGTCTGCTTTCTTGCTTTTCGGATTCACGCTATTATTATTTTCTTTTAAATTTTCCTGTACGTTGGATTGAGATTCTTCTACTCCTTCTACTCCTTCTGCTCCTTCTGCTCCTTCTGCTCCTTCTACTCCCTTTACTTCTGCTTCTTCTACTCCCTTTACTTCCTCTTCTAGTTCCTCCTTCCCGTCTTGAATAATATCCCTCTCGGCTTCTGCACAACTGATGTTCGAATTAATGGAAGACGTATTCGAGTATGACAAGCTTTTGCAAAAGTTGAAATTTTTTAAATTCTTAAAATTATTATTAATTAATTTTAAAAAGGGAGTGCTGTTGCTATAATTTAGTTTTTCCAATTTTCCTGTGGAAATATCATTTCCGTTTTCCTCTCTCTCATGGAATTTTTTCTCCTCCCTCGTATTAACACTTCCTTCGCACTTTTTCTTTTCGTTAACTTCTAGTCCCTTCCTTTCCTCATCATCGTCACCCAATATTTCTTTGGCTTCCTCATCCATATTTGGTATCCCTTTCGAATTTTCCCACTCTTCTCTCCTGCTCGATTTTCCTTCGAAAAAAGAAGAATTATGTTTTTCACAATTTTTCTTACTGGAGAAGTAAACATGGTCAATACTGTTGCTGTAGCTTACTTTTCCATTTAAATTGGATATTTCCTCTTTTTTGAGATGGAACGAGTCCTCTCTTTTGCCATTCCGATGATCACTCCTATTATCACTTCTTTTATCACTTCTATTATCACTTCTATTATCACTTCTATTATCACTTCTATTATCACTCCTATTATCACTTCTTTTATCACTCCTATTATCACTGACGCTGTCACAGAAGCCGTTGTCTGCATATGGGGCCACACAATCAAAATATATGGAATTGTGAAAGGATCCAATAATTGGAAAATAGAAATAAATTAGGAGCTTCACTACCAACATATCATTTATTCTTCTCTTCTGACAGTTTAGCACATCTTCGAAAAAGTACAAGACGTCGTCTATTTCATCTAAATAAGTGTTAAACAATTTTTTCTGTTTTTCTGATTCTTTGATTTTTCTATATATTTTATTCATCCTTATAAGGTGCGTTCGAAGGTAACAAACCAAAATGGTAAAAAATGCAGACCTCAAAAGAATGAAATTTTCAATTCCTTCATCTTCAACTACAACAGAGAAAGGTTTGGTGTGTGTTTGCATGCATGTGTTTGAATGCATGTGTTTGCATTCCTATGTATTTGTTCAGGTAAGTTCTTATAGACGGAGGCCCGGAGCAAACATGAAAGATGGGTGCAAGACAAACAGACGAGATGAATAACTTGGAGAAACGTGATAGAGGTGCGACCCCTGGGGTCGGTCCTACGCTCAAAGGGTGATACTTACTTTTCAAAATGTTAAGAATTATATTTTTGACATAAGTTCTCGTGATTATGTCGTTGAATTTGTACAGTCTCAAGGATTCTGTATACAGGGGGAATTTCATACTCTTCTTTATGAAATGGAAAAGATGTAGATGTTAATATTGTAGGTTGTTAAAATTGAGCGTATTAAAGTTATGAACGTTAAAATTGAGCATAATAAAGTTATGAACGTTAAAATTGAACGTGTTAATGTTGTGGATATCAATACTAATCGTGTAACGGAATATATTTTGTGCACACAGGAGTGGATCACATGTAGATATATGCATGTGGACGTTACGCCTATTTAGACGTAAACTAGTCCATCCTCGTAAATGTACTCTGGGTTTACCTCATTAAAGAAGAACTTGGACGTGTGATAATTCAAGAAAAATGATATAGATTTAATCATGGAAATGTAATATGGCATTATTTCATCATCTTGGTAAATAAATGTTGTGTATATAAGATTGTTTATCTTGTTGTTACTAAAAATGTAGTCTGAAAATGAGGATGAGAAAAATGTGAACGAATGGTAAGGAGTTGTTGTAAGGGACAAGGTGTTTTTTTTTTTTTTTTTTTCTTCTTTTTTTTTTTTTTTGGCAGACGCAAATGGATGAATCCTTACATAGGGATATATCCTTTTGCAAGTTCTGTATTAATAGAGTAAGCGACTGGTATATTTGAATTCTTATGTTTTTATTTATGTTTTGTCTAAGCAGGTATATAAAATGGTTAAAGATGTTATCTTCGCAAAAGTACCTTCAAAGAATGAGAAGACAGAGAATGCATGAAACGGGTATTCATGAAACATATGTGTATGTTAACAATTCATGAAAGGATTTTTATTTTTTTAATCCGCGCGATGGGGTTAACAACGAAGAACTTTCCCCTGGAGTCACTCTCATCACTATCGCCCCCTTTTCGTCTTTTTCTTTTTTCCTCATTTTTATTTTTTTTTTTTCTTACTGAAAAATTTGGTCGTCATATTTGTCTCCCCATATTGTTATCTGCGTAATTTTCCTCAACAATTCGATGAAGTTATTTATATTCACATTGTTCAGGTTTATTTTCACTAACTTTTCGAAGTAGTACCTGCAAGGGCATGTGGGTGTAGGTCACGTTGGATAGACGGAAAATATGCTCATAAGGTAAGTATGATGTTAATATACATTAAGTTTGCAGTGAATACAAGTTGTATACGCGATACATGTCAGACAGGTGGGGAGGGTTATTGTGTAGGAAAATCATACTTGAGACATATTTTTCCAAAGTTCCTTGAAAAACTAGAACTCCAGACCTCGTGATGCTTTTTGCATATCTCCTCCTTGCCTGCTCCTCTTACTGTCATACCTCAAATCCTCATGTGTGTAAATTTCCTTCTCATTTTTTGTGTTTTTCAACTTATCGTCCAAATTGTTGAAGTTAAATACATTCCACATATTCGCAAAGGGGAAAAAAAAAAAAAAAGCATAACGTTTTCCTTTTTCCTTTTTCTTTTTTCCTTTTTCCTTTTTCCTTTTTTCCTTTTTTTCTTCTTTCTTTTTTTCCTGTTCTTACATGCAATTTTTGCGGATTTTTGAAATATTGACACTAGTATAAATACCCAAATTGCAGGGTATAAAAAATGGTGAATTGTTATGCATAATGGCGTACATTGTTTTATATACACCCTTTTGTTATGTCATATATATGGTGATACGTAAAAGTGTATTTATACTTCACAATTTTTTTTTTCTTTTTTCTTTTTCTTTACTCGTTTTTTTCCTAATGTGACACATACATGTATTCATGCTTACTCGTTCACATTCGTTTTCATCATGCTTTACTCAGGTACTGTGACTTGTTTTTGTTTTTTCTTTTCGGAACAATATTTATGTGGGGAAAAAGTTATTGCACTGCTTTTCATTTTAATTCGCACTTTTTGGGGTTAGCGCTTGTTGTATTTTTTCTACTTTTTGGTATGAGTTACATTTTCTTTGTTACCTCTTGACGTTCTTTTTGGTACGAGTTATAATATTCTTTACTACTACGTTCGATTTTCTTTACTATACTTTCGATTTTCTTTACTATACTTTCGATTTTCTTTACTATACGTTCGATTTTCTTTACTATACGTTCCATTTTCTTTGCTAGTACTTTACATTTTTTTTTTTTTTTTTTAATGATAACAAATTAACATATTGTATGAAGAACGAAACATTTTCACAGCATCGTTTAAATCTACCATAAGGAGAACATAAGGAACGCAAAAAAAAAAAAAAAAAAAAAAAAATTTAAACAAAAATAAAACCAAATAAAAAAAAAATCAAGTACACATATGCAGTTGTATCTAAGACTGGATCTCTATACCTGTGTGCATATACAAGAACGGGCACACGTCTTTACATAAATTTGTAAAATCGTGCAGAAATGAAAGGAGAAGAACATAAGAAAGAGGAAAACGTTGGAAAAGTAGCTCATCCCCATGAGTCTGGTGAGTAACTAAAAATCAGAAACATTCCTTAAGGCATGTATATTATGTACATACAGATATTTATGCATATGTACCTATACGTATGTGAACATACATTATGCACAGCTAAAAGTACACACACGAGTGATTTCTGTTCTGTTCAATAATATATGACCCTGTGCAGGCGAAAAAATCATCATTAATCCGAAAAAGAGAAACTATCAAGAATTGAAGGAAAATATGAGTAAGGAGAGGGAGAAAAAAAAAAAAAAAAAAAAAATAGTTACCCCTTATGTGTATGCACATGCGCTTTTTTATACTTGTTCATATTTTCCTTCGGATATGCGCACGCAACTATCCTTTGAATATACATATATTTCAAAATCCCCAGGGTCAATTGTTCATTTTACGCCACTCCTACTTGCAGATATGAAGAGCGTTTTGTCATTTATTCCTAGAAGTGTTCAATTAAATGAAAAAAAAAATGCATAAGGGATGATGAAAGGAATATTCTTCTATATCACAGTGTTGTATATCATTCTCCGTAAGCGTGCAATACAAGGAATGAAAAGAATTGAAAACAGTACCTACTTCATCACTTTAATGTATGTAAAAAGTGTTTCAGCATGTAGACGTAGGAAAAATAAAAATAAAGCTTATTATAACAATACACTGAATTATAATATATATCCACCAGAAAATTTGAAAATTTCAAATATCAACTTTGATAATCACGTCATTGAAATAGAGAACCTTACACTAAGTAATTACAACATTGTTTCAGTTGATTATGGATATACTTTTATGGGTAAGAAAAGAAACAGAAAAATAACTCATTCTATAGTTATGTTAGGAAAGAGCTCCACATATATGTAGTTATATGTACCTTTATATTATATATCTTATTTTTTGAAACAGTATTCAAGACCTTTTTGTATATAACATAGGCATACTGTGTTTTTAGAACATCTCCTGCATTAATTTATGAACTGTGTGCGAAAGTACTATAAATGTGTAGCTTATGAAAATTTTTATATTCCCACCCACATCTCCCTCTGCACATATCACATCTTCTACAAAACGCAGGCCTTTGTATACGTTGCAAGAACAAGTATATATATGAGAAAATCACTGAAAGACATAAAAATTTAATATACACAAAAGACTTTGATTTACCGATTAAAGAAAATGTTATTCTGTTTTATACACTTTATTTTAAAGGTTACATAAATAATTTCTTTTCCTTTTTTCATTATCTGTTTGAATTCATATATAACAGCAATTTGATTGTTATCATCGGATGCAATGGGTTAGATTAAAGCATCGAAATGAGATTCGCAAGGAGACTCAAAACGGGCATGGAAAGTGGGAGAAGGAGGGAGAGGATTTTATTATACCCCTACAGCTTCTACCTCAATGAACATGTATAGGTGCGTGCATGCTCGTGTTTATTCACGGTTTACCTGTACATGAAACGAATCAAACAAGTTTGTTAGAGACATAAATTGTATGCATGGAGTCGATTCGTTATTCCCCCTCTCCCTCCCCTCATCTCCTCTTTCCACTGGATGAACGGCACTGAGTACACACCCACGCATGTTATATGTTTATACACACACATTCACGCATACATACATACATACATACATACTAACGCATGAATGTGCGTAATTTTCCTGCAACTGCCAGGCCACACATGAACAGACTGTCAAGCGATATGGGCCGACACATGTGCTATTTTATGAACGAGGTAAATGGCAAAAGAGAAAATCCCATGGAAAATGGAAGAAGAAAAAGAATACCATTTGAAGTTCAAAATGAATTAATTACATTTAATAATAATAATATTTATAAAAGAGAACAGAATAATTATGTGGAAAATTATTTTATTATGTCGAATAAAGTAAATTCCAACACGGAAGAAAAAACGGATAACACTTTGAATTTTTCGTTAAAAAATCTGGTTACTAAAATAAAGGATGAAAATAACACACTATTTTCAAAATTTTACAATAGAAATTGTAGAAGACGAAAGGATACCCTATCTGCTACTTACCTTCTCGATTACTTTTTGAAGTATTACAACATTATTGGTAGTTCTTTTCTGTTACCCTCTAGGAACCTGAATTATGTATATCATATGAAGAAATGATACTCGCTGTGTAAGCATAATCCGTTCTTTTTTTTTTTTTTTTGTACACATCTTTTGAATATGTGTGCATGTAAAGAGAAGCACTTACATAAACAATTTTGTAGACCCACAATCAAAACAATCACCACGATTACCAGGACCACCATGCAGGAGGTGATATTCCATTTTGCATTAATTTTTCGTATCGTCAAATTTGTTTTTTTACCGCTTTTTACTCTTGCGAAGCTCAGGAGTGCCAATTTGTATCCGCGAATGCAGCGTTTAGTCGCCCGTTCTTAAAGATTAAATTGCGAGTCAGGCAAGCGGGACGTATCCATTCATCCGTTCGCTCACTCGACCATTCGCTCACTCGACCATTCGCTCACTCGACCATTCGTTCACTAGATCATTCGTTTATTAGTTATTCCCTTTATTTTATTTTTTTTTTTTCCAAAATAATTTTTTGAAACACTGTGTTCATAATTTCCTCGCAGAATATTTCATGTTTCACCAATTTCTATTGCAACTAAGATTTACTTTTAATTTTTTTGGTAAAAGTTATCTCCCTAGTGGGTACGTAAAAATGAGAATTTGTGGTCTAACGGACTTAGGGGGCTTATATACAAAACGGATATATATATATACATATAAATACAGCTAACGTGACGAATGATTTGTTCCACCCATGTTTTTGTCAAAAGGCAAAAATTTTATTTCAAAAAAAAAAAAAAAAAACCAAACATGCAAACATTCGAAAATTCCCTGACCTGTTCATACAACTTTGAGAAAAAAAAAAAAAAAAAAAAAAAAAAAAATTCAAACAGCTAGAAAGAAAATGGAAAATGATAAGTCTGCAACTAGAAACTTATATACCTATATGTATATATGTATATATGTATGTATATAAGTATGCATATATGTATGTATATGTTTCATTCCTTTTGCCCACTTTTATGTGAAGAAGGCATAGCTAAAATTTAAGAATATTCCTTTATTTTTCTAGGGCTAAAATGTGAAAATGGTAGAAATTAACGAAATTGAGTTTATTGAAGATACGGAATATTTCAAATTTCAACATGGAGCTTGTTTTTGTATGGTAGAAGAGGAAAAAAAACGAAAGAAGGAATTTTCCAATGTTGAAAAAAATATTCCAAGCAGTAATTTTATAATAAGTAATACAAAACAGAAGGGTCTTTATTTCTTTAACCAGCATTTAAATATTTTCTCTTTGTCTGACTTTTTATACAAAATTGATAATGAAAATAATAACGACAGCAATGACAAAATAAATATTAAAACCAAGCCCTTTGAGGAAAATATTCTTTTAATTGAAAACAATAAAACAGATGCTTTAGCCTTTTTGTATACAGATCGACAAAATTTTTATGTTTTTGATTATGACAGCGACAATGTGAAGCTGCATTGCACTCTGGGTATACAAGTTAGGAGTTTCAAACACATAGGTACAATTGAAGCTACGTTGTGTATGCTTGCATGTACACATATGTACCTGTGTGGAATTGTATGTGCTAGTGTGTGTTCATATGAAGACTCATAGTATACCTGTGTGGAATTGTATGTGCTAGTGTGTGTTCATATGAAGACTCATAGTATACCTGTGTGGAATTGTATGTGCTAGTGTGTGTTCATATGAAGACTCATAGTGTACCTGTGTGGAATTGTATGTACTGGTGTGTGTTCATATGAAGACTCATAATTTGCATGTGTGTCTTTTTCCTCACCACCAATCCCTCCCATTTTTTTTTTTTTTTTTTTTTTTTTTTTTTTTAAGACGACCTACTTTTCCTAGTTCTTAGCGACAACGAACGAGTGTACCTGCTGAAGGACAAGCAGTTGTATGAATGCCAAGAATGGACCACACCAGTTAACAATATTGATGAGAAGAACGGAGTTTTTCTTTTGACATATTCAAATAAAGAAGTATTCATTTTAAAGGATGAAAAAAAAAGCAACACTTATGACCTAAGTAACATTAGCAAAGAAATAGATGTCCCGTACCAAAGCTGTAATATAACATGTGCAAAAATTTTAGAAACAACAAAAAAAAAGAGAAAATTGTTTTTAGTAGTGTTATACAATGATTCAGATGAGCTAACAGCTGTTACATATGATGTGCAAATAGAACACGATAAAATAAAAAGAGTTAACTACTCAATTAATGATTATTTTTTTCAAAATTTTGACAAAAACACATTTGTTAAATGTACATACATAAGTGAATGGAAAACTGTGATAAGTATTTCATCTGAATCATGTGAAGCCGTAATTCATACACATAACCATAATATGATTGGAGAACCAAAAGATGAAGAGGAAAATGCAAATATGCAAAAATCATCAGATGGGGAAAATAATGAAGACCTTAAAATTCTGTGTATAAAGGAGGGATATAAAATGAACACACGTGAATCAGAAACCTTTTTTTTGTCACTTTTTATGTATTCCAAATATCAAGATAAAATATATCGAAAGAGTAAATTAGGAAATGTCCCTTTTTTGAAAAATCCTAGTGTTTTTTTCGTCTTACAAGATAATCAAAAAATTGTAGTTGAATATTTAGATAAGTATAAGTTAGTGGACAATACTGATTTTTCTATCAATGTTAATAATAAAGAGACGAATGAATGTGAAATGAAAGAAGTGACTATTCTTCCACCATTGAAACATGACATTATCGAATTGTATGAACCAGTATCATTCAATATATTCAAAATTTTCAAAGTCAAGGAAATTATTTCATATGAAAAAATGAGTCAAGTAAAAGGTGACGAACCAGTATTTCCTGCAACAATAAAGCAAAGCTTCTTCGATATCTTTCAAAGTAAAATAAAATCAACTGAGGAAAAGGTGATAGAAGAAGACAATAAAGAATTTCATTTTATGAAAGAACACTTCGAGGAGGGGTATGCTATCGGCACGATTAAACAGAAAAAAAATTGTACTACTGAAGAGAACGAGGTTGGTCAAGTATATCAAGCAAAACAAGTCCCCACCCAACAGGAGAAATATGATAAAAACCAAATTTTGGAGAAACGTCAACAATTATATAAAAGTGTTCGAAAAAGTAAAAAAATATATGAAGATGAAAATTTTATTGTTAACGAATTATCAGAAGGATTTAATAAATTAATAAAAAGTGGAATTTATTTTTGTGAAGATTTTTTGAATCACTTGAATGTGTATTCTATAGAAAAACGAAAAATATCAAATGTTGGTTCTAGAAAAAAGGAATGTTATTATGATAAAAAATGTGACACAGTTGTTTTTTTACGAGATAGTGTAATTGGGCAAGAAGTAGAGGAAGAAAAACCAGAAGATGATAACAATGAAGAAAAGAAAAAAAAAAAAAAATTACAAAAAACAAAGAAAAGCGAATTTCATGATTACTTCCACTGTGAAGATTTCAATTTTTATAAGCATAAAAAATTATCTGATATTCAATGTGAAAAAATTATCAGCAAAATAGAGCGAAAACAGCATTTTCTGTATGACTTAAAAAGGATCTTCATAAATGAGGACCGTTCGAAGGGAGATGAAACAGAGGAAGAAGATGAAAAAAAAAAAAAAAAAAAAAAAACGGTAAAAAGTTTTCAAAACGAGAAACCAGTTTTCAACGAACAGTTAAACGGAATAGATAAAACAGTTTTTAATCAAAATGAAAAAACGAATGAATTATTCAGCAGAGCAATCCAAGTTCGTTGGTCAAATGAAGAAAGAAAGAAATTTTATGAAAATTTAGATTTATACTTTTCCAAAAGGAAATTACTGAAAGTAAATAATGAAATTTTTAATATTTTACGAACAAATGATCACACCAGTATAAATTTACTTGAAACTGTCCTTTATAACATTTCTAAGTATAGTGAATTGAAACATTGTGAAGCGCTCATATATTTTATTTTAAAAAATATCCAAATAAAATTATTTTCTAGCTCGCTTTTTCTACTCGAAATGTACTTTTTCAATCTCCTAGAACCGTATCTCACGAGGAACGAATTAAGCAATTTGCAAATATATGATCAAAAGAACATGTTAAAGGAAAAATTTTCATTAAGAGGACATATAAGAAATCGAGAGAATTGTAATAACAATACTTTGAATGTTAATTTGAATTATAATGACAAGGAGTGTAATTTAGACAGTGAATACAGCACAGATAATTATTCGGAAGATGACCTATTGAAGAAAATAAAAAATGAAAAAAATTCCAAAAAAAAAAATGAATACCTTTCAAAAATGATACCCTTGTTCAATGAAAGGACGAACAAAGAAAGCGAATTGATTGAGTTTCATTTGATGCACGCAGGTGTTGATTTTTTGAATAACAGGTTGTGTCACACATTTTCACAAAAGCTGTTTCCAATTCTTATAGACAATAATTTGAATCAAATAGACACTGAGTTGAGTATGATAAAAAGTTATATCTCCCACGCCATTTTGGGTGAAGAGACATTCAATCTGATCTAGGTATGTCAAGACTGAGTAAAATTTCAGCAACAAAGTGTAAGAATCAATCATCGGTAGGTATGAGAGATACCCGCAAAGGGGTAGAAAAAAAAAAAAAAAAAAAAATTCAAGACATATTCAAGACTTCGAGGTGTCGTATGAGATGTGTTTTGCTATTTTTATTAGTAACTTTTGTTTTGCTATTTTTATTAGTAACTTTTGTTTTGCTATTTTTGTTAGTAACTTTTGTTTTGCTATTTTTATTAGTAACTTTTGTTTTGCTATTTTTATTAGTAACTTTTGTTTTGCTATTTTTATTAGTAACTTTTTTTTTTCCTTTTTTTATTAGTAACTTTTGTTTTGCTATTTTTATTAGTAACTTTTTTTTTCCTTTTTTTATTAGTAACTTTTGTTTTTCCTTTTTTTTTTTTTTTGAAACCTGGGGGAAGATTACCCTATACTTTACCAAATCGAGTAGTGTTCCTTGTAGCAACGGAAAATTTCCATGTTTTCTTTCTTCTTCGTCTTCTCTTCCTCCATGTCAAATGCTACCTAATTGAAAAATCATTCTTGTTATTTTTAAAAAAAGTTCTTTTAAAAATTTTAATTTCGAAGGCTAGTTTTGCTCATAAACATTATTACACATACGCAAATGAGCGGTAAAATTGGTACAAAAAAAAGAATCATAATGAAAATGAGTAAGGTAAATAATAAAAAAATTACAAAAAAAGATGAAAAATTATGAAATATGATGAAAAATGATGAAATATTCTGAAATATGATGAAAATGATGAAAAATGATGAAAAATGATGAAAATGATGAAAAAAATAAAATAAAAAAGGGGGAACGGCGCAAACGTGTTGGGATGAATATGGAAGAGAAAAATTAAGAAGAAATGATTACGAAGGAATGACTGCGGACCCATTAACTGGGATCATAATGGGTGTTCAGCTCTTCGGGTTTGTATATATATATATATATATGTACATTGCTCTGCCCGAATTCACGTTGTGCCACTGTCTGAAATGTGGGAACATAAGAAATGTTCGCATAGTTGGAAAAGTGCATCCTTCGAATCAATGATATCCTTTTTTTGTTTCAGAAAAATTTCCTTGTACTTTTTATTTACTTTAAAGTAGTTTTTGTATATCTTCAAATTTGTTTTATTTTTGTAATTCTTCAAACATTCAGTTGCAAAGTACACGAGCTGTGGACTTTCAGAACATAGCTTCAGGATGCAATCTATTCGTTTTATATTCTGTTGAAAATGGTTGGAAGCGGGAATAAAATAAAAAAAAAAATGCAAAAATTTTGTGGAGGTCATACTAAATCATCCCCACTCATGTGTCCATATGTGTCCATATGTGTATATATGTATGTATATGTATATGTATATATATATATATTTATTTATGCATCATAAGGTTGCACATTTATTCCATTGTGCACCTATGCGTAGAATCATTGTTGATATTCTCTTACTGTCAAGATGTTTTTGTTCATAAACATGTTGGCCTGGAGAGCCAAGACAATGCAAAGAAATTCCGGAAGGCACATTTTAAACAGTTTCTGAGAACGGGTCGAGTTAAGGGATGCATGTGCATATATGCATATATACGTACAGGTACATCCATACGTGCACCCATACATTCACACGTATGCATATGTAGGAGCAGCTCCTTATGTGCGAACAAAAGTGGGGTGGTGAAATATGTCGACAGGGAGTGCTTTGCTTTTATACCTGACCAATCCACACAAGTTGAACAGCTGAATTTTTACTTAGCCATGTTGAAATTTGTATTAAAATGTGATAAGCGTTTTTCGTTTCCACCTTGTCCAGAGTCCCTAAGGAGAATATTCCAGAGTTTGAAAAAATTTCACAATTTGGACAGACTTTCTTCGCGTTAGACATGTTTCTTGATCCTTTTGCTCTCTGCTGCATCGAATTGTTGGAAGAAGAACCTCTCTTTTTTAACCTATCTTCCTGAACAAACAGATTTTTCCTTCTTTTTTTCAAAATTGATTTCTTAAAATTTTCATAACGACCAGGTATACAATCACTAAGAGTTGATTTATTTTCTGTTACCACGAGAGAATCATGGCTTCTTTCCATTATGACATCGGAGAGGCAATCTCTCTCCACCTGGGTATTCCACTTATTGTAATCCAAATCATCTATCATCCAATTTTGTATATTTCTTTGTATGTACATCTTCTCATCATAGTCGTAATTCACACAACACTGGGAGGTACTATAACATGTGGTAGGACGATTGTCGTGAGTATCCTTACTGTTATGTATTTTGTTTCCATCAGGTGAAAAATATTCGCTGTGGTTTTTGCCTGTAGATGTAATAGCTACATAATCTACAAAATATTTGTCCATATCATTAACTTTCCTTCTACTTGAATTTATAATTTCTACCCTTTCTTGTCTTTTTTTTTTTTTTTTTTTTTCTTTTTTTCTAATCACTCTTCGGGTATTTTTTCCTTTCATTTTGCTGAAATTGTGTCCATTCAGAATCCTATAATGCTTACGTAAAATCTTGTAGTTAAATAGTGCACGCACGTAGGAAGTGTACTTGGGTACACTAGGTGGATTTAATTTATATGCTTCTCTTACCCCTACCAGCTTTTGTAATTTGGATGGAAATATGAATAACTCTGCACAAATTATGATGCACACAGATAACGTGTACTGTATCTGTATGCTCAAGATGAGTGCGTTCAGGTAAAACATATCCTCATTATTCTCTCTACCCTCGTTGCAATAAGGGTTGTCATTCTGAGGAGCATCCCTGAGGGGATTCTCTCCATGCACGTAGTGCACCTTAGGGGTACTCCACTTTTCTGCTCCGAGATTAGTAGCGGTGTCATCATTCGGGGTGCACCCATTTTGAGCGGTACTATTTGGAGCAGTTCCATTTGGAGTGTACCCATCCAAATTGTAAGCACCCACGGGAGAGAAATAATTCATATTAAATAGATCCACCACATTCCGATCTGGGGTTACTAACCTTGTCGAGATTGGAATTTGTGGAAGTACATCGTTCAACAGTGGGTTACGGGGAAGCACCTGGTCGGCCTTTAACTTGTCCCTGTAGTTACTTGTCGAAGGTGTGTAATTGATTTCTGCATCCCTCTTTTTAATATGTATATTCAAATATTTAGATGCAAGTAAAATATGTTGCGAAGTGTGGTAATGCAACATTGATGAGTAGTAGTAATATCCCTTGTAAAGCTTAACACATAAGCAATACAGAGATAAAATAATATTCTGTAATTTTTGCATTTTTTTTAACACTTTTATTATTAAAATTTTATCTTTCTTCTTTTTCATAAGAATTTGTACATTTTTATTATTAAACAGAATTAATTTTACAATGTTTTTTTTTCTCAAAAAAAACGGAATCAAACAATTATACTTTTTCATCATATAATTTATCCATTTGTTGTATAAGTAGCATTTATTTATTACATGCCAATGTAGAATTTTCTTTTTTTCATACTTGGATATTAGAAAAATTTCTCCTTTCCTTTGATCATCTTGAGATTGGTTCCATGTTATGTTAGAATCTTCCTTCACAACATTCTCATTTTCTGTCTGAAAATAATTATTACCTCTTTCTACCGACCTTACTAATACTTCTCTTTTGCATCTTTTTACTTCCCTCTGATCAGATTGCAAAAACTCCCGAGAGACATGCTTCATAATCCTGTGTGCATATGTATACTCATTCATGAAAATTAAAATGTGTATAAGATATGATGCACACCGATGTTTGTATATGAAAAAGGAACCATTTTCCCCTCCTTCCATTTTGTGAAAAATTTGCATCCATTTTTGTAACTCCTGCAGAATCTCCTTCAGCTCAAATTTGTAATATAAAATACAAAAGTAAAAGTTTGCAATCTCCCACGCGATGAGTATAAAATTGTCCTCTAGAAATTGTTTTTTCGCCTCCGCTTCTTTTTCCAAAAAGATGACAGAATCAGTAGAAGCATGGGCAGCAGCAGTAACAGAGGCAGATGCAGCGGTGCTTTTTTCATTATCCAAACTAACAGTTCTTGCTCTATGGAAAGTATTTCCAGGCAAGTGTCTAATTCGAGTGGCCAAGAGCGGTTCTTCCTCTGAAACAGATGCTTCCTCCAAGTCGAACTGCGTGCTTCTTTCATCCATACGAAGCAACTGCATCACCATACTAAAAACGAAAGTGTAATTTTTTTTTATAAATTCATAAATATCATTATAAGATGAACCTAAAAAAAATTTACAATTAATTGTTATCTGAATATATTGAAGATAAATTTGATTTTTATTCAACCATATGGAATTTATGTTACGTTTCAAAATGTTATGAAATAATTTATTTTCTTTAAATTTGCTTTTTAATATTCCTATATATGTTGCCAAATTTAAGTATTGTTTCTCGTACTCTTCATGCCATTGTATGTCATATATTTTTAATCTCCTTTTTATTTTTTTAAGCCATAAAATTGAGTTATCTTCTGGAATCCCATTTGTTCTATTTCTTATTTGCATTTCCATTTTATCGTAATTATTACTATCCATATGATAGTTTACAAGAGCCAATACTTGGCTAGGACTTGAAAAACCTTTATCTAATTCACATTTCTCACTTATTGACCCATTCAGGAAGGGAGATACAACTACTCCATCGCTACATTCTCTTTGGTAACTTCTTCTTTCGTTACTTCCTCCTTGGTTACTACCACCCATGTAATTCATAAAATAATTCTCCTTTTTTAAATGCAAAAATGAAGGAATTTCTTCAATTGATTGATATACATTACAGATGCATTCTACAGCACTCAAAAAATGAAAAGTTAGCATGTCAAATAAGCAATCCTTCTTTTCAAGTTTTAAAAGTGTTTTATTTTTGTATATCTTTTCCTCCTTGTCCATGTACCCTTTGGGAATCCCCCATTCATTTGAGACCATACCATTTGCCCTAACTAAAGATGTATCTGCTGAAGGTGAAACTTCTAATGAAGATCGTACTGATGGGGTGGTGCTTCTTCTCTCTCCTGCGCTTACTTCATTTCCTATACATTGTTCACTTTCCTCTCTTTGCTCCTTCACTCCAAATGTAATCCAATATTTTCTCAATACGGCACAGTTACGCTTCTGCAGAGATGAAAATCTTTTCACATTCTTGCTTATTATTTCTATTTTTCCATAATTTGCACTTAGTTTGTAATCCTCTTCCAACCAATTATTCTCCATGCTTACGTTATACATCATGTTGTTTATTTCATAAAAATTTTCACAAAAAATTCTCTCTACCCAAATCCACACATTGTAATAGTTATCATATATCTGTCTTGGTGATGGAAGGATCTCTTCACTTGTGTTCTTCACTACACCACCGTTCGTTCTATTGAATTCAATATGGTTTATGTCAAATAATGATTGTCTTCGGGTGTCGCCTCCTGCTCCATTTCCTACAACATCGCTTACATCATTTTGGGTTTCATTTTCTACCACATCATTTACATCTGTTCCTACTGAATCCCACGATTTGTCAACTCTCGCGCACTGCCCAGAGTGAGCACGAATAGACAAGGCAATAAACCTCTTTTGTGCAAAATTCAAAAACACTCTAAAAAATTTCCTGATGATAAGAACGTTTTTAACTGAATATTCCCTATTGTCATAAATTAAATTAAAAATTTCGATAATAATTAGACACAGCAATTTCTCAAAATCGGTTCTTGTTTGATATTGAACAATAGTTTCAATTTTATTATTCTTAAATAGGAAAAATTTATCCACTTGATTTGCTTTCAGTTCCTTTTTATTATTTTTTTCCTTTAGTGTTTCCTTCCGATGGTTCATGCTAAGACAAGCATTTGTTTGATTCATAGAATTTTTTTCAATTCTATTAATACATTTTGTTGTCTTCAAAATGCTTAGTCTCCTTTTCACATTTTTCTCGTATGTCATCCTTCTTCTTTTATATTTTTCATAAATGTATTCGTCTTCATTTATTTTATTTTTATGCAAATTTTCAGAAAATCTCTTTTTGGTACTTTTCCTACTAAGGTTCCTACCAATATTTGTAACAGATAATTTTCTTTTCTTGATTTTATTATATTTTATTTTATTTCTTATCCCCTTGCTTCCATAATTTCCAAAGGGATCCCTTCTTCTTTCACTCCTATTTTTATGAAATAAATTCAGGTAATATAGGATATTATTTTCTCTTCTATATTCATTTAGGTTCTGACTAGCGGTAATGTAATAAGCTAAAGCAAGAAAAATTACATCTAGAATCGTCTTTTCTTTAACCACATGATCATTTTTTAAATAATTAGTACGATATTTTATGACTTCCTCTGAAAGTTCACAGTTCATAGAAGTGATAATTTTAAAAAAAAAAAAGTGTTCAAACATCAGTATAGTATTTCCATTTTTGTTACAATTAATTATTGAAGAATTTAACAAAATTCCAATACAATACTTTTCAAACATTAGACAACCTTTGTTAAAATATTTCCATTTATTCATGTTAAAAATATGACATACTATTTGTGATACTATAATTAATATGCCTATATCTAGTAGTGGCCAATCGGATGGACAGTTATGAAAAATTTGGTCCATGAAATGGGATAGCTTTTTTTTGCTCCTCCCTTTTGGATCATCATCATTATTATGAACAGAGAGATTTTTCCTTTCCTCCGAAGTCTTGTGTTCTCTTGAGTCGTAATCTGCACAAGCGTCACTCCTCTCTGCATTTACAAATGTTCTGTATATCTCCTCCTCTTTCTCAAAGATTAAAAGCATCAACTTTTCCCCCAAATCGAAATTGTCGTTGTTTATTAATTGTAGAATAATCTCCATCCACCCGTGTTCATAGAAAACTGCATCCGCTGATGTGCAGGTGGGTACATCCGTTTTTTCCTTTCCCAAAGCATTTTCTACTCTCGCCTTTTCCACGTTATCTTCTACTCTCGCCTCTCCCACGTCATCTTCTACTCTCGCCTCTCCCACGTCATCTTCTACTCTCGCCTCTCCCACGTCATCTTCTACTCTCGCCTCTCCCACGTCATCTTCTACTCTCGCCTCTCCCACGTCATCTTCTACTCTCGCCTCTCCCACGTCATCTTCTACTCTCGCCTCTCCCACATCGTTCTTATTTAATTTTTTTTTTTTCTTTTTTTTTTTTTTTTTCCTTTTTCTCTCTTTCCTTCCTTCACCCCTTTTCGATCCCTTCATTATCATGTGCTTTACTTCCCCTTGCAAGCACTTCTCCACAGGGGAAATTATGTGTGTTTTTTTTTTCTTAATGACACGGTTGGAAGTGGTAAAATTTATTGAAAATGTTTCTATTTTCCTTCTTTTATTTCTACGCAATTTATCTACATCCTGTTCGTTTGAACGAAATTCTGCACCCTCAGCAGTGGATTGCGTTTCATCCCAGACCTTCATCACTTTTTCACTTTCTAACCCCTGAACCCTATTTAAATGTTTGTATACTTTTTTTCTTTTCCCATCATAGCTTCCTATTTTTGTTTCTTTTATTTTGTGCTTGCTCAAACTCAGGTTGTAATTCTTCTTGAACTTTAAATAAATATTGTGCATACTGTTTTTTCTTATCACTTTGTGTTTTTTCAGGGGAAAAAATGTATTATTTGCTACCTTTGGTGTTTTCAAATTGGTTTTTCTTTTCCCTTCTGCCTTTTGGTCGTCTTCACAAATAGTGCTATTCATTTCGCGTGCATTATCAGCTGGACCCAACTTGTGTTTTCCCAGAGTGTCAACATTCTCTTTGCTCAAGTTAGTTCTTAGCGGTATTACATCATTGTGTGTTTCAACTTGCTGTATGCCTTCCCACTCGTTACAACTGTCATAATGTGTGTGCACATTTTTCACATTATCAATATTTTTGCTTTTTCCTATGTTTTCACATTTAGAACTAATAGTTCCGCTAAGGGTTTTCTCACATTCATCACTCTTAGCACCACTGAGTGTGGTGTCCCAACTTTGTTCATGACATTCCCCAAGTGTCGACATTTCTTGTTTGCTATTATTTACTTTTATTTCATCCAAAATTTTACTTGTTAACACAACATTTCTTGTTTCATTTATCCATTGATTGTCATAATTTTTCTGACCATTTTGAGGAGTATTCAACTTGCACATATTCACATCGCTATCTTTTGGCTGGCATTCTTCATGAGATTCGTTTTTACTACTTACACAACTTTTAGAGGGAACCTCACTACAATTCATTGTTAATCCTTCTTCGTGACTCTTTTGCTTTAAGTAAAGTTTCACATTTTCTGTGATAACTTGCTCATCTTCAGATTCAACCCTTATGCAGACGTAATCGTTATTTTTTGCATGCACTATTTCTGTTATATCTCCATTTTTTTCATCCCCACTGCTGTGTTTTTTATTAAGCACGTTAATACTGCCACGTAGGGTGCTAACGTTTTTACATGTGTCTGCTTCGTCTGCTCTATCTGCCCCATCTGCTTCTGCCTCTTCTGTTGCTTCTTCTTTTACGTCCGCTTCAGCTGTCCCGATCAGGTGCACATGACTCGCGACACTACCAGATAAACGATCCACATGAAAAATTTTCCTTTTTACATCTGTCATGAACCCAGACTCGTCCACACCTAATTTGTTCTTCTCTTTTTTGAAATCGTCTACTTTTTCATCACTATGTGTTTCTCCAACGTTGCAATTTTCTTCCACTTCACCCCTCACAAGTGCACCACAATGAATTATCGTATTTGTTGAAAGATCGTCCGTTTTATAACCTCCTGCCTGTACATACACTCCGTTACATTCAGCTGATACATCATGAACAGGTGTGGCATTTTCTGAACTTGTATTTTCTAAGCTTTCATTTTTTGCCTTAGGAGAAGAATCCATTTCATCAGATTCATTCTGTTCATAATTTGTATGCTCGTCCTGTTCATAATTTGTAGGATCTTCCTGTTCATAATTTGTAGGATCGTCCTGTTCATAATTTGTAGGATTGTCCTGTTCATAATTTGTAGGATCGTCCTGTTCATAATTTGTAGGATCGCCCTGTTCATAATTTGTAGGATCGCCCTGTTCATAATTTGTAGGCCCACCCTGTTCATAATTTGTAGGCCCACCCTGTTCATAATTTGTAGGCCCACCCTGTTCATAATTTGTAGGCCCCTCTTGTTCATAATTTGTAGGCCCCTCTTGTTCATAATTTGTAGGTCCCTCCTGTTCATTCATTTTTTCCACATCATTGTGAGATTTCTTTCCCTCGGAGGGAGAAAAATATTCTGTCTCTTCGTAAGCTAAAACATTTTCTATTTTTACATTTGGTCTGATGAGCCTGTCAGAATAGTCTAAATTTACATGGCATTGACTTTGAGTCTTATCCATTAAACTGGGGGTAATACAATTCACCTTATTCTCTTCATCATTCATATTGTTATTTAACATCATCACGGTTGTGCAGCTAACATCTTCATACAAACAAGTTTTGAGAAACTTTTTTGTGGGTTCTGAATTAATAAGAGATGGGTCATAATTTGTCATATTTTCTTTGCATATTCCATTTGATTTTTGCCCACACTGTTGAACATTTTTTGCTGTTTCTTCAGAAGGAAGTATAACGTATGTTTCTTTTTCTGCCGAATAATTTTCATTATCCTGCTCTTTGTCCTGTTCTTTCTTCTCCCCATTCATAATATAATAAGACATGATATTATGATCTTCATCATTACTATTATATCCTACATCGTCACCCATTTCTGAAAAGGATTTATTTTCATTATTCACGTCTTTCTTACTATGAGCCTTCAAAACAGTATAATGTGTTGAAGAATAAATTTGTTTAAAATTTTTTTTTAATTTATTAACAATTTGGATAGGAATCAATTTTGTTCCTTGATTATTAATTGGACTATGAGATGATTTCATTGTTATACCTTGTATTTTACATTCTTTATTTTTAATTAACATGTTCTTCACATTTTTCGTTTGAAAATTTAATGTACTCAACTGTTTAGCTTTATTTTTATTCATATTTATGGGGGATAGTTCATTTTTAGTTCTTATTTCCTCCTGTTTATACAATGAACATCTGGTTTTTCCATTCTTTGATACTTTGTTATTATTATGTTTACTTCCGAATGTTGTAAAAGCAACCTTAGCTGATTGTGTACTTTTTAGAATCAAATTAGATTCTCCATTTATTTCATACCTTTCTAATGGCAGCACATCATTTGGTTCATTGTTTCTACATTTTACACTAGAAGAAGCAATGTTATGGATAGATTTTTCCTTTAGTTTGCTATGTCTACCTGATTCTCGTGAAAAATTATCTTCGGTATTAAATTTCAATTTGGAATTACTAATAGTTAAAGAACCATTCCTTTGAATGGTAGAATGCTGTTTCATACTTTCTACATTACTTCCTTTATCAATACTGGTGTTTCCATTACCGTTCATATTACTCTTTTGGGAAATGGAATTTCGATTTCTAACCATTGTAGAATATCTTTTAATGAATTGTTGCTTTGTTTCAAATATGTGTGGCGCGCATTTCTTTTCATTTCCTTTTGATTTTAGGTTATCTTTGTCAGCAGTAGATGCACATTTTATTACACTTTTTATTTTTTCTCTATTTAACAAATCATTTTTATTTAAAATAGTGTTTCTTCTGCTTAGTTCTGAATTTCCATTTTTGTTCTCCAATTTTCCTTCCACATGTTCCTCTTTTTCGGGATTCATAATGGTATTAATTAATGTCATTTTCAAATTTTTGTGAAAACTATCATTGTACATAAAATTTGGTGAGTTGTTTCTTCCTAGATATTTTTCTCTTCTTGATGTATAACTGGGTGTGTAAAAAGTTTGTTTTTTTGCAATTTTTTCATTTTTACTTATGCCCAGAATAAAAGGTTTACTTATTCCGTTTTTCTTTAAATCGCTCGTTTTGTTAATTAGGGAGTTTGTTCCTTTTCCAATTAAAGGTGACATTCTACCATTTTGTGATATGATGTTATCACGTGTTCCTATAACAACGCTAGCGTATGCCTTTTGCACCTGCTTGTGCATCGTGAGTGATGTTCTAGGAGTGTCTTTCATGGTTCCATTACGAATTTTCTCATTCGTAGGTTTATTTTTTTCGCATGCAATGGTGAACTTACCAAGTTGGCTACTTCTGCAAGTAGCCCCTTCTTCCATACAATCCCCATTCCTATGGAATATCTTTTTTTCGCTATTTTTTTTGTCATTTGTTGGAATTCTTATTCGGTCTAGTTGTACCTTTCTATTTGCATAATCAATGGGGTCTTTTATTGTACCAATAGACGTAATCTGTTTATTATCATGTTTTACATTCATCCAAGTTCTCCTAACAGAGGATATATTTTCATTAATCCTTCTAACATCCTTGTTGACATTTATTTTTTTTTCAGAATTTACTGGAACTGATTTTAATTCTGTTAATTCACTAATTGTTCTAGACAATTGTGGTTTTTTACTTACTTCTATGTTGTTATTTTCTTTTTTGTTCATTTTTGTGTCATTATCGACCAAGTTGTTATCATTTGTTCCTAATACTGATTTCCTATTAATTATTTTATTAATAACATTTTTTACATTATTTCTTAACAAATTAATGTATCCCCTATTCTTGCTATTCCCTACATTATTTGTAGTATTCATTGCAGTGCTTCCATTTTTATATTCCATAATTTTTTGCTCAGTAGAACCATTTAATTTGTCTTTACAGTTTCTGCTTTTATCATCAGTTATACTATTCCTACATTTTGTGCCATCAAAATTCGGTAGATTCCTCATCTGGGTGTTACTTATATTTCGATGGAGTAATAAATTTTTACTTCTGTCAATTCTAAGTTGAGATGTTGTTAGGCTTCTAAGCGAATCGGTATAATTTCTGCAGGATTTTTCATTATTCGTTAATTTTTTATTATTAAACACTGTTTTTTCAAGTGTAGCACGATTCATTTTTGTATTAAATTCGTTGGCATCGTCTATTTTGTCTTGTCTTGTTTTGTTATGCTTTATTATTATTATTTTGTTTTTACAAATCTCCCCCTTGAAAAACTGGACAAGTGTGAAAACCTTTTGGCATGTTTATTCTTACATGTGCCTAATCATATTGTGGCATTCGTTCAATTATGAGTTTCTCTAAATTATTTTTTTCGTCCTTCATTCCTATGTATGTACATAAATATTATTGGTCGTATTATTGGTAAGAATAGCAATATTAGCAACATTAGCAATGTTGGTAAGTTTTAAAATATTAACAATGTCAATGGTAAAACGCGTGTCAATCACATTAACGCACATATTAAATTCTCTACATATAACCGATGTTGAGTTGATTATATATATCTTTAACTTATATGAACAGTTCACAAAAAAAAAAAAAAAAAAAAAAAAAAAAATTGGATGAAGACAAAAAGTGGCGTATCTATATCTCTTAAATTTTCTTTAATGAATAGTATATCCTCATTAATGATATTTTGTCTTTTCTTTACACTATAAGTGTTACAAAAAGTACACATTACATATAATTTATACAAAAATTTTATTCGTTCTTTGATTTTTTTAAGCATGTTAATTTTAAAGCATCAATTTTTTTAAATAAGACATACTGGGGAATACGAACATTTTTAAAAAATTAAATAGACTATGTAAGAAAAGAAAAAAAAAAAAAAAAAAAGAAAAAATTCAAAATGATTTAACATAAGCGTCTTAAATGCTTTCCAAAAATAGATAATTCAAAAATGTTTAAGCTTATGTTCAAGATGAAGTATAAGCAAAACAAAAAATATTGAAATGAATGAATTGCCACTTTTTTGCATTATCTCAGGTGACATATTATTTTCAGTGGTTTCATGACATCAGGTAAATATATATATATATATATATATATATATATGTATATATAAATCCGTGTGAGTTTTTATATGCGTAAAAAAAAATGAGCGAAACGAAAAATCAAAAATACAAAATACCGAAAATGGAGAATAACAAAATGAAGAAATAGGAAAGTGCGAAATTGTTTGATGAAATATTCCCTTAAATTATTTATTCTAAATAAAGGATAGCAGAATTGTCTATTCCTTTTTAAATTTTCTCCCTTTTTATCCCATATAATATTCAACGTTATTTTATTTAAATTTTTTTTTATCCTTATAGGTATTTTGGCTAGACATATACAGATATTTTCTAAGAAGAAAAAAAAAAAAAAAAAAAAAAATATATTTTAATAAATAAAAAAAAAATGGAATTCGAAAATATAGTTTTCTTTTTTTTTTTTTTTTTTTTTTTAAGAAATTCATTTTTATTAGTAATAGGATGTAGACTGCCTTTTTGATTACGAACTGTTTTTGTTTGTATGCATATTCAACATGAGGGCGACGATTTTTCGAAGGAAAAAAAAAAGGGAATTACATAGAGCTGAGCTTTCCCAAAAAAGGGATATAAAGCAATTTTCAAATTAAACATTATCCTGTTTTTGGTCCTGTGTGCATAAACCGTGTACACAAATATACCCATATGGGAATAGAAATGGATCTACAAAGTTTTAAGCCTTTTACTGAAAGTAACATTATCATGATGAGATCTCCATTAAGGTGCAGTTTTCAATATTTCCTTCCCTTAACTATTACTACTAATTTGTTTGGCTGTGTTACGAGACCCTCTACAACTACTGTTATATACATGGATTCGGTCATATATACTACTGTCCCATATATTGTGTTATAAACGTTTTGGGCGTATGTAGCTAGCTTTTTTTTTTTTTTTTTTTTTTTTTTTTTTAAAGGTATCTCCTTATTTCCCTGTTTTCTTAAAAAGGAAAAGTTAACCCACATCGTGCTTCATTAATTCTGTGGTTCATTGGGGCATCCATTAATGCAATAGACAAATCAGCCAAATTTTTTTTTTTGTTCCCTTTTACTCTATTTTATGTTATTCTATTTTATTCCATTCATTTTTATTTTATTCTATTTTATTTCATTCATTTTTATTTTATTCTATCTTATTTCTTTCATTTTAATTTTATTTTATTTATTTTTATTTTACTTTTAAAAACCTACTCTCCATTATAAGTAGCCACTTGGCTGGCTATCATCTTCATTTATCAACCCAACTGTTGCGTCTTTAACTGCCAGCAGTCTCACCACAGTAAATATTTCTCTGCTTTAAAGGGGAAAAATGTCCATATCTACCATATTAGTAGCAGCAAAAATGTGTATTATATATATTCTGAGATATACCACCGTTCATATAACTGCACCTTATAATCCCCCTTAAAACGATCACAACAAAAAAAAAAAAAAAAAATACACTATCAATTTAAATTTGCTAAATTTTTATTACTTTTATTTAATTTTATACATACACACATATATACATTTATAGACACGTACAGGCAGGCCCACATGGTAACATACACACACATATAATTATCTTTTAAAAGAAGATGGGGCATTGTAATTTTCGGCCCCCCCCTTCCTTACTTAAAAAATATACAATTTTGTTATAATGGTGAAAAATAAAATTAAAAAAAGTTTAGATGTATAAAGTTTGCATGTACAAAGTTTACATGTACAAAGTTTGCATGTACAAAGTTTGCATGTTCGCAGGCATGAGCGTAACAATGTAATGGCTAGATGGATGAATATATTAGATAACAGCCGGTGTGGAAAACTACGTAAATGTATAACTGTGTAGGGACACACGTGTACAACGCATAATTGAAGTAAGGCTACAAAATAAGAGAAGTGGAGATAGTTAGGACTATAATAAACCAAGAATTATGAGTACAAGTCATCATCTACATTGTATTCTTGGGGCTCTTCGTTATTTTCCTCATCGGGCCAGTCAATGATAAAATCTTCATTTGCACCTCCCGTTTTTGTTTTGTATAAAGGATCGAATTTTATTCTGAAGTTATCATACTTAATTAGGTCTGCTTGAGAAACACTTCTTCTTGCTCCAGCTAATCCCTCCTTGAAATGATGTCTTGTAATTTCGTACTTGATTGCATTTTCATCGTTATTCTGAGCTCCGGTGGTATTGGCATCATTGGTGGTACTGGCAGCATTGGTAGTACTAGTGGTATTGGTGGCACTTTGCGAATTTTCAGCATTTTCATTTGGATACATTTGCAGCTTCGATTTTTTATTCATTTCCTCTGCATCGATGGCATCTCGAATGGCAGCTCTTGCAGCCCTTTGGCAAAGCTCAGCCAAATCCGCACCACTAAATCCAGCGGTTTTTTGAGCCAAAAAGTCAATGGGTACATTATCAGCTACAGGACATTTCCTCAATATAGCACTTAGGATAGAAATTCTAGCTGCTAAATCAGGTAAAGGGATGTAAATTAACTGATCTAATCTTCCCGGTCTTAGTAAAGCCTCATCTAGCAATTCTGGTCTATTTGTTGCACCTATAAAGAAAAGATTTTTCTTTGGTCCGACACCATCAATTTCTGTCAGCAACTGATTCATTACACGATCACCAGCACCACTACCATCTCCAAGAGAAGATCCTCTTTGGGTTCCTATGGAATCTAACTCATCAAAAAATAACACACAAGGTGCAGCTGCCCTTGCTTTGTCAAAAACTTCTCTAACATTAGCTTCTGATTCACCAAACCACATTGTTAACAATTCTGGTCCTTTAATAGACACAAAATTGGCTGAACATTCAGATGCAACTGCTTTAGCTAATAATGTTTTACCACATCCTGGAGGTCCATAAAATAAAACACCTCTAGATGGAGCCATGCCAAATTTTTCAAATTTATCTGGATGATCAATTGGATATAATATCATTTCTCTTAAGGTATTTTTCACTTCATCTAAACCACCAATATCATCCCATTTGACATTCGGAACTTCCACAACAGTTTCTCTAAGAGATGATGGGTTGCATGTACCTAAGGCCATGTTAAAATGATCTTGCGTTACACACATACTTTCCAGAACTTCCTTGTCAATAATTTCGTCTTCCAAATCTATTACATCCATTTTTTCTCTTATACATGTTAATGCGGCCTCTGTACATAATTGTGCTAAATCTGCACCGACAAAACCATGAGTGCTACTAGCCAATTCTTCTAATTTCACATCAGGAGATAATTTCATATTTTTTGTATGTATCCGTAAAATTTCAAATCTTCCATTATCATCTGGTACTCCTATATCAATTTCTCGATCAAATCTACCAAATCGTCTTAAAGCTGGATCTATGGAATTCTGTCTATTTGTTGCTGCTATAACTACTACCTGACCTCTACTTTTAATTCCGTCCATTAAGGTTAGTAATTGAGAAACAACTCTCCTTTCAACTTCGCCATTGGTTTTCTCCCTCTTGGGTGCTATAGAATCAATTTCGTCAATAAAAATAATTGCAGGGGAATTTTTCTCAGCTTCTTCAAAAGCTCTTCTTAAATTTGCTTCTGCTTCTCCAGCCATTTTACTCATAACTTCTGGTCCATTTATTAAAAAAAAAAATGCTCCTGTTTCATTAGCAACAGCTCTAGCTATACAGGTTTTACCACTACCTGGAGGCCCATATAGTAATACGCCTCTAGGTGGTTTTACACCTAATGTTTTGAATAGACCTGGATGTCTCAATGGTAATTCAATCATTTCTCTAATTTGGGCTAACTGTTTTTTACATCCTCCTATATCATCATATCCAATTTCATCTAATTTTTCTTCATCGTCTCTTTTGATAGGATCTCCTTCATAGTATATGACTGTGTCAGGGGAAACTATGCAAAAATCATCTGGATCCACCTCAACAACTTTAAATTCTACTGACATGAATCCTCCTCTCACAAGAAATAAATCTCCTTTTTTAACGGGTCTGTAAGATTCATTGAAATATGGCTTTAGAAAAATTTCGAAAAGCGTGTCTTTCGCTAATCCTTCGATTGTGTCATCTATTGGCAATACTTGAATTTTTTTCCCGTAAGGAATTTCGGGGCAAGCCTTCACATAAACTACGTCTACAGTGAGGGGAAGAAATATGTGAGAAACATGTATATCATGTGCAAACCGAGTAAGAAAGACATATTATGTGTGTGTGTGTTTGTGTGTGCATTCATAACGCGTAGGCAAAGTACTGACACGAGGGCAAAATTCGTGCTGAATAATTTAAATAAAATAGAACAATTTAGAATAATTGAAGTTTTCACAAAAAATGGAACTAATGTGGCATATGAAAAAGTCAGATATGTAAAACAATGTGCATATAATTTCCCCCAATCATAGACATTTCTAGTTTTCATTCACTTATAGGTCCAACTGAAGTGAACATTAATATTTGCTTCTTTCTACATTACCTCCTAAACAAACCCTCAGATTTTTCCTAGCAACTTTGTTAATACGAATTTTTCCTTCATCTAAATCGTTGTCATTTAAAATAATGCAAATAGTAGAGTGCCTCTTTTTTCCCTTAATCAAAATTGTATCGCCCCTAAAAAAATTCAATTCCTCCATTCTCTTGGTATTCAGAGCAACCACAGAATTATCATCATTTGTTGCTTCTTCCACTATCAACCTACTTAAGTTTTTCTTCTTCGTTACCTTTCCATCTTTAGCACTCTCATCCGGTAGCGCTTTTATGTCGACACTATTTTCCATTATGGTGCATGCACCCGAGGCATATATAAAAATGTACAAATGGTTATATATATATATATATATAGAAGCTCCCGCAGGGTGACACACAATGGATTACGCAAAAAAAAAAATAAAAAAAAAAAAAAAAAAACCTTTTTTACACATACATTCACATGTACGCTTCTAAGATCTCTAAACAAGACTGTAAATTTTTTTTCTTTGCAACGGTAAGATATCCACAACACGTAATTGGCATAAAATACGTATATATGAACGTGTGAACTTGTATGCTTGTAATACGCTTAGGGGGATTAGGGGATTGGATGGGTGACAAAATGGAGGGAGAAATGGCCTTTTAACACACACATACAAAATGTGTTCTTTTCTCACACGATACTGTGTTTGCGCGCACATGTATATCTAATAGCTTGACTTTCTGATAACTTAGTTTTACTTTTAAATTCACGTTAACGAACCTTTTTTTTTCTCTTTTTTTTTTTTTTTTTCTTTTTCTTTTTTTCTTTCGACTCGGGATGGACGTTTTGTTAAATGTTTAATTGAGTATCGTTCAACAAAAATGAAAGAATGAACAAAAGGGGTGTGCGTGAAAAAAATAATAAATAGGTAAACAAAAATGAAAATAAAAAAAAAAATAAAGAAGTAAAACACGGATGCAATGAAACAGTGAAACAAAATAACTACACTAAATTCACGTGAGTACAATAAAACCAGTGAAATGAAAGAAAAAACAGCAAAAATACACAGTGAAGTGAAACTGAATTTATAAAAAAAAAAAAAAAAAAAAATTACCATCCAGTTAAAGAAAGAAAAGAAAGAAAAAAAAAAATGTAAAGCAGAAAGCAGTAAAGCAGAAAGCAGTAAAGCAGAAAGCAGTAAAGCAGAAAGCAGTAAAGCAGAAAGCAGCAAATCAGAAAGCAGTAAACAAAAAGTGTACACGCAGGAACGTATGCACAAAAAAATAAAAAAAAAGGGAATGAAAAATTTATAGTAAATATGTACACCACCATATGTGTATTAAACATATGTTTGCATATAAGTATGAAATATTCCCTTTTGTTATATAATATTATATAAATATGAGAAAATTCATGTGTAAAAAATTTTGGGACTCTTCTTCAGAAAAAAAGTTCGATAATATAATGTATAGATTGTTACGCTTTTGCGAAATGCAAAAAGAAGATTATTATACATGACACTCCTTTTAAATGACTTTCACATTTTTGTAAATCACATCCCCGCTATATTTTAAATTTCCAAGTTTTACTAACTTTTTGCAGTAAGGAGAGGGGGTAATTTTTTTTTTTTTTTTTTTTTTTTTTTTGTCACTCTTGGGGGCAAATTTTACCACATTACATAATTTACATGCAACATGAGAAAAGAGGAAAATAAAAAAAAAAAAAAATTGCTTATAAAAATGTCTTTCCCAAATATATACCCCAAATGATGTTTTCCCAAATATATGCCCCAAGTGATGTTTTCACAAATATAAGCCCCAAGCGATGTTTTCACAAATTTTTTTTTTTTTTTTTGCACATTTTACGTTTAATCATTGTGAACATTTATATATTATAGTTAAAATGTGGGGAAGTATTATTTCTTTACTCATTTATTTTCCTTCACATTGCATTGTGGATAAGGAAATTTGCTATTTCTCACTAATGGTGCAATGGATCTATGAGTATGAAGTTCCGTTCCCATGCCAACATATGGGGGCTTGTCCATTTATAGGGGTAATTATAACTCCATTCGTAGGCCCCTCTTTTTACGACCAATTTTTTTACTATCCATTCTTTTTCTATATTTTTTTACAAGACATTTTTCCACCCCTTTTACATATTACATATCCCTTCTTAACAAGTCGAACAAAAGGCAATGTATCATCTACATATTGAGAGGACTATAAGATTATCTCTCTTTTTTTTTTTTTTTTCCCTCTCTCTATCTCTCAAATTTCAAAAGGTTAAAATGTTCAAAACTTTAAGTGTACAATTTTTGGTGCAACCAATGTGTATAATTATTTTCCACTATGAACACCCATTTTTCGCTTGACAGTACTTTTATATGATGCACAGGCGAGGGGGGGGGAGGTATATACATATATATATATATATATATATATATATATATGTATATATATTTCCCTATTACATTTTTTAAATATTTTTTAATTACCTACATGCCCGCTGTACAAAACACTACGAAACTTTATTTCTAACAGGAAGATTGATGTTCAGGGTACAGAGACTACCATCACACCAGTGTAATTTTCATTTCCTCAACCGACCCTGTATCGTTAAATTTATAATAAAAAAAAAAAAAAAAAAAAAAAAAAAAAAAAAAAAAAAAAAAAAAAACGTAGGAGGATATACTTTAAGCAGACAATCTCATGTACATAATTTCACGCAGCGCTGTTTATGTAAAAATGCACATGCATATTTTAACGGACACATAAAACATGGCTTAGTTATTTTTGAAACCCAACAGCAGGTGTGGTAGGGACACCTGATGGACTCTCCTTAAAAGGTTGTGTGTGTGTGTGTGTGTGTGTGTTGGGTGGGAGGGTTACATTTGCTTTACCAAATCAGCGGGAAAAAAAAAAAAAAGAAGCAAAACATAAAAATATACATATATAGGTATGTACAGATGCATATACGTGTGTATAGATACACATGTACACGTATTTATACGTATACATAAACAGACCTAAACAGTGCAAGAGAGAGGGGTTAGGACATGTAACATCTCTAGCACCAACTTGGGGAAAAGATGAAAAAGGAATGGTTTTGCTTCATCAAGCCTCTTTATATCTCCCCCTCCTGCTCACAGACCTCACTGTATATATTTGTGCACGTCAAATTTAACTGAACCCGAATCATGCACAATTACATTTAGTAATACAGGAAAATTGTTAAATTTTTCATCTGTCACGATTTTCATCTGTCTGATAAACTCCTCCCTGTTATCAACATATCGACCATAACCACCATGTGATGTTACATAATTTTCATACTTGCTAAAATGATAAAGAGCGGAAGGATTTTGTAGATAGAAATAGATATCATGATTCTCCATCTGAGTGAAATTCATTTTTTTTGTTTGGAAATCTCTATCCCCATATATACCATTATTATTAAAAATAATGAGTACAACTTTTAGCTTTAAGCGACATATTGTTTCAACTTCGTTTGACGTAAAACCAAAGGAAGAATCTCCTAAAATTGAGAAAACGACATTTTTTGGATTATTTAAAGCTGCACATATAGCTGCATTCATTGATACACCCATCATTCCATTTATTTGAGGTATTACAAAATTATATGGCCCCAATTTTGGTAAATATAATATTCCTAAGTGTAGGGTTATCGACCCCTCATTTGTGATTATAACTCTTTTTTTTATTTCTTTCGTGAGAAACTTATTTTTCTTTTTTTCTCCTACTTTTCCCATAACGTAGTTTGTCTTATCCTGTTTTATCTGCTTCACATGCACATCTTTTGAACTTCCTTTTTCTTCATCCTCTGAACTGCTGTCACTAAGGTCGCAATCATTTTGTGGCACATCTTGGTCTGAATCGAAGAAGAAATTCCTACATGTTGGTACATCACAAGCAAGGCGATTAGTCCCCTTGCTCACGACATCTTGTGTATCACATCTTAACATATCATCGTGATTAGATATGCACATGTTAAATACCCAATTTCGATCGACATATTTCAAATAATTAATGAAATACTTTTTGTACTCAGATGGAATATCATTCCGTGCAAATAAGTATTCTATCAGAAAATGTCTAATTATAAGTATGGCCTCTTCCATAGTAAAATTTTCAGCGGAAAAATGTTTAGTTGCCACTTGGGTGCAAATTTTATGTATATTCTTTTGTTTAGCTTCTCCAATGGCTGTCAACCACATCATCCTATCTTCCACATTCACAGTAATGTTTTCTTTTTTAAGTGAAAAATAAATTCTTTTCATAATTTTGTTCAAATCAGTAAAGAAAAAGTGGTTGCACGTGGAGCCCATATCGTGTTCATACGTACCGTGTTCACGTATGTCACGTTCATGTGTGTCATGTTTTAAATCAACACATAACATATTTTCCTTTTTGCAATTTGGAAATTTTCCAAAATTAAAATAAAAATTATATACAGTCCCGAAGGAAAAACAGAAATCAATATTTTCAAAGAGGTATGATTTACACTGATTTGCATTATACATATAATTTTCTTTAATGAAACATTTGGCCATTGTACTTGTATATATAGGTATTTTCAAAAGGAGAGATAATTTTAACACATACTTAACACCATAATTACAATTAGTTCCTAAAAATATAACTCCTTTTTTGTTACACTCATAAATTCTGAGTACAGATTCTAGTAACTCCTTGAATGACTTTTCTTCCTGTGCAGACGATTCTGTCATACAACTGGGTTCTACATTTAGCGAAAGGTGATACATCTGTGCGTATTTATTAGCCAATTTTAGCAACTCAATTGCTTTATCTATGGTTACTTTTTTCTCAATTAACTTATAATTCAGATTTATATAAACTGGAGATTTTGTTCTCATACAGATTCGAACAGAATCGTAAAGATGCTGGATGAATGAATCTAATGAATCTACCTGATATACCTTTGCACATATTTCCTTGCATTTTTTTAGAAAATTAAATTGTGGAAAATATTGAAAATTGTGATATTTTTCAAATTCTGTCAGATTGGTGTCTATAAAATTTTCAAAACATATGTAGATAATTGGGAAGCGGTTTATCATAGCATTGTACAATCCTGGTAATGTATTTACAAATGCTGGACCTGAACATGTTAATATAATTCCTATTTTTTTTTTGTCCTTGTTCAGATCAAAATAATTCACATAATTACAACTCAAGGATGCATTGATTTCATTTCGAAAACTTATGTAGTAAATGCCGTTTTTGATAAAACTGTAAATCATTTTATTAACTGGTATTCCATACAACCCGTATATGTAATCATCCAAATGAAATTTTTTTAAAGCTAATGCCATCACATCGAATATGCTGAATTCATCTTTTCTCATATTTTCAACCCCTTCTGTTACTTTTCTTCGAGATAATTTCCCTGTGTCAGTTTTTAGAAAATTGTTAACAAAGTAAATATTCTTTGGAATTTTAAAATCTGCTAAATTCTTTTTCATGTAATGGATTAATTCCTCTCTCAGTTGGAAGTGCATCAAATTTAAATTTCTTGACATTTCAACATTGAATTCGTGATCAACTATAGGCTTTCTTTCACTCAGATTGAAAGAGTCACCAATGCAGGTAGAACCATGAGTAGTGATTACTAACGAGTTAGAAACCTTCGTCTCAATCGTTTTTGCACATTCGGTTGTATCTCCTCTTGGAGAAGCATCAGATAATATCCCTTTGTGATCCAAAATGACAGCAGTACTGATGATTTCACCATATACTTCATCAGGTAATGAAAAGGTTAAACAATCTGCTACAAGAGGATGATCCCTCAACACATTATCTATTTCATTTGGTATAATTTTTTCTCCTCCTCTATTTATTATTTCCTTAATTCGTCCCGAAATGAATAGAAAATTTTCTGCATCTACGTAACCTACATCTCCAGTCTTAAAAAAGGGAACAGATTCTCCTATTACCAAAAATTTATTCCTCCCCATGTAATGAGTTTTTTCTTCTACAGTATTTATATACACACATATATTATCATTATCCTTCATTTCTTTATATCCATACATAATATTTTTTCCATTTATACAAATTTCTCCTAACTCGTTTTCATCACAAATTTTTTTTTTCTCATGATTGTATATTACAACTCCTACATTTGGAATTCCAACACTTTTATACTTTTTACAAATTTGTACATTATTTTCATCAATAAAAATAAATTTATTTGCACTTACTTGATGACATGCTTCTGTCATTCCATATGCTTGTAACACATTTGTCTCAAATTTTTTTTCAATTTCTTTTTCTAGTTGTTCATCCAACTGTGAACTTGAAGTTCTGATGAATCGTAACTTGTGCTTTACCTTAACTCCGTTTACAAAATAATCGCTCTCATATCGTATAAGCAATATTTTCAAAATGGTAGGAACAGCTGAAAAATATGTTATGTTATAATGCACTACATTAGACCAGAACTCCGATGCACTGAAAGAGTGGCCTACTTGAAAAAGCACATTTCCTTTGGAATATAAGATTGGCATTAATACTCCTATAAGTCCATGTACATGATACAATGGCATTACTACAACTGTGTTGTCTTCTTTGTTGATTCCATATGAGCTTGTAATATTTACAATGCTTGTTTTAATATTTCTATTTGTCAGCTGAACTATTTTTACTTTGCTAGTCGTGCCCGAGGTGTGTAAATGAAGACAGAAATCATCCTTTTCTTTTTTCGCTAGTTTGTTTTCACCATTTTGGGCATTCTTTTCTGCTATTTTTTTATCATGAGTTTGGTTAACTACAGTAGGGTTATACAAAGTATAGGTAAAATGTGGCTTTTCTCTATTTTTTTTAATTTTAATTACTCCAATGTTGTACTCCTCACCTAGCTCTTCAATTGATTTACACACACATTTGTAATAGCTATGTTTCTTTTTAATCGAAGAATAGTTTAAGTTATTTTCATCATAGTCATGTATAATTATATATTTGCAATTGTTTACTAAGTAACTCACATACTCTTCCTTCTTTAAATTGGTGTTCAAAGGGAGGCATATATTTTTATTATAATTTACTCCCAAAAAGCAGACTACATATTCAATGCTGTTAAAAAGGAGTATAGATATTTCTTCTCCAGGTTGTACATTTATACTTTTAAAGAAACTTATCAATCTTTCTATTTCTTCATTTACTTCTTCATATGAAAACTTCTGCTTCTCTGTATTCAAGTCGACAATGTACCTTTCCTTCACATTTTCTAGATGTAAGAAGGTCCTAAGGCTGTTATCTTCGTTCATGTTCGTTTTTTGTGTTCTCTATGGATTCAGTGGCAAAGGGACGCACAACAAAATTTTCTTTCCTGTGCTTCGGTATGCAGCTAGTCCTTCTACACTTCTCAGTGTCTCTAACTGGGACACTAGTTTCTGCTTTTTTACCTTATTTGTCGCTTCTTTACCCAATTTATCACTTCTTTACCTTATTTGTCGCTTCTTTACCCAATTTATCACTTCTTTACCTTATTTGTCGCTTCTTTACCCAATTTATCACTTCTTTACCTTATTTGTCGCTTCTTTACCTAATTTATCACTTCTTTACCTAATTTATCACTTCTTTACCTAATTTATCACTTCTTTACCTAATTTATCACTTCTTTTCCTAATTTATCACTTCTTTACCTAATTTATCACTTCTTTACCTAATTTATCACTTCTTTACCTTATTTATTCACCCATTCGCACGTGCATCCATCCACTCATGTTACCTCTCTACTTTATCTAATAGTTTGTTCCCAGTTTGCTGTGTGGGTTAAAAGGCAGCTTTGAGCTTTTGTCCCAAGTGGATACTGAAGATTTGGAGATTTTCCCTGCGTGGGGAATTTTTTTCATATTTTCATTTATGGTGTGAGAAGGGTTACAATTACAGTGACAGTTGCAGTTACGGGTGAGCAAAAAATTTTTGAAAAACATATATATTTGATGTACCTCATAATCAATTGCACATTGGCAATCCAAATGATACATTAGTCACATGTGTAAAATATATTTCGCTGAATACACTTGTACAATGTGTCGTTTTCAAAATCTTCTCGCTTTGCCACCTCCCAACAAAACCCTTGTGATAATATCACATCTCAACCCATTTGATAATTCTTCAATGAACGAAAAATTTGCTTTTATTCAGCCCCCCTCCCTTTCGCCATATTCATATTACTCTCGTTCGTATCCGTTTCTACTCTCTAAATATTTTTTTGTATATACATTTATTTTCATCAGTTTTATTTATATCTCTTTTTTTTTTTTTCTTTTTCTTTTGGGATGGGGGCAAAGTGCATATCATCTGCAGATATATAGTGGAATATATTTTTTTCTCCATAGTAAACTTTTACAATGGTGTGAAAAAAAAAATTGGCATCCCACCCAAACCTGCAATGATTATTATTGTGAGATATCCTCCTCTCCTCGTCTACATTTTTTAGAAAGTTGGAAATGAGAAAAATGGAAAAATTGTTGCTTGAATTTTTCTCCTCCTCCTGGTAGTTTTTTTTTTTTTTTTTTTTTTTTTTTTTTTTGAATTAAATTTTGGCTACCCTATACCAACAACCAGGAGAAATACGTCTCTTACGAAGGAGTAAAAATATGCTTCATACCACGTCAGATGTTCCTTCTAAAATGAAAAAACGTATTTTCTTGAAGACTTTGCTTAACATGGAGAGGCGATTCTTTTTCAACAGACCCACGAAGGGACAAGTGAATAAGATTGTACACGAGTATTTTTATTTAGACCAAAAAATGGACAAAGTGGTTTGTCATAGCGAGTTAGATAAGCTGCTACAGGTTGAGCAGCAAGGAGAGCAGCAAATTTCGCAAGAAACAAAAGGGCAGTGCTCTAATTTGGAGGATAATCACAATAAAGGGAAGAAATGGGGAGAAGAAAACAAACACATGAACGACAAAAATGTAGATCACAGAGTGAAGGAGGAAATTTCACCAAGTGAGGAAGAAATATTTCTAAGTGAAAAGCTAAAAGATGCAGTTAATAATTACATAGGCAATTATGTACATAGCAGTAAATGCTTTACACACTTATGCGTATTTTATATATATAACAATGAGAAAAAGAAATTTTTGGACTTAATGAAAAATTTCTCAAAGTACTGTTTTGGGTACGAAGATCTGTTTATACTTTTTTATTTAATATGTAAAATAAACTACAAAAATGAGGATATTCTTCAGAATATTTTAAACGTTTTTGAGATTTACTACTACAAAATTGACAGCACTTTTTCTTATCCTATATCAGAATTATTTTTTGCTCCTCACACCAATTTAAACACAGCCTTAAATTCCTTGCCGCTCATCTACAAAATCAAACTGCTTAATGCAGACAGGTGTTTCAACGAATGGGGTAAAAATTTTTGGTGCACGTACAAGATTGGCCAAGGAGGGGGAGAACCGGCAGCAGTGTACAAGGGCAAGGGGATGCAAAAAAGTGGAGAAACTGCAGGAAATGGAAAAAGCGAAAAAACTGCAGAAAATGCAGAAAATGCAGGAAATGGAAAAAGCGAAAAAATTGGAAAGATTGGAAAAATCGAAAATTTCGCGGAAGGGGACACACAAACTGACAGGGCGGAACCCCAGCAAGGGAGGAGGAGAAAGGAGCATGCAGTAGGGGTAGACGATAGTGAGGTGGCAAATATTCTTGAAAATTTGCAAGATGTTGATATGGAAAATTACGAAAAGGATGTTTCAAAAGAAAGCGTAAAGTTTATTAATTTAAATGTAAAACGTGAGAAGCAGAAAATGAAAATGAGGGAAATGAAGTTTAAAGGACTCAAATTAAAGTCTACTCTACTAACTCAGATAAAAAAACATGTGGAAAAAATGAAAGATATAAAAACCAAAGGGGGTGAATTAACAGAGGAAAAAAAAATGTTCGAAATAAAAGAAATACTCACCATTTTTATTCATGATAAGGAATTGGCACATAAAAATATGTACATAAAAGACATGATTGAAGATGTTATAAAATGCATAACGAACTATGGGAACACTCCAATATTGTGTAAGAATATGCTAACCTTTTTAGTATTCATGGATACACAAAAGTATCACGCGAATAAGAAATTAAATAAGGCAATCGAATTCACACTAGCTGCCCATATCGGAAGCATGGATGGTTTGTCTGAACAAACAATATATGATTTTATAAATGAAAAGACCAACATGGAAGAACATAATGGAAGCGTTTCTCACACATATGATGTGCTACATTTCTTGTATAATCAAGATTATACATATAACTTTAACTTGTATGATGAAAATATTTTTTATGAAAATAAATTTAATAACGTAACAAAGAGGTTATTAAAAAATTTTTTTTTTCTTGTCAGCTACATGTTAAGATTGTCATTTTTAAAGTTACCCATTTTGAAGTCTTATTTAAACTCTTTTGATTTTTTTTTTGCCATATTTATAAAGAATGAAAACATTTCTTCTTTTTTCCACATTGCACACATTTCTTTTATTTGCGAAAGTTTTGTCCAACAAAAAATTATTGATTTAAATATAACGAAGAAATTGATGCATATAGTCCATCATGAAGTCCAGAATTTTTTAAATTATTTTCAAGATGGAAAAATGAACACTCACGAGTATCAGTGCGTTAATAAGCGAGGAGAGAAAAATGCACATATTTCAGAAAGCCAAAGTAGCACAGAAAATTTAATCTCCGAATATTCTTACATTCTTTTCCTTAATGATATTCTCACAATACTTCACTTTCTTCATTTTTTCAACTTGAATCTTGAGAAGTTGCACACACAACTGTTCACAATATGTCTGGGAAATTTGATATATTTAAACGATACACAAAAATTAATACTCTTTAACTGCATTGAAGGGATAAAAAAAAGGACACCCAGTAGTTTCTACAAACCCATATTGAATTATTTCATGTATGAAAAAAATTTAGATTTTTTTTTGGCTCGTAATAAAAATATTCAAAAGGATTCCTTAGGTTTGTTGTTAATTAATTAGGGGGCTAAACTTTGTTAAGAGAAGCTTAATGCACAAGTGAAGTGATCAATGAAGAAGTACTAAATGTAAGATGTCTGATTAATTGGATGCACAAAATAAAAACATGTGACTAGAGAAAGATATATCATTAAAAATAATGTGCATAAAGAAACAAAAAAAAAAAGAAAAAAAAATTAAACAAAAAAAAAAGGGTACAACAATAGGGCGTAAACGGGTGACAAGTGTGATATAAAAAATTGGTGAAAAAAGGAGGATATTAAAAAAAAAAAAAAAAACAGAACAAAACAGAACAAAACAGAACAAAACAGAACAAAACAAAACAAACAAAACATATCAATATCTGCATCTATATCCATATGCCAACTTTTTCAAATGTCATTATTTCCTCCCTGAATGAGGTAAAAAACGATGGAATCTCCAACCCTTAAATAAAAATCGTGATAAATATAGTCATGTTGTAACCCTTCTCTTTTTAAAAAGGTAAATACTGGATCCAATTTATTTTCAATTATGAAATAATTTCCCCATAGGATATAACTTCGTCGGCCTAGTTTTCCTGGTGAGACAGCAGGGTCGAGATGGGGAGATGTAATCAGTGATGTGGAAGCGGAACTATAGATATCGAAGCGGAAGCAGAACTATAGAAATCGAAGTGGAAATAACTGTGGTCGTGGAAGGAGTGAACCTGTTAAGGCACCTCGGGGCAGCATGATATTTTTTCATCCCGCTGTTCCATTGTCTGCACTTGGAAGATAAAGATTTACCTGGGCGAATAGCCTTATAGGTGGATTTCATAACGGTAACATCAATTCCAGAATAAATGGTTTTCACATGCTTTAAATATGGGAGAAAACACTCTGAAGAAACCAAATTATTTTCTTTAATTAACATTTTGTATTCTTCCTTGTTGTACCACAACTGATCATCGAAGCTGTTACTGTAGGTGATATATTTGCTCATTTTATTTTCCATAAAACTGATTGAAGTGAAATCAACATTGCCAATAAAATTATATATATTTATCGGTATGCATATGTAATCATTTGCACACACGTCATTACATAAAATATGGGAAACATTAATGTCATCTCCATTATTATATGAAATATCTTTATGTATTTCTATCCTTCTCGACACATTATTTCTAAGTACATTGAAGTTGTAATATACATAATAGTAGCTCTTCTTCTGGTCATGCATATACTTGTACTTGTACCCAAATCGGTTGTTGTAACCTATGCAGCTCTTTTCCATCTGCAAAAAATGGAGTGTCATAAATTATGTACTCTAAATTTGGCACTCTAAATTAGGCACGCTAAATTTGGCACTCTAAATTAGGCACGCTAAATTAGGCACGCTAAATTAGGCACGCTAAGTTAGGCACGCTAAATTAGGCACGCTAAATTACACACACATATACGCATGCCTGTGATTTGACGTGCCTTTTCATGCACGTAAAAGAAAACAAACGTGCATAGCATATTAACTAGGGATATCCCTCCAATGAAGGATCTACACATGAAAACATAGTTGGAATATATTTTCAAATGTTCATATGCAAACAGTATATCCCATAACACAAATTTACTCTCTCGATTGACAGAATGTAAAAACACTTTTTTCACCTTCGCAAGGAGAATACAATCAAGTCGGAAAGAGGGATTATCTGTATACAAGTATTCGTATTTGTAGAAAAAATTAAAAGGCGTGAAGTAACCCATGTACGCACGTTTAAATTTTGAAAATATTTTTAAGCATATATAGTCCAAAAAATCACTAACGAAAATGTAGACAATGGAACATGTCTTTTGAAATTCTAATAAATCGGTACAATTCATAAATGATAAAATATTTTGTAAAATTTTTTTTTGTTTAATTAATTTTGAAAAATATATAGCACCATTTTGGTATTTTTCACAAGTTTTATCTTCTTCTTTTTTTAATTTTTGCAAATTGCTTATATTCAATTGAAGAGAGTTTCTTTCTTTCTTCTTTTTCTTTTGAAGAAAAGTAATATCTGGTGGTAATTTCAACTTCATAGAGTTGAACGAAGATACTGTTGTTTGCTCACTATGATCTATCAGTCTGTCATGTATCATATTTTTTCCTTCACTTTTAGATTCACTCTGTAATTCCGATTTGTCTTCCTCTACTATGGTTCTCTCTGCACCGTTGACAATGCGTGTATTTTCATTTTCCCATGGAAATATTTTTTTCCTTTTTTCTAAACTATTTTCTTTTCTTCGTAACATGGTACCTTTCATCTGGTCTATATTTTTCAATTTTGAATATTTTTCCTCACTATTATGAACTCTAGAAATGTCGCCTGGTTCCTTTTTTTTTTTATTTTTCTTCTTCTTTTTCAAATTTGGGTCCCTTCTCCTTTGGTTATACGCATGGAATCTTTCCTCTGCGTTGTAGAAACAGCCATATTCTAGTTCAAAATGCCTTTTCTCGTTTTCGTCGTCACTTCGACTTTCACTTCGACTTTCACTTCGACTTTCACTCTGACTTTCATTCCAACTTTCATTCCAGCTTTCATTCCAACTTTCATTCCAACTTTCACCCCGATTTTCACCCAGATTGTTACTGTAACTAGACCCATCATTATCAATGTGGTCATCATACCTACATGACTCTGTTTTTTTTTCTCTCTGTTTACTTTTCTCAGTTCCTTTTTCCCCTATCCTTTTTATACGCACACGTGCGCACTTGCTATGTGTGTGTGTTTTGCCATTTCTGAAATTTATTTTAACAAACGTCTTGTCTGCATCGGTTACGCCTTTATCTCTATGTCTGTTCTGATCTGGCATAACCTTATTTTTACGCGTCTCATCATTTTCTTCACATGTATCGTAGGCTTCAAATATTTCCTTATTGAAGTTGTTTAGCTCCTTTTCATTTAAGTGACAAATATATATGTTATTCCTAATATCAAGATTATGTTTTTTCTTAATTTTATTTTTTATCTTTTTGTACATAATAAATTGTCTTTGCTTGTTTTCCGAAATTTTATTCCCCATTATGCATAGTTATATGTGCTACATGTGCATGGTTATCTTAATATGCTGCACTTTGTACAGTGCGAATATTTTGACTCTTCCGTTTTTCGATTTTCTATCTCTTTCTTTTTTTCGCTTCTCTATCTCTTTCGTTTTTCACTTCTCTATCTCTTTCGTTTTTCACTTCTCTATCTCTTTCTTTTTTTCGCTTCTCTATCTCTTTCGTTTTTCACTTCTCTATCTCTTTCGTTTTTCGCTTTTTTATCTCTTTCGTTTTTCGCTTTTTTATCTCTTTCTTTTTTCGCCTCTCTATCTCTTTGTTTATTTTTATTATTTTATTTCTTTTAAGACCTTGTGTTATACACAACACAGGGTATGATTCATGTAGGGAGAAGGAATGAGAATGCAATATTTTATGAACAGAGGAAGAGGTGAACAATACTACACAATTTTGCCCCTTTGTCATGCAATCCACCCGAGGAGTTCCCTTGAGTAGTAAGGTAGCAGAAGGTCTGGAATTAATGATGGAGCAATTGCTTGGAGAGGTGGTAATGAGTGGGGAGTTTACATCCATAAAACTTGCTACTCTCAAGCACGTAATCTCCTTTTTTTTTTTTTTTTTTTTCTTGTGTGAGTGCTAAGTGAAGGGTTAACTGCTATGGTAGTTTTTCATTTCATTTATTTATTTTTATTATTTTATTTTTTTTTTATTATTTCCCTTTGTTCAACTTATGCTTATGCCATTTTTTAATTCTTAATGTGTACTCAATTGCAAATTAATGTTTACACAATTGCAAATTAATGTTTACACAATTGCAAATTAATGTTTACACAATTGCAAATTAATGTTTACACAATTGCATATTGATGTGTACTCATTTGCAAATTAATGTGTACTCATTTGCAAATTAATGTGTACTCTTTTTACATTTTGATGTTTTTTTATGCGTACATAAAAAAAAAAAAAAAAAAAAAAAAAAACGCCTGAACGTGCATGTATTTATCATATATATTCCACGTGAATATTAAAAAAAAAATATTTTTTAATAATTTTTCATAAAAAATAAAATAATAAAACAAATAACATAACGTTTCGAAAAGGAGTTTAAAAAGAAATGAAACAAAATTGATATTTCATAGTGGGGGCCAATACATGGGGAAGAAAAAGAAAAATTATACAGTGTGTCTTTGGAAATGCTAAAATTAACGTGGGTCTTGCAAAAAAAACATTCCCTACACTAAACATGTGTGGAGAATGGAACCACAAAAAATATGCGTGGAAGCTTGTGGTGAAATTGTCACGTTCTGATGTTAACCAACGCCGTATGTGCCATATGCTAAGTAAAACAGATGAAACATCACTAATACAAAATAAAATAAATGAGCATGTCATCTTCTCGTTCACTTAACTGATTTCACATTTTTCGGCAAGTTTTTTATGATTGCCTGGTATATTTGGTGTATATTTTGGGAGGGGGAAGGTGACCAATGGTCATAATTAAAATACGGAAAATTGTGATTCACCAAAAAATAATCAAGCATGAAGAGAAATTTCTTCTTTACATTTCCTTTAATGTATTTAAAATTACTCATAAAATGAGCAATGCACAGCACGCAAGTGAGAACGCTTAGGGATTTTTCCTTTTGTATAATTTTTCCCTTGACCTGGAAATTCTTCCACCTCTTGTCATTCTTGCCATGACTCCTCTTCTCCTCGCTGCTTACCTTATCAAATGTTGTCAGATCTGTTATGTCAAAAAATAAGCCACAAATTATGCTTAATAAATATTTTTTATATTGTTTACGTTTTGGTATAAAAATAGGACTCTTCTTTTTAAGGCTAATTTTGATAGAAAGTAAGCAATAATATATACTAAAAAAGGAGTTAATTATATCCACAAGTGTATGGGTATTATTCAATTCGTCATAAATTTTTACGTCTATATTTTTCTTCCACGGTACATGTAACTCTTTACGCATTTTTCTATCCCAAGTATCATCTTCATATCTGTTACTACATATTAGTGTACATGACCCATACAACTTGTTTATGAATTCACAAATTTTTAAACACACTTCTCCATTTTTGCCATTGTTATGTATATGTAAGTCCACTTTTTTGTTGCACACCTTGTAGCTTACTTCACATAGAAATTTTATTAACAGTTCATAAAAAAAATTACACAAATAATTTACATTTTCATGTATACATTCCTCAGTTAAATGCATCTTATGACATTTAATTTGTGTTAATTTGTGGATCTCCTTTTTCTTCTTATTCAATGGGGTGTTTTCTCTCATTCGCTCTTCTACCTCTACACGCATGCCTTTAATAGCAGCACTGTCAATGGATGTGAGAAATTTAAACTTATTTTTGCACTCCCCAGATTGGAAATTACTCTGTTCATAAGTAAACATTTCGCTATTCTTCAGATAGACAATTTCTGCATTGCTGTATTTGCAATCTGGAATGACTTGGCATTGAAGAGGTAGTAGTCCTTCTTCCAATCTTGATACACAACTAAGTTGTTTCCATTTTTCCACGTTTATGAGTTTTAACTTAGGAAGAATGGTATTTAAAGTGCCATCTAAAATGTGCAAAAATACATGTACGTGTGCATAATATCCAATATAAAAATAAGATATTAACATAAAAAAAATGAAATGGAAGTAAAAAACATTCGAATAATTTACATTCAAAAATTTAAGTAATTTTACAAAATGAAAATATAACGAATTATTTAACATAGTTAAAGAATTTTTATTCTTAAAGTTCACAAATGTATAACAAGACTTAAAAATGTGCTTAATAAATGTATGATCAGAAAAAAAAAAACTATCACATGTATGAAATGATTTAAATAAGTTGGGTAAAAAAATATTCACTCTTTTAAATATTTTATTTTTAAAAAAATAAATATATAATAATGAATGCTTCTCATTTATAGCATTTTTACAAATTATTAATCCATTTTTTAAAAAAATGGATTTTTCAAAAAAGTATTTCAAAATTATCATAACTAGGATGATGAAATAATTCATAATGTCTCTACCTACATGGATCAACATATACAAAATTGCATCTTCGTAACTTTGATTCTTTTTTGCTATCTCAGAATACCTCTTGTACAGGATATGAAGCGTACACTCCCTCAATGGAAATGATGAATAGGAACAAGAGCCCTCATGATGGCATCTCTCCTGAGACCACCATAATTCTTCAAAGGAATACATTTTCAAAAGTGTGACAAAAAAAAAAAAATCACGAATGTGATTCTTAAATATTTCAAGGAAAAAAATTAGTGCCTTCCTCCAATTCAGCAAATGCAAAACATATGCCAGTTTGAACAACATGAAACACATTTTCTTTTCTCTTCCTAAGCTGTGGTTCTTCCACCACATGGTTTGATCTCTTCTAAGATGACGTAAGAACTCGATACATAATTTAGCGTTCTTTCTGTTAAGTAATCCTCCCTGTTTTGCTTTCCATCTTTTGGATGTCATTGAATATTTCACAAATTCGTTAAATAAGTTATTAATATTTTTTAAATCATTTTTTTGTTTATCACTGCCCAAAATTTCATCACTATAGGGGTAGTAGTACAGCAACATGTTCTGCAAATTAAGAATATTTTTTTTCATTATAATTTGTTTATCATTTTTCCTTTTATTATTGTCGTTCTTCATAACATCCTTGTTCTCAGTTTTTTTCCCCTGCCCATATTTGGCTCCTCCTCTTCCTCCTCCTGTTGTTGTTGTTCTTCTTCTTCTGCCAAAGCAGTTTTGATTTCTTTGACATCCCTGGTTTAGACAAAACATTTTTTCATAATAGTACCTCTCTTTACACAAAAAATAAAAAATTTTCACAGAAGTGTATGTGTCTATATTTTTAAAAAAAATGGGAACGCGACTTTCTCCTTTACCTTTCATACATGAATGTTTATTCATTAAGCGATTGTACTCCATCAAGAAGTTGTTAACATGAAGGATGTATATTTTCTTTTCCTTTTTTCTAAATTTATCTTTCATTCGTTTTTTTACCTTATCTTGTTCATGCAGAGCACTATCATTTTGTACAGAAAATTGTGTAGAATAAAGTGTTTTAGTTACATCTTTCGTGCTTTTTTCGCTTATCCCTCGATGGCCCGTTTTATCAAATGGGAAGCTTTCCTCCTTGAAACAGACACCATACCTATCATTCTTAACAGTGTACCAGTTGTTCATATAACATTTCGATTCATTATGATCGATTTCTTTTTCCTTCCATACCTTTTCATCGAAGCTGAGCAAAATATTGGATCCATTTCGTCCGTGCTTGATGGCATCACTCCCCTTTTCTACCTCTCCTTTTATGTAATTGATGTATTCAGATAGATAATTAAAATTTGAAAACTTTTTTATATACAATTTCAAATCTGTACTTGCACTACTGGATGAGTGGTAATATAATGAAAATAATATATCCATCAGTAAGATATCATTATTTATAATATATTCATTCCATTTTTGAAAAAATTTCATCTCTTTATTTCCTACTATTTTAACTATTCCTGTTTGATTGTTCTCTTCCTTTTGCTGTTTCGAGATATGAACAAATGTATTCAGAAGTAGACAATACCTCACAAGGTGATGATTATTCATTTCATTTTTTCTTTTGCAATTTTGATGAATAAAAAATAAAATAATTTCCCTTTTAAATAATTTAAAAAATAATTTATATAAAAAAAGACACTCATAAATTTGTCGATAATCATTTAGGTTTATTATGTACACTCCTTCAAGTACTTTTTGATAAAAATATAACCTTTCACTGTACATCAAAAATTCATGTACTGACATCTGCTCTTTTATTATACCCTTGCTGTAATTATCACTTCCAATATATTTTTTTAAAAGTTTTCTCATATGAACCATTTTGATTGTCTTTCTATATTGCACTATTGCATCATCTTCCCCAATGTCATCATTTCGATTCATAAATGAAACATTCTTTTCCCTCTCTTTCTGATATTCCAAATGTGTAAGAAACATATTGCCTCTACGATTACAATATTCTTTTTTTGGTAAAAAATGACGATTAACACATTGGGACAATTTCATTATCTCTTCCTTTTTGCACATCCCTAAGGCACTTTTCAGATTTTCCTTCATTTCTACATTCATACCTTTCTTTCTATGTAAGAATGAACGTTTGAATTGTTCATACAATTTGCGTATTTTGTGTTTTTTCTCCTTTCGATACATATAAAGCGTGAAAAAAAACAGGATCACGTTTTTTCGGGTCTTCTCAAGAGTGATACGTTCATTGCATTCAAAAAAAAGTTCCTTCGTAGTTAGATGTCTGGGATGTTTATGTTGTGCTATTTCTTTGTGAGTCCATTTAGATTGAATTCTTCCTATCTTTGAACCCCGCTTCATTGCGAAAATTAAATTTTCAAGCGTTTCAAGCGTTTCAAGCGTTTCAGAAGTGTGAGACGTTTCAAGCGTTTCAGACGTGTGAGACGTTTCAAGCGCTTCAAACCTTTCAAATGCATTCTTGTTAACCGATGAAGAGCCCCCTTGATAACATTTTCTACTCGGAATGAACCAATTATCTGCTTTCATAGAGGAACCCATATATGTATAAATAACATTAATATGATTTGTTCTTCTATTTGAACTCTCATTATACGTTTTGCTTCCTACTAAAATTTCTTCACTTGATAAATGTCCTCCACATGGTGTAACACTAATAATTCCCCTCTCTGATTTTGCCACTTCGTGTGTTCTTATTGACCCACCTATGCTTTGTACATTTCCCATTTCTGCATGAACGTGGACAGGTGAATTATTTTTCTCATTTGCGCGAAATTTGCGGGAGATGTGACTTTTGTCTGGTATGTACGTTGGAAAATTCGTAAAGCAGTTATTTTCTCTGTGTGTAAAACTCGTGATGGCAATTTCAACATAGAAAAAAAAATAAAAATAGTATAAAAATTGGAATAACAAAAGGTCGTTATTTAAAATGAACGCAACACAAGTAGCAATGTCGACATCTTCACTAAAAAGATTTATATCGTTGTGAAATGTATGATCCTCAACCTTAGCAGAAAATACCTCCTGCATAATAAGTACACAAAATACATGTCTATACTTAACAATTACACTGTTCATACGTCTATACAACTGCTTTACTTTTCTCATATTTAAATGAAAATAAGGAAAATTCATTTGTACATAAATAGTATTGAAGAATCTCACACCATATATGTAATTTTTATCTGTAAGAAGATTCAACTTGTCTGCTTTTATCCTTTGGGATAGAGAAAATAAATTTCTTATATTTGTTTTTACCACTTGTATATTTTTTAATAATACTTCATTTATTTTATCGATAAAAAGATTCGATGAATCCAATTGTATTAAATCTTTCTCTAAGGTAAATAAAAAATTTGCATCTAAGGATTTCTTTCTATAGCTTAAATCATTGTAAAAATAGTTCATGTAGAATTGTATCATACAAAATGACGATTCCTTCAAGTTTGTCAATTTTTCAATTTCACGTGTGAGACATTTTGATAATCCAAAATTGTCTTCCAGGTGTATTTCGCATATATAAAAACGTAGTCCTCCTTCTTCTTCTACTTCTTCTACTTCTTCTACTTCTTCTACTTCTTCTACTTCTTCTACTTGTACTTCCTCTCCTTCCTCTCGATTCTCCAATTTCTCTTGCTTCCCCCACTTCTGCTCAACATTCTGGGGCGACAAAAACACATCATTCATGTTTTGAGCGAAATAAAAATCCTCCTCCATCTTCCGGTTCAAGTATAACAAGCACAGCTTCTTTTTCCATTTAACTGAATCGATTATCTTGTCTTCTGAAAAATACTTTTCATACAAAATTCTCTTATCCCCTTTCTTATTTTCTATATCTTCTCTTTTCCCTGATTTGGCATGTGTCAAATTATCAAAATGGTTCTCGCCTTTCAGAGGGGTGTAACTACCAGAACTATCCTCTTTGTAAAATGATGTAGAATTCACTTCACTAAGACAACTTACTTTCATAATATCTTTGTCTTTTTTTTTACTGAAAGTATCTGCAGTTTCTTTAGATCTATAAAAGGTGGCATGATCTTCCATCCTTCCTTCGCTGTCTATTTGATTCATCGAACCCATATGGAGAACCATCATTTCTTCTATTTCGATACTTTTAACATTAATCAAGAATATTTTTTTACTCTTAAATTTACACATAATATTTTCTGCTTCATCAAAATTGTTTATTACAAATGATAAGCATTTTTTATTTTCTTCATTCGTTTCATCTTTCATTTTTTTTTCAATGAATTCTCGTACCGTTTTTATATCTTTTCTCAAATGGAGAAGATCCATTTGTTCGTTATTCCTACACGATTCATTGTTACAAGCAACAGAATAGTCATTCGCAAAGATCAACAGTGGATTGAATTGCTCAAAAAGAATAAAGTAATTTTTATTTATCTTATAACACACGTTTACATTCGGCTTTAGGGGAAGAGAAAAATTTTTAAATATTGCTAAAATTTCTTTTAACAGGGTAGTAAAATAAATATTATTCAAAAAAAAATTTTTGTAAAAGCGAAATGATGAATTAAAATCTACGTGACTTTTCTGTGAGGTGAAGTTACTATTTTTTGTCTCCTTATCATCAACCGGTATATCATCCCTTCTATTATACTGTTGAACTGTGGTTTTTCCATTTTTGATTTTAAAAAAAAACAAGTAAAATATATAAACAGAGGAATGATAAAAAACCAATGTATTTATTACCTTCTCCCTGTGACTTAGCCACAAACGCCCGTTTTTTCTAAGACTTAAAATGATGGGAATTTTATTCTTTCCTTTAGTATTACAAAAAACAGACTTGTAATAATTTGTGTTTTCTTTTTTTCCAATATTTTTAAAATTTATTTGATTTTTTGCAAGGGCATCTTCTATATTCATAATAACATTAAACGTTTTGCATGTGACTAAAATTACTCCTCGTGCAATTTCTATGTGATTAATTGGACCGTTTGTCTTATTGATTAGCAGTATGTTCGATTCGATTCCTAGTTTCATTTTTTTTTTTTTTAAAATGAAACATGACAACACTCCACTCTGATCTCCAACAAAGAGGTAAAACCTTTTACTCTTTCTGCTTTTTCCATCACATGTACCTTTGTCATTTTTTATTAGGTAGTTTATACTCGTTATGGCAACTTGATGAAATTTGGTACGTAATTTAATTGCACTCTCTTGTTTTCCACTCTTATTGCCTTGTTCTTTCTCCTTTGTTACGTTTTTATCGTATAAGACAAAAATGTTGCCTTTATCAGTTCCAATAATTAAAAGGTTAAGGAAATCCACAAGACATATCTGCAAAGCGGGTGAAAAGGGGAAATTTTTCATGCAAAATGGTCTGTGCGATTTGGACGTACAAATATGTTCAGAGAAACAAAAAAAAAATATACATACCTATACATACATATACATACATATACATACACCTACATACACCTACATACACCTACATACACCTACATACACATACATACACACACATACATACACATTTTTGCGCAGAATTCTTCAAAAATAGAATCCGCATGGGAATCATTTGCTTTCCATATCTAACCTTCGTTACGATTCCAGATGTAGGGGTCCTAATTATGTCTTGAAAAATTAGCGGAGCAAATAAACAGCATGCATTTTTCTTAAAAAGAAATATCCTCCCATTTGTTGAACCAACATAAACAAAACCTTTGCTTATACATAAAGAAAAAAAATATAAATTTTCATTTTTTTTTTTTTCCTTGTATACGTTTAATTTATGTAACAAAGCAAAAGTTTTCATTTTTTCATTTCTGATTTTTACATTTTAAAAAAAAAAAAAAAAAAATTGTCTAATTGGGAAATATATGGTTTTCTCTCGCTTTGGATTCATATTTACTTTTTGTTATGTACTCACAAACTGATCTTTCTTCATATTTTCTGTATCCATCACGTTCCTTATACTTTTTGCAGCAATAACACACTTCTATTAAAGTGATATAAAATTTCACAATTTCCTACTAAACCTTTATATCTACCCTGCTTTTATATATATTATACTCATACTCGTAAAAAATATAGCATATGATTTAGTCTCATTCAGCGTTCCACACATGGTTGAAAGTCGTATAAAAAACAGGGCTTATCTTTTTACTTTATTAAATTATTTTCCAATCATAAAATAGCGTAATGTAATAAGTTCTATCCATGAAATATAATATATTTTTTTTTTTTTTCTTTTCTTCTTCTGAAGCGTGGGAAATCGGTGGGAGTGGGGTGAAATAAACTTCAACAACCCTTATTTGGTTTTGACGTTCTTAGCACATTTTGCTTTACCTTTGCCTTGAACTTGAGGCTTGGGAATTCTCCTTTTTTTTTTTTTTTTTTTTTTTTTTTTTATTTAATTTTACTCTATTTTTTTCCCTTTTTTCACATTTTTGTAAAAACTGGACGCATTGTCGTTATTCAATATAAACTCATATAAATATGTCACGTATGAACCAGTACATAACTATATGCACTAATGCTATAATTTTTTTTTTTTTTTTTTTTTTTTATGCATAAGTTTCCTAAACTTTCGTTTTTACTAAAAAAATGGGAATAAAAAAAAAAAAAAAAAAAAAAAAAAAAAAAGGAAATCAGCCTAAGCAAGAAAATGATTAAATAATAAAAAAAAGAAAAATGATTTTGTAACAAGTGCAAAATGACTTGTTCAAACTGATATAACAAAATATGCCCAGTTTGAATATAAATAAATTATGAAATCTACAATGTGAATATTTTACAAGCAATTTAAAATTTTCCCCTCCATTGAGAATACTTTATTTTTTTTTTTTTTTTTCATTTCTCTTTTTCGATGTGCGTGTATATATATATATATATATATATATGTATAAATACGTACTTATATAAATATGTACATATCTATTTATCCACCCGTAAGTGAGATATTCATTTTGGTAACTTGCGTTTAAAGTGGAAAAAGTCAAGTTATTTGGTTAAGAAAAAAAGGAACTAAACAGAGACCTATCCCAAGGGACGTGAATAGTTGCATAAAACAGATGATTGTACACACAATAGTTAAATTCATGAATGAATTCAAATTATAATTCACGCAAATAGATGTTTCGTTATAGAGAAGAAATGTCCGCACAATAATGTATCCATTCCTCACCCCCTCCCACGCCTTCTCTCCTTCTCATCTTAAAACATTGTGCAGTATTTTTTTATTTTTTTGGAACATAATTGTTATGCACAAATATTATGTAGGTTTAAACCAAGCCATAAACAACCAAGCAGTTCCAAATATAGAGAACTCTAATCCCTAGCGCTAACACAAAACAAATAATACACAAAATTTGATATATACATACCAACTTTAATCACTTCAAAATGGATTTTCAAAACCGAGTCGGACACAAAACAGGCAGTGGAATGCCACTGACAAGGGAAGACATAAATCAGGAAAGAAGAGAAAAACTGAAGCAGTTGGCATTAGAAAATATCGATATAACCAAAGATCCATATATTCTGAAAAACAATGTAGGTATGTATGAATGTAAATTATGCTTAACTTTACATAACAATGAAAGCTCATATCTCTGCCATACCCAAGGTAAAAAACATCAAATGAATTTGGGGCAAAGATTACTTAAAGAAAAAAATGAAATGACGAATATTAAGCTAAACAAAGCTACACCTGAACCAAGAAAAATTGTTAAAATTGGGAAGCCAAGATATGATGTAACCAAAGTTAAAAATAAAAGAAATAAACTTGGAATTCTTTTTGAATTATCCTTTCCAAATATTAAAGAAAATACCAAACCGAAATTCCGTTTTATGTCATCATTTGAACAAAAGGTTGAACCACCTGATAAAAAATATCAGTATTTGCTATTTGCTGCAGAGCCATATGAAACTATCGCTTTTAAAATACCAAATTTAGATATTGATGAAACACAAGATTTCTACTATAAATGGTTTGAGAAAAAAAAAATATTTGTCATGCAAATTCATTTTCAGAATCCTCTCGAACATAACCGATCAAGAAGGAGACGCACGTATTTACCAAATAATATTAAGTGGTGATATTATGGCATCAATTCGATGATGATTTTTCTGATTATATAGGTGTATCGAAAACAGTTTTCCCGCTGTGTATACGGTGTGTGTGTGCGTCTTTGTCTTTGTAGATAAGCTTATGCCCACCCCTCCCACTCTCTATTGTGGCATAACATTTGTTTATCTATAAAAATTTACTTTTCAAGAGATACTCAAATATAATTCATTTTCTGTACAAACTTTTAAAGGCATTTTTTTTTTTTTGTTATGTATATAAGATTTAAAAATTATGTCAAAATGTTAGAAGCTGTAAAAAAAATTTTTTTTTTTTTTTTTTTTTTTTTTTTTTTTTTTTTCTCTTTTTTATATAATGAAAATTGATGAAACAAATTATTGAAAAAATAAAATATAAAAAATGTGTGAAGGTTAAACTATATATAATGAGCACACATATATATAAGATTCTCAATTAGGGCTATTCATCTCATATTTTTTTTTTTTTTTTTTTTTTTTTTTTTTTTTTTTTTCTTTTGTGTGCACACAATAACAATCTTTCAAATTACGCATTCATTGCATATTCGTTGTTTTTATGCATTTTTTGCATTTTTTTTTTTTTTACAACTCATTAATTAAAAGTCCTTAAAAAAGATATAAACAAACAGTGAGTGACAGAAGCAAACGCTAATATAAGGTGAACTGTCCCCTCCTGTGATAATAATAAAAACAAACGTGTAAGCCACTTTGGGAATATTCATGCGCCTGGGCATCCCATATGCATGCATAATGATTCCGGAAGAAAGTAAAAAAGCTTAATAAGCCACAACCACAACGTAAATATAAATATGTATAAATAAATATGTATAAATATATATACATGCATGCATATGTGTACACTGGCTAATCGTTACTTCTCCTCTTATGTCAACTTCTTAAAACAAGGAAATACCTAGTGCTATTACTACAAAGATATACATTAAACTAGAGGCTACAGAATTAGCCATTAATAATTTAGCAGCGTCTTTACAAGCAGCAATGTCTTTTTTAACTATGCTTTCATTAAATTGATTGAGGTAATCCTTTCTAGTTTTTTTTTTCTTTTTCGAATCGTTGACTTTTCCGCTAGTCTTTGCAACTTTTGCATTACCACTTTGTAAGTTTCCATTTGTCTCCCTCTTCTTATCACCTTTAGCTAATATTTCTTCCTGTGCACCCTTCAAACATTTTCCAAGGAAATCATCCAATTTTGAAACGGAGAATTCATCTTCACTCACTTTGTCTAATGTGATGAAATGCTTCGTGGTGTCAATATTACTCTCATAAATTGCTTGACACACATATGTAGGAATACTTGAATCATTATCATTTCTAATTATTTTTGACTGTATCGGAGTAATAGCCGCAGTTTTCCCTAAATCTTTTTTTTCTAATAAACTTTGCACGTTGTAATGAATAGTTAAATCTCCTTTTGCTTCTTCCACATTGCTATGCGTTTCATCTTTTTGTTTAGTTGCATAAAACACTGTACTGAGGCTAGCAACGTCATCCTCATTTTCATATTTATGAAATCGAAAATGTAGAGATATGGAACCGAAAGAAAAATTATCATTTTTGATGTTGATGTATGTGTTGTAAAGTTGAAATAATTCTTGCATATAAAGAGTAAACTTAGGGGGTTGGGTGCTATATAGATTAACTAAAGCACTCATTTTATTATTTAGAGTTACATTAGAACTTTGTTCTTGTAACATAGAGAGTACTACAGTGGGAGAGGAAACATTGTCAGCATTATCACTATCTTCTTTTATATCCTTATTGGAGGGATCATCTAGAACTGCGTTTGCCATGCGCTTTCCCTCTTCCTGTAATAATTCTGAAGGAATAGCTGATTCTCCCGCTTCTCTTTTTAATCGTGATTCGTCTTCTTTATGGCTTGTTCCGTGGTGTATGTCTCTTTTTTTTTCTTCTTCCTCTAGTTCCTCCAAACTTAGTGTAACTTCATTTTTTGACAAATTGTTATTATTCAATGTGGCGCTAATGTCATTTTTCCCTTTTTTGTGTTGCAGATACTGCTGTTGTTCAATGCTGGAATTTTGTTTCACATACTTTGATATTTGTTCATTGTAAACATATCCATGATCAGAACGTGCCAGTAATACTGAGTTCAAAAAAAAATATGTAAGGAACAAGAATGGGAAATAACATGTCTTGGCCATTTTTTAAATTTAAAAATATTATTTGTACAAGGGAACAGTATTGTTATTATAACAATAGTTTTAAAAATTTAATTAAAAACAGGAAAGAAATGATTAAATATATATTAAAAAAAAAATATATATTTTTCCAAATCGATGATGGAAAATTTTATGTTGTAATAAAAGTTGTTATTCAAAAGATCTACATGGAGAAATTAATTTCATTTAAGAATGTAAAATTATTTTGAGAAGTAATAAAATAAAATTGTTAAAATTTTAAGGGGCACTAATAATAGATTAATCCAATTTAACCTTTTTTATTTTATTTTACTTTTTTTTTTTTTTTTTTTTTCTTTAAATATTAAGTGCTCTCTCTTTTAATTTCCTTATTCAAAATGGCTATATAAGAAATTGCAGCCGTTATTTTTTTTTATGTTTTTGCCACAAAATGGCTACTGGGGCTGTCTACAGAGAGAGTACAATAATAATCACATGATCACACCTGTCAGTGTGTGTATATTGATATGATAAATTATACTCTTTATCATTCTTTGATACAACGTTGTTCGGTTATTTGGTTGCTTGGTTGCTTTTAATCTGTCGTTCGACCGTTTGGCTGTATGCCTATTTGGCTAGCCAGCTAGCAGCCTTTTTTTTTTTTTTTTTTTTTTTTTTATTGTGCACAATACGGCATAGTTAAACGGGAAAAAAAGCTTTCACAATTTACGAGAATCCCCCAGAAATTTTTTAGCAGCAGCTAAAAGAGGGAAGAAAAAACAAAAAAAAAAATAAGAACTACTTTTATATATTCGAAAAAGAACAGGAAAAATGAAAAACGAAAACGTTAATTTACTCATTTCTGAAAAAACTTT